TAGTCAGTGAATACTAGTAGCTTTATAGTAATATAAATAGGGAGTGAAGGGGGCGAAGTATATCTTATAGGAACGGTTATTTCCGAAATAGAGGGGGCCGGAGTATTATAGTCCGCGCTCGCGAGCTAAGAAAAATGAAGGGCTATAGGAAAAGAGAGAAAGATAGTTAAGCGACGCACCGTCTAGACTATATAGTTAACGAGGGCCCCCCGAGGGCGGCGACTAGCGGTAGTTCCCGTTAGGGAATAGCACTAAACACTATACCCGATAGGGGTGACGCTAAACCAGAGTAGGACGGGATAGGACAGCCGCTAAACCTAACGTGAGGGGTTGCCGAAAACGGCGGTCCTCTGGTAAATGCGACTTGTACTATTAAAATATTATATTATTTTATTTAATTTCCAATAGCTATCTTCTATTATTATTTAATATTTTATTAAGTTTAGAGCTTAATCGAGATTAATTATAAGAAAGTTATAAGCTTTAAATATAAAAAAGTCGATCTTAATATAGTAAAAGAGCCTTTTAAAAAGCTTTATAATATTTATTATACTACTTTTAATCCTAATTATTAGTCTAAAAGAATTAGAATTTATTTATAGATATAAATATTGGGGATTGATAGAGGGACACCCCCTATGGATCCTGGGACACCCCTTTGGATCCTGGGACACCCCCCTGCCTGAAAATGCCTGGGATTTTAGGCATACATAACACCGCCTTCCTAATATAGTGCGACCCTAGATTCTGCTATATATACTGCTAGTGCAGAGTTTTCTACTATATAATTCTGCCCTAACTATAGGAATTCCGGTTTATATAGTAAAAAAATATGCATTTTAATTAGAAAAAAGCGTATATTTTTATTAATTTAAGCATTTATATACTTATATAGGTTGAATATACTTCTTATATAGGTCCCTACGCCCGGTTTCTACGTCCTCGACCCTATCCTCGACCCCGTCCTCGACTACGTCCCTATCCTCTAGTCTCGCTATTACTACTACTAGTTTCACTACTACTTATTCTACGCCTACGTCCCTTTCCCTATCCTTGTGGCCGTCCTTGTTTTTATCCTCGGCTCTCCTCCTATAATAAAGGATCTCGGTATATAGAACGATCCTATATAAGAGGATCCGCGGAAGACTATAGTTACTAGGTACTACTAGCTTAGGTGCTACTAGCCTAGGTACTACTAGCCTAGGTACTTAGGAGATTCCTAGTATTTTAGGGGCGGTTTTATCGCCGAGCCTAAAGGGGATCTTATATAAGAAGTAATAGATTAATTAGGGGTATATCGATACTATATAAGTACTAATACTAGTAATATAGCCCTAGCTCGAGGTATCGTCCTTCCTCTTTATACTATTTTAGTATATAGATATATAGAAAACTAGCTATTTCTTTAGAATTATAAGTGTAAATTAGTGGAATTAGGGGCTTATTATCTACTAGAGGAAGATACCGAGTATAAATATCCTTTATAAGCTAGATTACCTATACTAAGATATAGTAATAAAGTAAATAGTAGAGCTTTTAATAAGCCTACTTAGGCTTATATATCTTCTAGATCTCTAGTTCTTACTAGACCTTTACGAACTAACGCTCTACTATATAGCTAAAGTAACGGAGTACTACTAGTAAATCACTAGTTAAAATCTAGAGATCTTACTTTAGAAGCTAATATACACTCTCTATATAGGAAGTAGCGATCTTATTAAGATAGAGGTATTATCTAGTATAGTAATAAAGGAACCTTTTTGGGTAGTCGTCTAGCTATTCTTATTATATATAATCTAATAATAGGGTAAAGAGGCTAGGGGGATTAGCGTATTATTTTTTAAAATTGCTCTATTATCGGTCCTTTTCCTTAATTATAGTGGTATAAATAATACGATTCTACCGGCGGAGTATCTTCTTCTACCCCTACTTAGCTTTTTTATAGTCTTCCTAGGCTTCGGCTAGGGTAAGGCGGTAGTTAATTCTAATATCTCGATATACCTATATAATTTGATTAGTAAGAAAGGGGCGCGCTTTCTTTAAGATATTTATATTAATATACTAGATATAGATTATATTCTTTATATCTAGGAAAATAGTCTTAATTATATTTATTAAAGCTCCCTCTTTATTAGTAAGGATTATACGCGGGGGATCGAGACTTAGGGAGTCGTATACTTTAGCGAGATAGGTAAGTATTATCTAGTAATCCTAATAAGGTATTAGTATTAGTTAGCTTTAAATAGGAGTATTAGGTATATACTTACCTCGTACGAGTTATCCTTTTTATCTTATATAAAGGTAAAGCCTAGGTAGAATATTAATCTAGTAGTAGTAAAGCCTACGATATCTAGTAAAGGAAGACTATACCGATTGGTCTTATATATATAGTCTATAGAGATTACCTAAGGATTCTTCTAAAGTATTATAATACTCGATTTATATATATAAAATAAAGTAGATATATATAATTGTTCGTCTAGCTTATATTTAAAGATCTAGCTACTATCCTTCGGAAGTTCTATTAATAATACTTAGAGGGACGTACGGCTAGTAAGAAATATATCGCTTAGCTTTCTATATATATTATAAATATCACGCGGTATAAGGATACTCTTTAGATCGGCTTTATAGATCTTAGTTATAATCTAGCGGGTTATACGGCTTTAGCGAAGCGCGTTTTCGATCTTATCTTTCTTATATATAAGCTTAAGCTTTCGTTACGCTATATAGGTAGATACTAGCGATAGGAGATAGTTATATTTAGACTTCGAATCGTTAATTATCGGTCGCTAAAGACTAGTTATAGAATCTAGATAAAGCACTATTATAAAGGGGTATCTATAGATAAGCGTTATAGTACGTTGTTTTTTAGTAGTCTCTTTAGTATTCTCTTACTTTACCTCGCGGCCTTAGTTATAGTAAAGGTAAACTGACTTTTTAATACCCTTTTTAGTATATTTAGAGTATCGGATAGTGACTATATAACTATATAGGCGCGCGAATGTATTTAGTGCCTTAGTACCTTCCTCTAGTATACGGTATTACTAGTTTAATAGGGGTAGCGGAAATATAAAGAGCGGCTCTATAGATATCTTATTAGCGAGTGTCTCGGTGATTAGCTAAGTGTACGACTAGGTACTTAGTATTATGGGTAGAGACTCGGGGACGATCTTAGGGTCCGAATCCGATAATTCGAGGTATAATAGGCCTAAAGAGGCTATTTTAATAGCTGAAATAATAAAAACGATAATAAATTTGATATAGATACTGATAAAAAATGGATTAGAAGAAGGTAGGTTAATATATATAAACTAGAATTATATTATTAGTTTGTTTGCTACTCGAGTCCTATAATATATATAGGACTAAAATGACTTGTTTTTACTATATATTTTATATATAAATTATAGGTATCTGCTATCGTCCTATAGTGTTAGGTAGAGGGCGGAGTATATTTAACACGAAGGCGGTGTAAACCCCTAAAGGCGGTGAGAAAGGCGGTAGATAGGTGTAGGTGTCGAGGCAGAAATATTAACGTATTTCACAAGCGAGCTGCGCACACAAGCGAGCTGCGCACCCCACCCAAAACGCGTCCGTAAATTAGCACTTAGTTAATTCAACCACCCACTATGCCACCAATTCGCTCTCAATCCTCTAAAGATTCAATAGAGAGGGAGGGTAGGATCTTATTAGCTATCCAGGCTTTTAAGAATAAAGAAATCAGCGCTATTCGCGAAGCAGCGCGCCGTTTTAAAGTGCCCGAATCAACCCTCCGGACACGTCTTTATGGGACCACTTCTCGCGCGAATTCTCGCGCCAATTCACATAAACTGACAGAAATTGAAGAGGAATCTCTTAAAAAATGGATTCTCTCTATGGATTCTCGAGGATCAGCTCCCCGGCCGTCTATGGTACGAGAAATGGCGAATCTTCTTCTTAAAAAGCGCGGAACTACCCCGGTTCTTTCGGTCGGCGAAAATTGGGTGACGAACTATATGAAACGACATCCTCTTCTATCCTCTCGGTTTTCGAAACGGTATAACTACGAGCGTGCGAAATACGAAGACCCGAAGGTTATTACAGAGTGGTTTAATCTTATTTAAAAAACCATCTTACAATTCGGGATCGACCCGGACGACGTTTATAACTTTGATAAGACCGGTTTTGCGATAGGATTAACGGCGACTACGAGGGTGATTACGAGAAGTGAATACTACGGTCGGCGAGCACTTTTATAACCTGGAAATCGTGAATAGGTAACTGTTATCGAGTGTACGAATGCTACTAGCTAGGCTCTTCCGCTATATGTGATTTTTAAAGGCAAAGTCTTTATTGAATCCTGGTTCGATAGCCTTCCTTCTGACTGGCGTTTTAAAGTTAGTCCTAACGGCTAGACTACTAATGAAATTGGGATTCGTTGGCTTGAAAAGCTCTTTATTCCTACTACTTCTTTATGTACGAAGGGGATATATCAGCTTTTGATACTTAACGGCTATAGAAGTCATTTAACCCCGAGATTTAATGAAATTTGTGAAGAGAATAAGATTATACCAATCTATATACCTCCGCATTCCTCTTACCTTTTACAGCCTCTAGATATAGGCTATTTTATAGTGTTAAAACGAGCCTATAGCCGGCTAGTTAAATTTCGAATGCGGTGCGGATCGAATCATATTAACAAACTGGATTTTCTTAAAGTATACCCTACTGCACGAATGGAAGCCTTTAAATCTAAGACTATTAAAAATAGCTTTCAATCTACTGGTTTAATCCCTTTTACACCGGAGAGAGTGATTTCGAAGCTTAATATCCGGCTTGCTACCCCTACCCCCCCTTTTAGCCGGGGTAGTGATTGGGATCCGAAAACGCCCTCGAACTATATACAATTGCAAAAACAAGCTTTGTCAATCAAAGCATTACTTCGTACAAGATCAAGAAGCCCCCCGAGCCCGCTCAATTCCGCTATAAACCAGGTTTTGAAAGCCTGCCAGATCACGATGCAATCCGCCGCACTACTGGAGAGAGAAGTGAGCGATTTACGCGCTGAAAATGAGAAGAAGAAGCAAAAGCGTACTAGATCCAGAAGGCAGATACCGGCGGAAGAAGGCCTCTCAGTTCAAGAAGCATCTGCATTAATTATGCAGCCGGTGGAAGCAATAGAAGCACCTATACCCCCGCCACGAAGAAGGCCTTCGCCACCTTTACAGCCAAGAACTAGGGCTTTACCAACATGCGGGCTATGTAAAAATCGGGGTCATAGGAGAGATGCATGTCCAGATAGATGATGTTTTTTTTTAAATTTAATTTAATGGCGTTTTGGTTGAGATAAATGCATTTGAAATTAGTAGGTTGGGTGGGGTGCGCAGCTCGCTTGTGTGCGCAGCTCGCTTGTGAAATACGTTACCCGATTAGGAATATGAGCCTGGTTTTTCAGGCAGGGGGTGTCCTAGGATCCAAAGAGGTGTCCCAGGATCCATAGGGGGTGTCCCTCTATCAATCCCCTAAATATTATATATATTATAAAGATATACTTTTAGATATTATTAGTCTAAAAGTAATATTTATTAAACTTTAGTTAACTAGCTTTAAAAGTATTAAATATCTATATTTTCTATATAATATACTTCTATTTAAGCTATTTTATTAACTATTTAAAATATTTAAAAAGCCGATTATATATTTTAAAGATATAATATATAGTAATATCTTAAATCTTTAAAAGTTATAGAGTATAATTAAAGAATAGCTCTATAATATAAAGAAGATAGTTAATTTAATATTATTCTTTAATATCTAATAGTAGATCGAGATAAATATACTCTTTATAAAAAGGGATAAAAATAGACTATAATCTTTTTATATAATAAAGTATTAGGAATATTAAATTCTATTAGATCTTTATATCTTAGATTAAAATAATCTTAAATTTTTAAAACTAGAGATTATAAAAACTCTTTTATTACTAAAGACTAATATTTATATAGATTATAAAGTAGTAGATTTTATTTAGTATAAAAGAAATCCCTCGTTATTATCGCTATATATTCTATTAAGCCTTTTTAGACTATTAATTAGTCTATTTTATCTCTATAGTCTTATTTTTTAGAACTACTTTAATATATCTAAAAAACTAGTTAAAACTAAGTTAGATAATATAAATAAAATAAAGAATTCGGATAATAATAATACTATCTAATAAAATTTATAAAAGGGATTCTATAAAAGTTTTATTATTTACTATATTATCTGAAGTTAATTTAAATACCTTATTTTCGATTCTATATTTTATTAAAATTTCTATTAGTATATTATTTAGATTTATACTAATATATATACTATAAATAGGCTTAAAATCTAATAGTACCTTTTAATAAATCTAATCGCTATTAATAAAATAGCTAGTAATTACTATAAATATTTATAAAAAAGAAAAGCTCTAATAATTAAAAATAATAGATATCTTTAAATTAGATAGAAATATCTAAAATATATTTTATTACTAATCTTTAACTATATTTAATATTTAATAAAAAATAAAAAAAGTCGATTAAAAGATAAAAAGGATAAAATCTTTTCCTTTTAAGCCTTTTATAAAAAAGAAGCTTTAGTCGGAGTATTATTTTAAAAAAATTTAGTAAAAGAGAATAAAAAACTAAATTATAATAGAATATATAATTTTATTAAAGAATCTTATAATCTCTAACTTTAATCTACCTTTTACCTTTCGATACTCTATATTTTTAATATATTTTAATATTATTAATATACTATAATATTATACTTTCTAATTATCTATTAGATAAAGATAGATAGTATAAAGATATTTAAAAATCTAACTATACTTTTTATGTATAATCTTTAGCGCTTTATTAATACTATTTATAATCTAGTTAAATCTATTTTAAATATTAGATTAGTAATTTAAGTCTTAATAAATCTTTTTTTTTCTAAAATTAGTTTATAACTACTAGTCGATCTATTTAGTATAAGTTATTTTATTATAAAAAATAAATACCTTTCTCCGATTAAGATTAATATATATAAATAATATAGAAGGTATAAAAAAGATAATCGGATAAAGGAATTTAGGGTTAATAGAGTCGAGATTAAATATCTACTAGCTACTAGATAATTTAAAAATACTAAACTAGTTTAAAGAGATAAAATAACTAAAATTATCTATATCTTTATTATAAATAAATAATATTAAATTAGATTACTAGCTTTAGGATATAATAGATAAAATAAATAGAAAGGATTAATTATAAAAAAAAGGATAAAAGAGAAAGAGGATATATATAAAAAATAGAAGATATATTAGTCTAGCTATATATAGAAAGCTAAATAGATAATTTATTATTTATTAAAAGTAACTATTTTATTAGTATTTAATTAGTATATATTATAGATTTAAATAGGTTAGACCTAGTAATAATCTAATAGAACCTAATAGAACCTAATAAAATCTAATAATAATCTAGTAATAATCTAGTAATAATCTAGTAATAATCTAGTAATAATCTAGTAATAATCTAGTAATAATCTAGTAATAATCTAGTAATAATCTAGTAATAATCTAGTAATAATCTAGTAATAATCTAATAATAATCTAGTAATAATCTAATATAACCTAATAAAAACCTAATAATAATCTAATCCTACCCTAATCTTACTATAAAAGATCTTAAAAATATTTTAATATAGCTATTTAAATATATAAAACTAATTTAATACCTTATAAAGTAGATATTAGACTAGTTATTTAATTAAAACCCTAAAAATTATAATAATATATTATATATATTATATAATCCTATAAAGAAGTAATTAAACTATATAGTTATTAGTTAGTAAAGTAAGGTCTTATACTTATAAACTCCTCTATTTAATATAAATTTCTATAATTTCTACTATACTAGTAAACCTAATCTATTAAATACTACTATAATTATAATTATTTTTTATTTTTATTAGTAATAAACTAATATCTAGCTAATATAAAATAATATAAGCGTTTATTTCGTTTAGTTATATAAAATTAATATTAAATATATTAGTTTATATAGGTTCGATCTAATATAGAGAAAGATACTAATATTATATATTAATTATTTAGTAGCTTTATAAACGCTAAGAGTTTATTTTTATATAAAGTTAGGTTTTACTAGGGCCTTAATAGGGCCCTAGCCTAGGTCCTAGGTTAGGTCCGGGTTAGCCGACTTCGACCCGGACCTAGTCTGGGTCTGGGTCCGGGTTGGATATCTCGACCTAAACCCGGGTTATGCGATAGACTGGATACATTTCTACATGTTTTATCGTCACTGTACTATGTGGATCGAAATCAGCACCAGTTTGCATTACGCTATACCTGTTATGTTTAGTCTATTCCTGAATCCCGTTCTTGACAGTATCCAGGTACCGTAATAATAATTGTGTAAAAATAGCTTCTGTATCAAGCTCGTATGGTCCGTCCGCAAGGTGTCTATCGGGCAGAATGTTTTGACAAACAGTCCAAACATAATGAAGATGCAACGAACATCTGGCAAGATCTCCGCCCCTTTCATTTTCTGTAGACTTCGTCTACATCTGTCTCTTACATTCCTGACAAGGTAAAACTCGTGAAATAACGCAAGAGGTTATTCGGAGTAAACCTGGAATTCAATATGCCCATCAGACAGGTGCGGCCAAGTCCACTACTCGACCTTCCAATCGAGATCCTCCTCATGATAGCGGACATTCTGGACACCCGAGATGTCGGCTCATTCCTACGCACGGCGCGGAGATATGCTAGCATCCTCGATTCCCATCTTTATCAACGTGCGCGCAGCCATATCTGCGCCGACGAAAACTCCGTCCTCGGATGGGCCGCGAAAAGAAATCAAGCACCTGTAATCCGCAAGCTCCTTAGCAAAACCAGGGATGCGCCAATTTCGCTTGAAGCGAAAAGCAAAGCACTATGTCTCGCCGCAGAGGCCGGAATGCATTGCATCATCGAGCTTTTGGTGGACGCTGGTGCGGATCTATCGTCTGCGATAGATACGGGACGGAGACCGACATGTAGCGCACTGCAACTCGCTGCAGGAAATGGCCACGAAAAAGCCGTCCATGTACTCCTAGGAATGGGGGCAGATATCGCTGTCACTAATTCATTCCAAGAGACCGCTCTACATTATGCGGCCCGTGGTGGCCAGGAAAAAGTTACGAGACTGCTTCTGGAGAGGGGAGCTGATGTGACAGCATTAACGATCAGCCGAAAAACAGCACTCCATTACGCAGTTTTGTCTAGAAATGAAGCGGTTGTGAAGCTGCTCCTAGAGAAGGGAGTAGACTTGGAGGCAACTTCATCCAATGGGCGTACAGCGTTATTTGATGTATTTGATGTCGATTTTACCTGCGAGCCCATTCTTAATCTGCTTCTGGCGAAGGGCGCAAATGTGAATGTATCTGAAGATTTTCAGCGCTTGACACCACTACACCTTGCTGCAGAGGATGGCAATGAATGGGCTGTTAGGTCACTCTTAGCGAATGGGGCGAACGTGATGGACCGTGATTTCTTGGGACATACGCCACTGCATATAGCGGCCGAGTCCGGGAATGAAGCAGTTGTAAGAATTCTCCTCGACAAAGGGGCGGAGGTTTCCGCTTTTGCGGTTGAAGAGGATAATACACCACGGAATTATGCAGAATCGAATGGCCATGAAGCAATTGCTAGACTTCTAGATGAGGCAGCCACTCAGCGTGTGAAAAATTTAGCTTGAAATTCTATATATGGATGTGGTACTGTGCGGATGCTCAACTATCTTTATACGACTAAATCCCCTAGAAGTTCGTACAGCTTGGTTAGGTGCCTGCCTACGACAGAAGCTGCACACTAATGAGGTGTTATGTTTTAAAGAAGACCGTATAAAAGTGAAGTGATACGGCAAATGCAATGTCAACAAAATTCTAGCCAACACGGCATTTGTTTGGCTGCCTAGTGAATTTTTACGAAGGCATATAGAAAAGAAGTAACATGCCGAATTTGTGAAGTCGCAAAGAGTATTCTAGAAGATTGCTAACGATAAGGGACAACGAATCGTGTATAACTAGCTACTTCTTATAATTTAGAGAGGTAAACCATCATTTGATAATGTCTGACAATATATTTCGATAATTCAAAACAGCAAAATTAGATATAGATAAGCGTATTTCGAAATAAGGTTCGAGAAAGAATCAAAGAGAATATGTCAGCGAGATAGAAGGCTACGTAGGAATGAAATGATATAGGGGAAACTGTATTGGACTCTCGAGAGGAAAAGAGAGAGGAAGCTATCTGCACTAACTACTGGAAGTCCTGGGACCCGGGCTGTCACGTGACTGCTCCGACAGGCGTCGATAGAGAGGCCGATAGAAGATAAAGCTGATGATAACGAGGAAGGTTGAATAGAGCTTCAGGGACTCATAACCTATGAGGAGAGGTCTACGAAGACGTCGAAGTGCATGGTGCAATGTGTTATTGAAGCTAAGAGCTAGACTAAGAAATCCGACAGTTTCGCATGATGCTAAACGGTCTAGTTCTGGAAACGGGCCCGTTTCTACTTTATATGATTGAGTAGTACTTCCATCCATGTCACTCCTATACAGCCGCCGAGATAGCCAAAACCGCCGTGTAGAAAGCAGTCCCGGGTTCTAGAGGGACACCCGTCAAGTGCAGCCCATTCTTAGTTGTGACGCTATCGACAGGCTCCTCGTCATCAACACCGATTCTCTTCGATGAACCCCAAGTGTGCTCAATATGGCCATGTGTTGGCAAGTCCTGGTGCCATCCTTCTCATTCTTGGGGCTCGGAAACTTCGTTATCGTCGTCCTCAATACCAGACGGTCGCTTTGCGGAAGCGGCACATGACTCGGCCAGTTGTCTTTGTGTGCGATATTCTACACTGCGGAGTTGGACCATTAGAACGTGAACCCTTGAAGGAAAGCAGTCTAGTAATTAACTGCAGCTAATGGGCGCCCTTAAAAGTAGTTGATACTTCCTAACCCTGGAATTCCAGGGCACTCCGGTTGAAAGCATCCACCATCCCATCATAGAGCCTCTGAACAGCCACCTGGTCTGTCTCAGTACCCGTGAAAACCTTCCCATCGCGCACAGGGAAGAGCAGCGCGTGCAGTTCTTTGGCAAGACCTCGGAGAGGAGCGAAGTCAGAGGAAAACTCGTCCAGAATTCCTTCAAAGCCCTCAGGGCTCATGTCGGCGGCCTTATCCCGTCCGACAGCACCGAAGTCCATTGTGCACCATTTCCAGAGCCGCGATGTCTTTGGTATGCCTTCCAGTATGTCATTTGCCTCGTCGTGCACGCCATCGTTCGCAATAGCGATCCATAGAAATGCGTAGAACAGGGACTCCAAGTCGTGCCGGTATGTATGCCGTTGTCCGGAGAGAATGCCAATGGCCATGAAGCCATCTGATCCAACCATTGGCTCAATAGGACGGACGTTGTCGAGATCTAGCGCGAAGTAAATTGAGCAAGACACCCCTGGGGCTGTCTGCGCTGCGCTGCGGGGTGATGATCAAATTCTTAATGGCGACGTCGCGATGGAGGATCCTCGCATTCACGTAGAGGGATTGAAGGGCTTTGACAAGGTCACGCAAGACCTCCAAGAGCTCGGGAATCGACGTGAACTGTCGGATCGGACGGCCTAGAAGGGTGCTTGCGACGCACGAGAATCTCCGGTTGGCAACCGTTTGAGGAAAGTGCAGCCCCTGGCGAAGGTCGGCGATGTTCACCAGGTCCTGATAGCCTAGGAGCTGGATGACGCCCCAGGCGTTGCGCTCACGCGCCCGCTTCAGTAGGCGGACCTCAGTGGGCTCTTCATCCTCCCGCCAGGAAAACTTGATGGCAGTGTCTGGTTCCCCGACTGTCGATGTCGAGGCCACATAGCAGGTTGTCCCGGGCCCGACTGTATAGTCCGCCGTTGCAATCAACTCTGGTCGAAGGTGCAGCTTGTCGCTCTGATCAAATGCGACATAGCTGTCCGATCCAGGTGCGTGCTTTACAAAGGTGTTAAACCCAGCTTCCTCATCACTCATCAAGGTGTAGCCGGCCAAAGTCCGCACCAGCAGGTCGGGTCTCTGCGCCAGATCAAGCCTCTCGCTGCTGTAGGCGCCCGACCGATCAAAAACCCAGAGCTCCAGCGTAGTACTGCGGACCAGGAACCCGTGTACAAAGCATCGAGCCGACTGGGCCTTGAACACCTGCTTTGCTCGCTCGCAGAAGCGCAGAGTGTCGTCGTCGTCATCGGACAAGACGGAGCCACTGTCTTGATGGAATTCACCAAACACTCGGGTGCTACCTGCAACTGACTGGAGATCGGATGTCTCGAGGTAGATGACGGCCCCAGGTGTGCTACTCATGTTGCTGAGCGGCTGGCTGTGGAAGCGGAAGTTGGCTTGGTCGACCGAGAAGAACAAGGTCTGGAATTCGGCAAGCCATTCTACCAGCGGGTCGAAGTGAGCAATGCCAGGGATACCAGCAGATAACTTGCTAATAATATCGGCTGACTTTGTTTCTTGCAATTTGTTCTGGACTGCTGAGGACCAGGACTTCCACTCGAAGTACTTGGCAAAGAAACCATTAACATTTCGGAAGATGTTGCCTTTCAATTCGTCTCGGAGAGATTGAAGGGCTGCCTCGGTTGGGGGTACAGAGGACATTGCATTCGATATGGTTGCTATTCAGCAGACTTATCAGTTTGAATAGCTAGCGTAAGGCTTCCAGACAGACCTTTGGGGAAATTGGGGAGGCATGTCAATCTCGAACGTAAGGGCAATGAACTAAGGTTGGTAAAAAGGAAAAAGGAAAAAGGATCTGAGGTTAGAGTCAGAAAGTGTCTCCAAAGAAAGACAGGAAACAAAGAATTCCAAAACGGGGCAACTCCTGTCAAATCAAAATATGAAGGTCACCGCTTTTTCTCTTGGAGTGGCCTCGTAACGTAGGACTTACTGCACATGTGCACACAGTAACTACCTAACTAGGTAGTTAGCTTGTTAACCTTGGAAGCATTAACCGGATCCAGCGTCTTGTCAGGTCTGGACACAAAGAGGGTTTGATCACCGGGCCTCAAACTTCGATCACGTCCAACCCCAGTACATCAGCTCGATCAAGACGCAGTTTGAACGGTAAAGTACATCCAAGTCCTGGTGTTGCTGCAGGAGAATCAGGCAGCAATGCGCCAATGGGAATTGGCTGAAAAACACCGCATGCCGGTTTGATCTTGGCTGGCGCAGGCAAGCAACTCATGGGTCTCCGTGTGAGACAAGACAGCAAGCTCGGTCGCAATCAACATCTGCAATGCAGCAAGGTTTTCCCTGAGGGCGAATAGATTAACGCAGATTATCTAGCCAGTTCTAGGCGATCTGCACGGGGCCGGGTGTGCAGGACAAGTTTCGTGTCACCTCTCAAGGCAACATACCGCGATTATTCCCGATCCTTGCGCCAGATTCCAAGCCAAATTCATTATATATGGAAATCCAACATTGGGGTTTTCTTAATGATTGTGATTTGAAAGCATCACGGATGAGATATTAGACCGGAAGGAATGATTGGCCTTGCAAGCTCTGGAATAATTTGCCCCGACTCACATGAATGTATTCCATATTCAATTTAGTGTGCGGCATCTCAGAATTAAGCAAAAGCCTCCATGAAAAGGTTAAGCCGTAGAGATAGCGAATGCGTAGAAACAGGTTTATTGGTTCTAGTAGGCCCCAGGCTACTCGAAGAACCCGAGTACGGGCCATTAGTTCCTGGGATCCCATGGTCATATTTAGTCTCGACTGCACATGACGGGTTTAATCGATCCTGGCGGTTTGGTTGTTTTTGGGACTCATCTGAAATGGACAGGTGAATGTATAATTTTGTACAATAGACTGACTTTTTCTTTTACTTTCCCTACTACGCTATAGTAAGATACAGTAGTTTTAGAGATATAAACGTATCTTTCTATTACCGATATAATAGGCATTCGGTACATGTAGACTTTTAATTAAAGTTACTTCTTCTAAGTCCTTTTATATTTAACTATAATTTTTAGTACGTCTACTATTACGCTCTTTGGAACAAAGCCATATCAGTCGTCGGCAAAGAAGCGAATCACACCCAAGGTGACATACTACGTAATTCTAACGTCGCCTATTTTGTTCTTTGTCTCTAGCTTTGCAATCTTCATTCAGCTAAGTCTTTCTCTACATCCATACACCTGGGTATCAAATTCGCTTTAATGGCATCAGATAAGCCAGAGTGCAATCAGTTCGTGAAATTCTTGAATGCAGTGCTCGGAGGGATCCTTGCATTTATTCTAGGTAGAACCGTGGAGAAATGCTTCGATCACTTTCAACGGCGGTATCGCTCCAACAACACCACAATATTTAACGCAAGAACCGCTAGCGGTGATGATATTTGCGGACTGGATGACCTAGACAATACTCTTTATCTTCCAGTTCACAGCACACCTGTGACACCGCCGGGGCATGCTATTTCAGATATGGATCGAGATATCAAGAAGGGGGTGGCATGTAAAGAGGATCTACACAACCCTGGAGCGACAAGACCATGGAATGGTTCTGTTTAATATTCCAGGCCTTTGAGAGGGAGCCTAAAACAGGATACGAAGTAGGAAACAGAAATGGAAAGAGACAATGAGGACTTTTGTATGTGCTTGGTCATCACATTAGCTACCACCTAATTGCATTTAAGCTCTAGGTGGCGTTGACTTTGCAGGGGGAAGGGGGGTAGGGACGCATATTTATTTGCTGGAATACTTCCCTATATGTTACTCGTTTTCGCTACGTCACTCGGGTCCCAAGTATGTACACTATATGTTCAATGCCTTCAAGGGCCTGTTAGCTTTCGACCTATTGATATTTTTGGTACCGATAATTTTGATTCTGTTACAATTACGAAATGTACTAAACATATCACCCTCAAGAACACTCTATCATGATGTACCATAATATGAATTTTACAGGCCTCTTTGTCGAGGCATGTGGCCATACATTAGGCTTCCCCCACTGCAGTAGATAGATAGACTCTCTCTCTCTCTATAGAAGGAGGACCTTCCGGCCTGATAGTTTGATGTATATATCTGGCTTTTGAAGGTCCTTATGCGCAAGTATATCATCACTGCGACAGGCCCTTGTCCTGTTTACTGATTCCCCCCAGGTCGCGATAGAGTAGCTCTGAAAAAGTATCAGACGAAATTCAACCGCACATATTATTGAACATATTTCATTCAGCCCTCGACGAAAAGATCTTTAGTGGAGGTCCTACATTTTCACAAGTTTGGATGACCCGGACCTCATTTTGACGAGAAGCAACTGAAAGTCTATGGAAGACTTTCATACGACCCAGTATTCGAGAATGATGGAACATGGTATTTAAGCAAGGGACAAAGCTTTCGCGTGCCAAGAAGGCATTTGACAATTACGACTGGGAAGGTTCCTGGGTCTGGGAAATCGGGTGTCCATTCTCAGTGTTGTCTACCTTGCCCTCTTAATAGGCTTTCTGGGATACGTGGATGGGAAAGCCTATCTCAGCTGGCAATATTCTATATCTCCTAATGCAGTCATCTCCGTCATTGCGAATTTCGCGAAGGCAGCGATGCTTGTTTTAGTTTCGATCTGTCTTGGCCAGTTGAAGTGGAGACAGGGCCACGATCAAAACCCACGCAGCTCTATCATTTCCATCTTCTTGATGAAGCCAGCCGTGGTCCTTGGGGGTCTCTAAAGATATTTTGGCACTTGAGGTCATTTCTAGAATTGGCAGGAGCAGCACTGATGGTTCTTGCTGTTGCGATTGATCCTTTTACACAACAGATCTTATCATTTCCATCACGACAAGTACAAGTGCTGAATGAGACTGCATATGTCTTTAAACCGCAGGAGTTCCACACCAAATCGGATGGGGGTGCATTTCGAATGGATCCTACAATGCAGATTGCCATGTTCAATGGATTGACACAAACAAACGCTCCTCTCGACCCAATATGTCCTTCGGAATCCTGCGATTATCCCGACTTTACCACGCTTGGAATTTGCACGTCTTGTGAAAATGTTACAGAAACAGCCACACAAGACTGCCGGCCAATTCCAAGCCCATATTCTGGACGAACTCTACCCAGAAATGGTCGGATTGGCATATGCGCTTAGGCGTTGGACAAACTAAAGTTAGCGGAAGAGCTTATCAAACTGAGACGTACATTCTTGTCCGTTGGCTGCGGGCTATTCTTCCCATAGTAACGGTCATCTTGTCTATCTCTCTCTTCCTGGCTACAGTGATTGTTAGTCGAGGTCAACCCGTGCTATGGAAATCGTCCGTTTTTCCGCTCCTCATGGGGCTGTTGCAGGTTGCTCCAGAACATGAAATCGCCAACATTCGGCATTTAGGCCAGATACAGTCTATGTCGAAGGAAATCAAGATTGTTGTAGAAGGAAAGGATAATGGTCCCCTTTTGTTCTCAGAGCGATAACATTTTAATGCTATTTAATGTCCATAGGAATAGAGACTGAACATGCTTTTGCGTATATTGTTACTTGTCCCTTCTGGTGTAATTCCGAGGGCTTAATAGAACCATTCACAATACCTCAATAACACAAAACTAATGGGCATACAGTCATGTAGTTTCGCATTCTGTCTCCTTTCTAACTAGTCTATATGGAGTAGGATATAGTCTCAGATGTTTTATTGGCTTCGCACCCAGGGTGAATAGGATGTGACGAGGGTCTGCGGGAGGAGGGAGGAGGTACATATGTAGCTATTGAGCCTTGTCGAGGGCCGTTATGCCTCGGCGAAGTCCAGGACTGGCCCGTGACGCGGTGCATAATTTCCCTCCCCTTCTTCAGCCCTGCCCCACCTCCCTCCTCATTCCTTAAATAGGAGTAATATAAAATACCTTATTCGGGTGCTGTCAGCCTCGCGCTATACTCCCACTCTGGTTGCTTTTTCCGTGGATTTTGTCGTAACCTTTCAGCACGCGACCGAGAATTGCAGGTTGGGGTCCTTTCTGCAAGTCAGCACCCTAAGTAGGAACGAGGTTGCTACATTGCCGATCATCTCGTATTCTACCTGCCAAGAAATTGTCGAAATCTCCCGACAAAGGGTATTATTGGACAACGAACATACCCTGCATAGCAAGCGAAGGGCCATGCCGTCTCCGTTGCTTCGCTTATGCACCGACAATTTGTTCTGCAAGGACCAATCTCCAGCCTCAGCATGGCCCGCCATTAAGGGCCCTGATGCTAAATTAAACATAAGATAGGGATGCCCCGCAGAAATTTGGATTCAAATTTTAACATTAATTTTGTGTCTACAGCCAGATTGTTCCCGTTTTTGGCAGGTCCCCATTCACAGCTATGATTGCCTCTTCACTTCTCTCCTTGCTGCTATACTTCACCTGCCTACCTTCAGTCTCAGCATGGATCTTCAGTTGGCACGAGCCAGATGGCAAATTGCTGACGGTTCAAAATGATATCGGCCAGGACTGCAAGTTAATGAATAATCCAGAAGGGAATGTGTTTGATTGGACCCCTCAAGAGGGATACTGGTGCCTTTTCCTTTATGGAAACACTCACTGCGAGGAGCCATCCGAAGGCTATACATGCAAGACCTACCCCTGGTCAGACCACGTCTCGAGCGCGGATCTTTTGGCATTCAAGGTGAAGAATAACACTTCTGCTTTTGAGTCCTCGACATCCTCGATATCAGCCTCCGCATCACCGACCAATTCAGACTCCTCGACATCAGCTTCCCCATCATCGACCGACACAGGCTCCTCCCCAACACCCACGATAGCCACCACACCTACTGCGGACGCCGCCGACGCTGCCAGCTCTTCTTCGGCGACTAGTGCATTAAGTAGCACAGATAATATCTCCACTATCTCAGGTGGTGCGATTGCTGGAATCGTCGTGGGAGTCCTAGCCGCAGTGGCAATTGCTGGGCTCATTTTCTTCCTGATCCGACGACGACGCCAGAATGCCGCACAGTCGAGTGCTGTCGGGAGAAGTCCAACTGTCGCGATGGCGGAACTTCCTTCCCCCCACGAAGAAAAATCGCATGCTTTAAATAAACCTATATATCGGGCACAAGGATTCCGCGAACTACACGGATCCGACGTTGCATCTGAGATAGGGTCTGGGATAGAGCGACATGAACTCGACGCAACCCAATTCCACGCAGATAAGAAGTATTGAGAAGAAGAAAATGTATGTTAATATCATTTGACGGTGGCTTCATACGGAAGCTGGCAGGAAGCATGTCATGAGGCGCTTAATGTCCTATGTTAATAAATAACCCACACTCGGGAAATAAAAAGCATTTGAAATTGTCTGTTATCGTCCGTCTAATAGCTAGAAAGCCAAGCTATGTTCTCGGATTGAGTAAACCAAGGCCTTCGCCCGCATTCCCCGGATTTCAGTTGGTGGGCCCAAAGCTGCTGAAGAAATGATCGCCAATTTCCTTTCTATACTTGAGCGTATTGATTGGAAATGTGGCACTGTCACGGTATCCAAGCAATATTTCCCCAATTCCCCCACCCCAGAATGAAGTATATATTTCCGAGCCGACTGTCGTCTTGATGATGCTAGTGCATCAATGAGGTAATGGGGTAATGTAGAAGAGGGTTCAGCATAATGCATTTTGTTAAGATCATGACCTAGGAGGCGACTTGCCTCTAGGCTCAGGTTCTGCTCAGTGATTGAATCAGGGGAGATGACCATCAGCAGGTGGATCCTTGAGGCTAAGAAATTATCACGTGATATGGAGCGAGCACGTCTTATCACCACGTGATGCGATAAACTGCTGGCGACGTCATCCCAGGGCGTCGGCCTCTTATGACAGCTCAGCTGAGTTCTTGAAATTGCTCACAAATCCATATCCAATTTACTTCATTCGCACCTGTTTTCAAGATGTCCGTCCTACCATGCGTCCGCTCTGCGCGTAGCCCCTCATTCCTCCGCCTCGGAGGCCTACAATCGCACCACATCAACCGACCCTCCATACAGCGGCTGCGCCCGGTCTCTCGCTCTTTGCACAGCATGTCCAGCTCTAACAATGTACGGACTAGCCCAATTTCATGCCAAAAGCCCTTCTCACTCCGATCATCAATTCCCAAAGCTACGGCGAGGACCTACGCCGACCAAAAAGGATCCACGGGCAAAGCCGAAGCCGATCTCCTGGTCGAGGAATTACAAGAGCTGTATGAAGTTGCCAAAGACGAGTTTGAAATTGCCACTGAGAGCACGGACTCATCCACCATCTACGCTGCTTCGGACCGTGAGTCTGCCCGTGATGCTCTCAACCAGCTGTCCACTGTGTACGGCCTATACACTGCTCGTCCTGGGGAAGTCGAGAATGAGACGGATGAGTTATCATCTGAGGTAGAGGACTCTGGGGAGAGTGCTATTGTCGAAACTCAATATAATCCGGCGGAGATTCCGCAGGGTGTTAAGGATGAGGTGCGTCGGCGGGTTGGACATCGGATTCGGGAGTTGAAGAATGCTGTTGAGGCGCTTGAGGAGAGGGCCACGGAAGATTGAGCGCGTTGCTGCATGGCTGTTCAAACTCCGGCTTATCGCTACTGGGGTGCTGCGATGGTATGGATTCTGTATCTAGATGCGGCAATTGTATATTTTAAGGTCTAACTCGTACTTCGGTATGTTGTGGTCCACACCAGCAAAAGAAATAAACGAATTATCCATCTTGAGTCTGCAAGCTTCATTTTTCCTAGCCGATATATCATACCTGACATGCGATTTCATAAAAAAGCAAATCATAACATAATAAAACCATGTAGGAAATAGATCACCCGGGCCAATCAAAGAGTTGATCGGTTCAGGCTCTTAAGACAATAAATCAATTAAATCATTGGGGTAAAGTCCCAGCAAGGTCGAGGGCAAGTGGTATCAAGCTTTTTGGTGGTTCTCGAAAAAATCCGGAAAACGCCAGAAACAAAATGTTTCTCAACGATTCATAGTACGCCAGGCGGCAAATAGCGCCTGAATCCGTTGGGTCGTAAGGCATGGCAATTGCATATAATGATGCAGTCAAAGGTATGGTTCATTAGACGAGAGTGAAGGGGGTCATAGTGAAGTGGTCGGAGCTAGGTGATGGAAGTGACGAGGAGAAGTCTTGTTTGTGCGTTGTTCTCTGGTGGCGCTTCAATTGATCTGTAGATTGGTTAGTATGTAGGCGGGTTAAACAGGGGTCAGATCACTTACCAGGACGAGTAAAGCTCTTGGTGCATCCTGGGAAATGGCATTTATGTCTTCGCTCCCCGTGAGCTAAAAGAAGTCAGTAAAATATGGTAAAAGTTCAAAATGGAAGGGGTATCGTACTGAGTCTGTGACTAGACATATTGGAAGACTGGTTCGATGTTAGAGCATGAGCAGGTATGTTACATATAAATAGAGGAACTCACGTCGCCCGTGGTGAAATTGCATCCTGGCCAGGTGCACTTGAAAGGCTTTTCGCCAGTGTGGGTTCGCGAGTGTGTTTCTGAGATAGTCAGCAGTGGACTCGAGATGGAATTCCAGGACGACATACTCAACTCACTGCTATCGGTAAATGATTTACCGCAGTGTTTGCAGGTGTATGGTTTGTCGCCGCGATGGCTACGCTCGTGTCGATCTAATGTCGCTTGTCTAGCAAACGCCTTGCCACACACCGAGCACGAAAAATTCTTATCTGTAAAGACGCCATTCGTGTCAGTACATTTGTCCTACCATCGATAAATAACGAGAGAATAGACATGACGTACAGTTACTGTGAGTAAGGAAATGGCCTTGAAGCTTGGACTTCTGCGAGAAGGGCTCGTCCGGACGATGGCATCCTTCCCAGCAACAGTAGTACCCATTGCCCTTGGCACCGTTAACGGTATTCATATGAGTCGCAACAAGGTGCTCCTGAAGAGAACCACAATCGGGAAAAGTAGCACCGCAAGCAGCCTTGATTCCATGAATCTCTGTTGCCCACTTGCATATATGCAGCTTACTGTCATCAGGAGAAAAGTCCGGCGTGGTAAGCACAGATGAGGTGTCACCTTCGAGAGGTGGTGGGGTTTCTCCTGGACTTGAAAGGAGGTGAGAGCTGATGCTCGAGCGGGACTGTCGTGAATAAGGGGAATAGGGGTGAGAATGAGCATGGGTGTGAGCTCGGCAGCGATGATGGTTGCGGTGGGGTCCTTTGCGGGTAGCTTGCAGGTTAAAATCATTAGGATTTTTGAAATGGCTGTGGACATGATGATGTTCGGGATGGAAGCAATTGAATGCGTTTGATGTGTCGATTTTGGGCTTTTCGAAGGTATTGAGATCATTCTGAGGGGCAGGTACGTGTTGATCTTGGCATATCGAGAAGTCGGAACACATACCAAGCATGTGGAAAACCTCAGCTGGGTTGACCTCGGCCTGTGTCGGAACAGGAGGCGCGAACATGCCCTGCCAGTCTTTCTGGAAATCATGGCACTCGAAGTGGTTGGATACGTCCTGCTCGCAGTGGGTGGCATGCGTTTGGTATGAGGATAGGAAGTTTTCCTGTTGAAACGGATCGACGAGACCAGGTAGAGGATGCTGCATGGCCTTTGTCGCTTGGCCAACGGAATGATTCCCCATTGCCATGGAAGGGAAAACCCCCGTGTCTAGCGACAGTGGGGTGTTGAGGCCAAACAGAGCGTCAAAGCCGCAATCTTGACTCGCAGTCCCTTCACAGCAGTGGTTTTCGAAGCACAGAGGGTCAATACTTTCACAGTGGTTGTCCTGGCAGTTGACCTCTTCGCAGTGGTTGGTATCGCAATGAGTATCGTCGCAGTGGTTACCGTCGCAGTTATCATCACAGTTATCATCCTCGCAGTGAGTAATTGAGCAGACAGTAGAAGTGTCACAGCCCGTAAAGCCGCCACATATGGACCCGCAGTCAGCGCACAGTCGTCTACATCACAGCAGGCCTCATCGACCTCACAATGTGGCAGCGCTGACTGGGTTTCATGACTTGAACAGTTCAAATGATGTTGAAGAGCATTGCCCGAGGGATCGACCGCAGCCTTACCATCTATGTGAAACGCTTCCCAATTGCATTCAAGGCAGAAATCGCCTTGTTGGGTTTGGGACACCATGGTGCACGGTTCACTTCAGATAACGCAGGGAAGGTGTTGGGTCAAAATCAAATCGGGGTTTCCAGGAACAGTGTCGTCACAACAGCGTGTACGACGAACGACACGGGGAAAATACAGTCGAGGAACGGAGTAGTGTGCGACCGTAAGTGGGACAGTGAATGTCTGTCAGGTACGATATCCCGCTACAAAATCACGAATCCACGAGTCCAAGCGTCACCCAGTGTGTGCGCCGTTCCCGGGAGAGTTTAGGTTGTAGCACCGAATGATATCCTCTCACGGTGCGGATAGTTTCACAATCGTGTCATGCGCTTGGACCGGACTGGTTGAGAACAGGCGCAATCGGAGAATTGACCGAGATCGACGTGCAGGAAAATCAAAAAGGAGGACCTTGGAGTCACAGCAGATGCAGGATCAAACCCAAGGGATTTTGAGAAGATCAGGGGACATAGCCTGGTGACGACTGGGACCCCTCAGTGTAGTGGTGAGGACCTTCGGGACGTAGGAAAGGATGGGGACCTTGGGGGTTAGGCGTCATGATTTTCGAGCGAATCGTAGAGCGTGGTTTGGCGAGCAACTTTGGGGAAATCTTATGGTGGATGTGAGATAGAGTCAAAACTGCAGGAAATAGAGACCTGAGAGCAATCCAAGAAAAATGCTCCCCAGCATTCCGATGAAGAATTCCTTTCCCGCGGAGATGATTTCCCTTCAAGAAAAATACTGACTAAGCAATATTCTGCCACTCAGGTCCGACCTGTCTCCGAATCGGGTAGTTTGTCTGCAGTTTACATCCGATGTAGAGAAGAAAGTTCATGTTAAGTCATAAAATGCATAAACTCTATGAGCTGAATGACATCCATGGTTATTTACCTTCCATATCTCCTACTAAGCGCAAATACTCAGCTCCACTTACTGAATCGGCCTCCATTCACCGCCTTTGCCCCGGATCGACTATCAGCTTATCGCAATGCTCCAACATCCACTCGTGATGACCCGCCCACAACAACGTGAACAACGTACAAGTTGATTCACAGCCAGCAGAGCACCTGCAGAACCTACCCGAGAGAAATTCCCTATATTCAATTGTGTTCCTCCAAAGAGCAGCTCTGCACCGTAACTGAGGCTCTAGTCAACGACCTTTCCCTATCCTGTATCCTGTATCCTGCGCCGAACCCAGACTAACCGGCAACGAACTTTCCGGTCCCTACTACTCATTACACAATCACAATGGGCAACATCTGCTCCCGCTCATCCAATGAAACAGACCCCTTCAATCAGCCGGGTCGTGTAGTCGGCACCAGCTCAGGGGGAACTGCCGCACCCCGCGCCCCACTTCCGGCCAAGACAAACTGGAAGGCTACACCCGGCCGCACATTAGGCGAGAGCACTGCAGATGGTAGTACCGGTGGAACGGATGAGGCACGTGCAAATGCTGCAATTGCGGCACAGGTATGACAGCTCATGTCCCGCAAACATATGCTATGCAGAGCTATCATTGCTGACTAGTGTGTTACAGAAACGCGCCGAAAGCGCCTCTGCCAATAAAGGGAAATTGGGCTCAAAGCTGGCTGCACAGAAGGCACAGACTCAGGCGCAGACATTAGACCAAGTCAGTCGCACAGAGAGGGCTGCGCGAGATGTAGATGGGGTCGAGGCTGCAAGGAGATGGGAATAGGCATACCCATACAATGTTTTAATTTGATCATGACTGCCATGGTATCCTAGAGATTGTTTGCTGGCGTTGTATTTGCGGGCTCGTTGTGTCTCCTTATAGCGAACGTTTTGTTTTTGTTGCAGTTCATTGACTTCTTGTTTGTCAGCGGGATAGTGGAATCAAGCTTCACTTTGGGTTTAGATAAAATGATGTGATGATACTAGTCTCAGCTGGTACTCCGACTAGCCTCGGTTTCTCCAATTCTAACTCCGGATGAGAGTAATCATGGAGGTACTCTTTGGCTTCAGCTTCTACAAGAATCAAGACACGCCAAGTATATCGTACAATCATTGAATTTTGAAGACGTATTTGAGTCTACCATGAACTAAAGAATGATCTAAAGAACATTGTAGCGGCCACCCACTGGTGCGCGCGCCTCACCCTCTGATGCTGCCAGGGTTGCGTCCTTAAGCAGACGTCTAAGCTCATGGATGGCGGTGGTGACGGAGATCTCCGTCTCACCCTCAACCAGAATATACAGCTTGGGAAGTTCCCCGGGCCCAGGTTCCTTCCCAGCTGCGTAGAAATTGCCCTTGGTGGTGATGGAGGTACCAGATGCCTCCAGGATCTTTGCCACGTTCGTACGGTTTGTGACGGCCCAGCGTGCTTTTTCTGTATGGTAAAAGTAAACGGTAAGTAATTGTCTCAAAGATGGGAGGAATATGGGATAACTTACGAGGGAAATCATTGATTTCCAATGTTGCATGGAACGCTCCAGCATCGGGGCCACGGTTATCAATAGGCACACCCGATCTCATCACACCCGCACGACTCAAACGTGCATGGATATCTGCAACGGCAGAACCCACCTTATCCAATGGGTTCTTTGAGGCACCGGCCGGTGCTCTCTCCGTACGATGAACGACGATCTTTCCATCGAGATCAACGCCTTTCGGCACACCCGGCATTGAAGGTGAAGCCGCAGCCGGTGCAACAGCCGGGGAAGCAGCGGATCGGACAGCTGAAAGAGCCTTGTTGAATCGATCGTCTGATTCCTGCTCAGTCTCAAGCTTATCTTCTTCTTCATCCTCATCACCAGTTTTGTATGCTTTCCGCTCACGCAGTCGCGCAGTTTCACGTTCCATATTAAGACGGTCCAGACCTTTACCACCGAATCCATGACGTGAGAAATTCTTTTCCTTGCCAGCCTTGACCTTCTCGTTGAAACCGTCAACCAGCTTCTGGAGAGGCTCGGGGACTTCCTGTCCACTTTGTTTGAGAGCCTTTGCAATATCCAAAGCATACCGATCCTGTTCTTCGGTAACGAATGTGACGGCGGTTCCAGTGTTGCCAGCCCGTCCAGTGCGACCGGCACGATGGACATAATCCTCAAGATGATTAGGTGCATCATAGTTGACAACGAGCTTGAGCTGCTTGACATCTAAACCACGAGCAGCAACTGAGGTTGCAACTAGGATGGGGAAAACGCCGGCCTTGAATTCTTGAATCGTGCTGTCACGATCAATCTGGTCCTTTCCACCGTGAATTGACATGCAGGGGTAGCCCTTATACATCAACTGCTTGAGCAAGTCATCTGCGGCCTCTTGACGATCCACAAAAATCAACGTGCGATAGTCTTCATTTGCGTCGTCTTCGTACAGATTCCCCAGAAGCTCCAACAGGCGGAAGAATTTCTGGTCGTTATTACGGACCTCGACGATTTGCGTGATCTCTGGAGCCACAACACTCTTGCCACCCACAGTGATCTCCACTGGATCATTCAAGGTTTTTCGGGCCAATGCTTCCATGCTCTTAGGAAAAGTGGCCGAAAAAAGGACAGTCTGCCTGTCCGGTCGGATGCTAGTCATGATCTTCACAACTTGTGGCCCAAAGCCCATATCGAACATGCGGTCCCCCTCATCTAGGACGACATACGTGATACGGCGTAGATTGAGGACCCGTCCTTGGTTTGCGGCTAGCAGATCGATGAGACGCCCAGCAGTGCATACAATAATCTCCGCGCCCCGTTTAAGTTCGGCAATTTGGTCTTTGATCGGGGCTCCGCCATACGCGCAAACAGCACGAAGACCCAAGGCCCTCAAGAAAGGCTTACAGTCCTTATGGATTTGGGTGGCCAGTTCACGGGTGGGGGCCAAGATCATACTGATGGGACCATCTGTACTAGCCAAGGGCCGTTGGTCTTTGATATGCCGAAACATTGGAACCAGGAAAGCGCCGGTCTTGCCTGAACCAGTTTTTGCCACGCCGATGACATCGCGACCGGACATGATCGTGGGGATTGCTTGGGCTTGAATAGACGTGAGGCTTTCCCACCCGAGTTTGTGAACAACATCCAATGTCTGAACGCCGAGACCGCATTGTGACCACTTTTGAACGGGTTTAGGAACATCGTGACCGCGGACCTTGATGCCATCGAGTTCAAGTCGCAAGCTTGCTACATCCTCCTCGGTCATCTCGGCAAGGTTGGATGGTTCGGTGTAAAATTCCTTACGGAACGGCTCATACTCAATTTTAGTGTGGTCGATATCAGGCATCTCCCGCTTCTTCTTTTTAATCGCTGCCAGGGCAAGGACGTCTTCGGCCTTCTCGTCACCAACCGCCGTCACATCCACATCCTCATCGTCGCCAAACATCGCTTCTGGTTGTTGATTTGTTTTCTTCTTGGCAAATGTGGCCCCAGTTGTCCGTTCAGGCGGCGTCGAGTCTTGGAGTCCAGCCATGAACGCATCCAGGGGATCGACTTCTTCGGCATCGTCCACCTCCATGAGAGTAGAGTCGGCCTGCACGTTCGTCGATTCCTCCATGTGGACATCACCATTTTGATTCTGGAGTCGTGTATCCCGGCGTTCAGTTGCGGCACGAGCTTCGGCTGCTGCGTGTTCTTCCGTTCCTTCAACTTGCATGTCTACATCATCATCTTCTCCCGCATCCTCCACGGGTGCACTCACATCGAGAGGCGTGGTCGGCAATTTCTCAAGTTTCTTGCGTGTTGATTCCTCATCTCCATCCCCGAATCCCAGAGTTTTAGAAGCAGAGGGTTTCTCTGTTTCAGAAACTTGCTTGGCACCCAGGCCAAATCCGCTAACATTACCTTTGGCTTTCAAGGGACCAGAGAGTGTGGCGGGCGGGGCACTTCCTAGGTTGGGCTTTGTCACGGATGGAGCTTTGGCAGACGCTGGAACGGCAACATCAGTACCAAGCACCGCGGGAGCAGCCGCGGTCGAGGTCGATGATTTGACGATAGCCTTTGGATCGAACTTCGACTTTCCGGGAAATGCGGCAGGAGCTGGAGACACACTCGATTTACGGTCAATCGCTTCGAGTATCTTTTTGGGATCGACCGATGCCTGTTCCTTTTGCTTCTTTTCGCGTTCGGCAGCTTGTTTCTGTTTCCATGCTTCAAGCTTGGCAAGTCTCTCTGCCTTTTTCTCTTCATCTGTCTGAGCAGTTGGGACCGGTGTGGACGGTTTAGATGGCTGCGAGATACAATTAATATCGAGGGGTCGAAATGATGCAAAATGGGGGCAGCTTACCTCTCGGGTTCTAGACCGGGACCGTCGGCTCGAAACACGATCACGGCTGTCATCCCGTCTAGACTTGGGCTTCAAGTCAGCAGAATCATCTATCCGCCTGCGGTCCCGATCGCGGGATTCATCTCGCCTGGAACGGTAATCCCTATCACGACTTCTGCGGCGGAAATCATGGTCGTCATCTCGTCGCCGTTCTCGGGATCGGTCTCTCCGAGCTGGCCGATAAGTATCTTCGTCGCGCCGATCTATGGGGAGGTCTCGTCGTCGATACGCATCTCTATCGCGAGGGCGGTCGCGCCCGCGGTACCGTCTCTGGATGTCACAAGTATGGTCAGAGATTGCAAGAAAATATGCGAATTTTGCGATGCGCCACACGTACCTCTGGGCTGCGGGATCTGCGGTAACTGCGCCCATCATCCCGCCTGGTTCTGTCATAGCGATCATCCTCTCTGCGAGGCCGACGGGATGAAGAATATGTGCTGCCTACAGGTGATGGTGAGCGAGTATCTCCGTGGCGAGCCATTGTTGCAGGCTGATCAGTGAGTGTTACTGGAACGCAAAAGCACCCGGGACACGGATCGATAAGGAGAGAGAGGGGGGAAAAGAAAGCGCCCCGCGAGAAAAGTCTCAGGCCACCGAGAGAGAAGAACGTGTGAGGTGTTTGTCTATCGCATCGTCACGGCGCAAACCGTTGGAATCAAGAAACAGATTACGTAAGGCATATAAACGGGCTAGGCCCGATGCGGATAGGTACACCAAAGCAGGCGCGCCTCTGGCTCCGCTTGCGTCAACAGCTCCCTCTTATCGGTTCTTAGCTTTTGAATATTGAATTGCTAATTTGACTTATTTTGGTCTTTATTATTCCACCTCGCTCCAGCTAAATCTACCACCCATAACCACTTCATGCCTTGGCAGTCGGCAGCTCGGGGGGGGGCTTCCTCCGCACCCTGCACCGCGGTGCTCTCTCTCCCCGTACTGGCGTGAGCGACTTGCAGGATCAACTTCGTCGCGTCAGCCTGACAGTGAGCTCTGGGTTGGCGCGCCCGCAAGTCCAACTCCTTTCCTCCACCCAATCGATGTTCCAATCGAATTCATTCGCGACTGCGTCTACCCCTCTCAAGGCGAGCAAGACGCCCAAGGCGAAGAGCTCCAAGAAGGCTGGCAGCGAAGCGAAGAAGAAGCCTCTCAGCGAGAAACAACAAGAAATTCAGGAAATCAAGAAACGCCGGGCTCACATCAGAGAGCTCGAGGCGACTGCCCTCCTGAGCGGGCGACCCAAGAGGTTTCCCACTAACGCCTTCGCTATTGCTATGTCTGAGCTGCTGCCCCAGACCAAAGGTCACTCCACGCACAAGGAAGCATTCTTAGCCGCCGTGGAGCGTGCCAAATCCATCGGCCCTGAAGATGGGGAGGTATGTGCCCTCGAGGTTCTCAGTATATGTTAGAAGCGGCATACTGATCCCCCAAATCCAGAGATTCCAAGCTCAAGCCAAGGCGAACTTTGCCGCTAACACCGCCGCTTACGACTCGTGGGTCAAGTCGCACACACCTCTCCGGATCAAGGAGGCCAACTCTGCCCGCCTATCCCTTTCGCGTCTTACCAACAAGAATTACCCTCCAATCAAAGATGACCGCTTGGTCAGGGTATCTAGATCTGCCTACATTTTGTTCTTGAAGGACCGCGTGGAGAGCCCTGATTACCAGGGAAAGTCTGGCTCGGAGAGCTTCCCAGCTATTGGCCGCGAATGGATTGCACTACCCAAGCGGAGAAAGACGTAAGAAACCTCGGCAGTATCGATGTGTACTGGATTGTGCAAATGCTGACCATGAATCCAGCGCTACCGCAAATTGCAAATCGAAGATCGCCAACGGTATGAGAGAGAGTATCAAGATGTGTATGGAATCCCAGCACCCGAGAGTTCTCATTACCAATCACCGGAAGACTACCTGTGAAGATGAGCCCGAAACCTGAAGCTGATTTATACCGCGGGTTTCCAATGGGATGGTGTTGACCTGGTCGAGGGAGGTTTCTTTCGGAAAGGGTTTTGCTCAGTGGGGACTCCAGGCTTGTTCGTCGCATGCTGTTTTTCAGTTTTCCAAATGACTTGTTTCACATTTTCTTATTGTACTGTAGTTTGTCCTGTCTGTCAAGCTGTTTCGTTACACTGGATTGTTTTCTTTGGTCGGGCTGTGGAGGCGCTGCAATAGGACATCGTAATGAATTCATGCGAAGTTTACCATCTCCAACTCAATTCCCTCTACAACAGCGTTTCCATTGAACCGATGAGTCAGAGAGAAAAAGGGCCCTTCTGATCCTTTCTTTTTTTTTTCGATGCACGCTCTCCACCAACCCCGCATTGGGCCCTTATTTTTCACTCCGATGCTCAAGTGGCGGTGTGCAAAAGACGTGTTGCACTTGCAGGTGGCCTTTTTAGTCTGGGATTTGCATTGAGTAAACCATTGGCTTCGAGGAGTATTTCGCAGCATCTAGACAACATATATAGCGGAGTGCCTGCACGTAGCTATGGAGATTGCCACTATATATTGTGGACTACATATCTAGATAGTGCCTCTTGATATACTTCTATGCAATTGGACTTAAAATTGGCTATAGTACCACGGTACGGCACGAGCTATTTCCTCACATTCCATGGATTTGAAGTTGGGAACCATGGAATCGGCGAACTGTTATCGTGGGGTCTGTGCAACATTTGTTGACCTCTCGAGTATGCCATGCAGGGTACATGTAGAGAAAAAAGTCAACATACATATTTTAGTATACATATATGTACAGAGTACATATTGTCAGTTTCAAGCACCTTCTCCGTACTCCGTACTCCGTACTTGGCCCAGGTATGCGCTTAGTGTTCCCAGCCATCTGTGTTTTTCTTTTCAATTTCCCAGGGGTGCTCATATAAGTGTGTTGTCCGAGTTTGAGGGACTCGAATAAACCTTATATTAACATTGACGCACCCCAACCGCATAAATGCAATAATAACAACATTGAACAAGTACATTGTACGGCCGGAGTACATACCTTGAATTTAGCGGACTAAATGGGATGATCTTCGCCTCCACCGCCTGAACTTATCCCTGCCTCTCGAGAAGATCCCCTCCCCAGTCTAACTTTTCCATATTTTTCTCCCTTGACTCCCTTGACTCCTTGAAGTTTCTTGTGTTCAATTTACAGCAGGCACGGTTTTACAGACTGCGTCATTGCCTCTTAATCCGTCTATATATCTCTTATCAGCATCCAAAAACACCTGAAGTCGCGCCGGTCGTGTAGGGAGGCTAACTGACTTGAATTTGACTTGAGCTTTTGCCTAATAGTCTCATAGCACCCACTCGGACAACCTACCACACGAATATCGCTCTCCCGCAACGCCGCGCCCAGAAACACGTCTGTGATCGATTGGGACAATATATCCCCACCAGGACTCGAAATCAACTCGCCCACCGATGTGTTCGTTACTCGATATCGCTGAGTTGCCGTATCAGTGATCGGACCGGGCGTGATCGGCGCATGTGATTTTCAACATGGAAACGATTGAGGGGCCTTATCGTGCATGCGCGGGGAAGACCAGCGCCGCGGAGGATGTCGCATACTACAAACGGAACGTACAAATGGAGGAGAGGCTCCTCAACGAAGTCTGGAATACTTTATCGACTACGCAAACGAACTTTTGCCTGCCTGATAACCGGGTGTACGAAAAAGGCGATTTGGTCACCGGGTTGAGTTCTTGCTTTCCGACTCGCTCACCAGAGCCACTGTCGTACGACCAGCCTCCGCCTCCCTACGACGATGTGATCCGTGACCTTCCTCCAGAATACTCCGCACTGCCTCCGCTCGCGCAGCGCAGGTCAACGGCTGTTTCCTTTGCGCTGAAGACTCGTGGAAAATCGCACAATACGTCATACTCGTTGCTGAAAGATCGGATGCTGGATGTACGCATTGATTTCGAGAGTCCTACCGGTGTTCGGGAACATAAGAAGAAAAAGCCCGCGGCAGCAAAGAAACCAATACCGCCTCCTTCTCCTCCTCCACCGCCGCCACCACCGGCAGGCGGGGATGGTGGAGGAGACGACAATTCCAACGGCGACGGTGGTGATAGTGGGAATGGTGGTGATTCAGGCGGCGCTGGAGACGGCGACGGGGGAGATGGCGGTGACGATTGGGGCGATTGGAATGTGAGCGGAAAGAAAGACAAGAAGAAAAAGAAACTGGAGGAGGAAGAGGAAGAGAGAAAAGCCAAAGAAGAGGAAGAGAGAAAAGCCAAAGAAGAGGAAGAGAAAAAAGCGAAAGAGGAGGAAGAGAGACAGGCCAAGGAGGAAGAAGAGAGAATAGCCAAGGAAGAGGAAGAACGAAAGGCTGCTGAAGCCTCCGCTGCCAAAGATCTTAGCTGGGCTGAGGATAACGGGGGTGGGGGCGACGACTCGTGGGCTACCTTCACAAATGTAGGAAAAAAGAAGAAAGGAAAGGTAAGACCATCCTCCTACGATGTACAAGATGGTTGTCTAAGTAAAATTACAGGGCGAAGTTGCACCGCCTGGGGCGTTCCAGGATGTAAGTCTTGATAACGGCGCACCGCAATTGGACTTGAACTTCGACAATCCGCCTCCCAAGACCGGCGGAACTGGGTTTAGTTTCGGAGGATGGGGCAAAGACTGGAATACTGGTGGCAAGCTTGATCTTGGTGACCCTTCCCAAGACGAATCTAAGAACAACAATCCCTGGGGAACAACCTCCAAGAAGACCGGCGACTTCGATTTTGACTTGGGCACCGCGCCCGCCGAGACCAAGCAAGAAGACGACTGGGGAGGTTGGGATGTGAGCAAAGACAAAAAGAAGGAGACGGATCCCGTACCAGAGGCTCCTGTGCCTCCACCTCCGCCTGCACCCAGAGCCGATTTCACGCAGGAAGCCTGGTATCTAAATCTTTCCAAGAAAGAGCAGCGTAAAGCGAAGAAGGAGATGGAGAAGAAATACAAAGACGAGGATGAAGCTGCAGCAAAGGCGCAAGCAGAATATGAAGCCGCCAAGGCTGAAGCTGAGGCAGCGGCAGCTGCGGCTGCAGCTGCAGCTGTACCCGAACCTGTACCCGAACCTGAACCGGTGGTCGAGGAGACTCAACAGCCACCCGAGGCAGATAATGACTTCGGTTGGGATGTTCCAGTGAAATCCAAAGAAAAAAAGAAGAAGAAGATTGACCTTCTAGCTGATCCAGAGCCTATCATCGATGAGGCACCAGCTAAATCAAAAGAGCCAGTTGATGTTTTCGCCGCTTGGGGAATTTCCTCGAAGGACAAGAAGAAAAGCAAAGGCAAGGCTGAGCCAGCACCTGAGCCAGAACCCATCCAAGAACCGGAACCTGAACCTGAACCTGAACCTGAACCAGAGCCACTGCCAGAGCCCGAACCTGAGGCTTCAAAGGTGCCTGATGAACCTCTATACGAAAATTGGCGAGACATATCGTCTAAAGAACGCAAGAAGCGAGAGAAACAGCTGATTCGCAAAGGCCTTCCCATTCCAGGCAAGGACTTCGAGCTCCCCTCCGACAAGCCCCCTGAAGAACCTGAACCGGTTGTTGAACCGGAGCCGGAACCAGTGCCTGAGCCTGAGCCCGAACTTGAACCTGAACCTGAGCCAGAGCCAGAACCGGAACCAGAGAAACCGGCGGAAGACGAATCCTGGGGAATTTGGGGCACAGCAAAGGAGAAGAAAAAGAAGAAGGGCAAGGATATTGAAGAACCTCCCCCACGTGCGCCAACACCTCCTGCTCAAGGCCTAACTCCAGAGCCAGAAGCTTTCCATGACCATGCGGATGATATTTGGGCTGAGCTAGCCCCTAAGACCTCTAAAAGTTCAAAGAAGATTACGAAAGCCGTCGAACCCCCCAAAGAGGAAAAGTCATCTAAAGGCTTCTGGTCGACCCTAACAGGGGGTTCTACCAGCAAAACCAAATCGACGAAGAAGGCAGATGAGAAGTCCAAGGCGAAAGAGGAGAAGGAACCCGAGCCTATAGAAGAGGAAGACCTGCTTATTGATGTTGGCGACAACGCCCCAGCGCCTGAACCGGAGGCAGAGCCTGAACCAGAACCAGAACCGGAACCGGAACCGGAACCTGTGCCTGAACCCGAACCCAAGCCTCCTGCCCCCGAAAAGACATCTAAGTCCAAGACATCCAAGCTTAGTGTGGCCGAACGCATCAAGGCCCTGGAACAGGCCAAGAAGGAGAAGGCCAAGGCCGAAAAAACTAGCTCGAAGAGCAAATCTAAGGAAAAGAAGGTCGAACCGGAGCCGGAGCCGGAGCCGGAGCCTGAACCTCCCGTGGAGGAGCCCGCTCCTACCAAGAAGAGTTCAAAATCCAAGTCTAAGACAGCAGAGGCTGATGACTTTGAGGAAAGGAAAGTCTCCAAGGACTCTGTTCCTGGGAGCTTCCCTGACTTTGGAGATGATCCCGAGCCTGAACCCGAGCCTGAGCCAGAGCCAGAACCAGAACCAGAACCAGAACCAGAACCCGAACCGGAACCTGAGCCACCGGCCCCAGACCTGTCAAAAATGACGAAAAAGGAACTCAAGAAGTATAAAAAGGCCGAAGCTGAGAAAGCCGCCGCAGCCGCCGCAGCCGCCGAAGCGGCTGCCGCCAGGGAGCCAACCCCACCACCTCCCGAGGAGACACGTGCACTAGACCCGGAGCCGGAGCCTGAACCAGAACCTGAGCCCGAGGCAGCGCCTGAGCCTGAAGCCGAGCCCGAACCTGTACCAGAGGAGCCAGAAGAGAAGGGCAAAGGTGATCCTCCCGTCCCTCCACCAGAGCCTGCCGAAGAGCCTCCCAAGCCCTCCAAGAAGGAGCGAGCACGCGCTGAACGGAATACGAACACCTCTTCATGGGGATTTTTCGGAGCCGCACCGCCCCCAAAGAAATCCAGTAAAAAGGAAAACAAGACTCAGGAGGAAGCAGAACATCCAAAGAAGTTAAAGAAGGAGAACAAGGTCCAAGAGGAGGTGGAACCTCCAAAGAAGTTGACTAAGAAGGAGCCTAAAATCTCAGAGGAAGTAGAACCTCCACAGAAAAAGGAGTCTCCTCGAAAATCTCGACCAAAAGACCCGGAACCAGAAGTGGAAAGGTCTTCTGCGTCTGACCGAGAGAAACGGCGAGAACGAGAGGGGCGATCCTCCAAGAACCAACGTGGCGTGGCCTTGGCTCACATGGTCCTGGGTACACCCCAGTCCAAAAGCAAATCGACTCGCAAACCTGGTTCTTCGTCGAAACCCGTATCCAGGCGTCCATCAGTTGATATGGATGACAAAACTGCCGACCCAGCATCTCCGGATGAGAAGCCTGAGGTTTCTGGAAAAGCAGCCAAGCTGATGGGGATGGATCCTTCCAAGTCCCGACGCGAGCGCCCGCGCACGGACAGGCGGAAATCAGGTATGTTGTTTTGCGTTTCAACTTCTATATTCTCGCTGACTTTCTGTTTACGAAACAGTTCGAGATCCGTATGCAGTCGAGGATGACGACCTTGTTATGGTTGACATGGAGGATGTCGAGGGTCATTCGCCCAAGGAGGGCTCTAAGGGCTCCAGGCGCAAGTCCAAGAGACAGGTATGTCGGCATGACTGCATTATTTTCTTTGTCCCGCTTTACCAACTGATAATCCTTATAGCCACGCCCGAGGCCTGACGACGAGGACGATGCTGTCCTGGTTGATCCATACCAAGCACATCCCGGCCCAGATATCATGTCAGGGCCCGAAGATATGGCCTTTGTCGATGCGCCTCCAAGAGAACGCCGTCTGAAGCGGTCCAACACCGCGCCGCCGAAGAAACAAGAGAGCGGTGGATTAATGGGTCTCCTCGATTCCCTGAGAAAAAGTACACGCCCCGACCGCCCAGAACGTCCAGAGATGCCCGAAAGACGGAAGTCGCGGTCATATCGTGATGACGACGCAAGATATCCAGAAATGGACCGCGACGGCGCTCGCAGACCACGCCGCGAGGATCGACGCCGAGGATCTGTCCGACCAGACACCGATGCCGAAGGGTTCGTGACCGACGCCGCTGGCGCAGCAGGCGGCGAGACAGAAGCCGACGAAGCCGAAGCTCGGCGCGCAGCACGCCATTCACGGCGTGGGTCCCGCAAGGCACCTTCTGACTCCCGTGAAACGGATGCTCGGGAAGCAGAGGAGCGGCGCGCGAGGCGAAAAGAACGGGCGCGCGAACAACGTGCTCGCGAAGAGGAAGAGGAAGAGCGCCTACGAGAGGAAGACCGTCTACGAGAAATCAAGCGGGCCCGGCGAGCTGCACGCGAGGAACGTCGTGCTCGAGAAGAGCAAGCGGCCCGTGAAGCCGAAGCCCAAGCAGCGGCTGAAGCTCAAGCAGCGGCTGAAGCTAGGGCTGCAGAACGCCGTGAGCGCCGGCGACTGCGCGAAGAGGAAATGATGGCCGCGAGAGCGAGCCGGCGTCGTGAACGCGAGCAAAGGATTCCTGAGGTCTATCCCGATGAACGCGAGGTCGATCGTCGTGGGGCCCGTAGCTCCCGCGCGCATGAAGACCCGAACGCTCGTCGTCGCAAGTCTAAGGTCGCTCCTGAGCCAACACGGGAGCCGCTCATGACTGGTGGGTTGAATCGTGGCGGAGGTGCGAAAGATAAGATTTCCTCGTGGGTTTACTCGCAAAGTGACGAGCCTCCAGAGCCACCAGAGATAGTCCCCACTCTTATTGATGTGCCTCCTCTTGCAGCTGATGATGGAGGAAATGCTCATTCTCACTCTCTTTCGTCGGATGAGGAAGCCCGTCGCGCTCTTCGTCGTAAGGCCCGCCGTCGTGCGAAGTACGAGGAGGAGATTGACGATGGTCGTTCGCGGCATCGTGGCTCTCGTCGTGAAGGTGTGAAGAGCAGCTCTGGAAGTGGCGATTATGAACGTGATCGTGGAATGAGGTCTCACCCGGGGAGTCGACATGGTGCTCCGCCGAGTTCGGGTGTTAAGAAGCCCAGTTGGTTCCGTAAATTGACGAACTTGTAAACGGATATTTGGTCATTCTCTGCCCCTACGTGGTGGGAGTTTGTTGTTTGTTTTATATATCGATTTGCAGCGTTACTTTTCTTTTCTTTTTCGTTATCTACAAGGTCTGATGAAACTTCAGACGGACAGGATGTGACGACATGTACGAAGCTCATATGATACTATGACCCGCAATATACGCAATTTTGGATTCTTTATGGTTATTGTCATGCTACAGCAATAGCTTCCATGAAATACGCTGTATCTTCACTACGAACAGTTGTCCACTGCGTATGTGGCCTTTGCCCTTGACCTAGGACTTTAGTTTCTGGTATGAGGGACGTGCTTCTGTAAGTTATTGTTGCATGTCTTTCTAATTTTGTTGTGCTTCGTGTCAAAGGCCATAGATAGAGACGTCGCTGCTGTCTGCCCAACAAACTGAGAAGGGGAAGAAAACATCTATACAACCAGAAGTCGAGAATGACCACTAAAGATACATAGAAAACAACGTATGAAGAGACCACTAAAAAGACTACAGTGGTCTTTCTTGTTATTTAAAATATGAGACTCCAATATGTAGGATACACAATGGCCGGTATAAAGTGTAAGCCGTACAGAGGACTTTGTTCTCTATATAATTAAAGATAAGATGCATCTGGACAAGGATAATCCTGGCTTCTATATAGCAGATATAAAACTACAAATATGAATAAAAGATCAAATCCAACGCTGAGAAGTGAAGTGTGTAGCCTGATCCTTAAGGTATCCCAATAGGCACTTTGATACTCTCCTTCTCTCAATCCCAAGTGAAGTGAAGAACCTCACTGCCATTAATTCCTCCAATGACATCCCCGAGAACCACCCCCAAGTCTTCGAAGTTGGATAGGTCTCAAATAAATATCTCCAGATCCCAGCTCATAAAGGTATGATCATATCTCCTACATGCATCCCATACCATCGTGACTAACCAAACCACCTCACCAGACCAATCTCTAATCGATCCTCGAACTCGACCACAAAACCTGCCAAGCACAAGCCTCGCCACCTGCAGTTCACCTCAAAACCATCAATTACACACCTCCCACATCCCTCCGCAATGTCCGCACCAGATGCCGTCACAGACTATCAAAAGGAGAGGACCGACTTCCTATCATGGCTCGAAGACCAAGCCCGACTTATCAGACACCAACCGAAGCCAGATACCATTTCAGAAGTGAAAGTCAACCTTTGCGAACGAAGCGCTGAATACCTAGATCGACTCACCGAGGCGTCCATTTTCATGGCTTGTGAGGCAAGCGATCATATCTGCGTTACTGCAAAGCCGGACCGGTTTTACAATGATATGGTCCCGAAAATGTGCAGTCTGCTTCAGATTAGGATGCCTCAGCTGGCGATGAGGCTTGGGATCAATCCTAAATGCGACATGTGTGTGCATTTCATTATTATGAATATTCTGGCGGAGCCAGGTTTCTGATGGCTGACTTAGGGATATGAATAGTTGTGAATAATGGATATCGTTTATTATCCTATGGACTTATGTCTGGTATAAGGGCCATGGCTGTATTTACACGTACCTTGTCGAATCCTTTGGATGTTTCGTTGTCAGATATTTCTTCCCCTTGGTGTAAACCGTACAGATGGCCTTCCTATGCATAAGCAGAGATGTGGCCTACCATGAAAGCTACTGAATTTCATAAGACCTTTGCAAAACCTGTATTGATAGTCATAATCGAGGAATAATGGACTATCAATACAACATCAATGATTCCAGGAGGACTGCCATCATTAGGGACATGATGGACTATCAATATACATGAATCATTTCATGAGAACTGCCTTTCCAGCCTCCAGGTCTTCGATCTCCTTCTGCAACTGGCGTCGTCTCCGCTTCAAAGCCCTGCCCTCCCCAACAATCTCCGCCAGTCTCTCGTTGGAAAGGTCATTAACCCATGAAGGGGAAAACAACTTCATCGGTGCCTCGGGGCCAGTGACCAGGTAATGCTCCGCAGCTTGCATACACACATTATCCAGGAAACTCTTCCGAGCCACCTTATAGTAGGAGTCGAGAATGTCATGAATGTCCCAAACAGTATGTTCGATGTTGCTCATATGGTGTTGGTGAGCAAGGTCAGTCAGTCTGACAATCTCTCCGTGCTTGCAATCATCAAAGGACTTTTTGGCAGCAGTCGAATACGTTCGCTTTTGCCGGCTACAATGTTTGCAAAGTTAGCAGCCAAACCTCAAACTCATTCAGAAAAGTATAGGTAACTGACCATTTCTCGAGATTGTCATTGAAGTAGTGATTGAGTGTAATCGGGGTCCCTTCGCGTTCAACTCGCAGGAAAAACTCAACCATTGAAATTGCCTGCTTGTACTTTTCAACAAGGTCACCCACGAGCAGGGACATGATACTTGTGGAGATCTGTGTGTTTTTGGAGACTACTTCAAGTGCTTTGCGTATGAATGCATGCACGACACTGATAATGTCACTGATGTAGCCACGCGCGAGGATCGGCCATTTGACGGACTGCTTCTTCATGAGGGTAGAGAGTAAGGTATGATTGAATGTACCTATCTCGAAGCCCCGAGAATTGGAGTAAATCCCCTCAATCCACGGAAGAATGCCCGATTTGAAGGAGGGCTCCACAGGTTCAGAGGCATGTAGAATCTCTTCAAGGTCCGCCACTGATGTATTCTGAGTTGTATCCCAGGTTTTCCGGCTTTGGATGATATCTTGTTCCTTTTCAGTATTGGTTGGATTATTGCGCCTTTCTTCACGGTCACCAACACTGCCTTCTGTGTCCTCCGGCCTCTCCGGCTTCGATCGGAAAGTGTAGGTGTGACCCCAATGGGCGAGGTTGTTCGAAAAGACATCGTTCCTGAGAGCGACCAATGTAGCCAGGCGCAAATCCTTGTCCTCATCGAACACATCATTGACGCCATAATTTGCAGCAAGGGCGTGCTGTGTAATCTCTTGAAAAGCCGACACAATATCTAGAAGAATCCGCCTTTGCTGCTCTGCTGTCTCTCGCTGAACTCCCAGAGATTGCAAGAGATTCTTTGAGACTTTCAGCCTCTTGATCACTTCAGAGCGTACCTTTAAAGTATTAGCAAGCCTATTGACAGCAAGGAAAGGTTATGCGTACCGAGGGGAACTCGCGGCGGACATTTGAGGTGAGGAGTTCTTGGAGGCGAGCCGTCAATGCTGAGATCCCGTAATTCTCAGGCGGTACACAATTCCAAGGCGCATGTTGATAGAACATCCTTTCTTCGGCATCTCGGTCGGCATTGCCAGCCTGAAGCTGCTCTTGACCGAGATTTCGGACGAGGATCCACCCCAGCTGCCCGTTCGCATTGCCATCGTGAATGAGTTGAATTACTTTGTGCTCGGCTCCTTTGTCAACGAGATCTGGTTTGGTGAGGATCCGCAAGGTCCTTTCTCCTTCCGGGTCAATCTCGCTGGCCATCTCAATGATTTCTTGCGTCGCAATGTTGACGTTTGCTGGAACCACAGCCAACATGATAGACCGTTGGTTTTGCATGTAATGAAGGACCATATTCCTGACCAGCGTGATATCATTCTTTGTAGTTCGATCCGGTGTTGTATTCCTGAAGATCCCGGGCACGTCGATGACGCTCAGGTGGCTCTCGTTCGGGCCACGAATCTCTAGCTGTAGCACGCTGTTGGAAAATGTCGGCTTTTGGTCCCCATCACATGAAGAAAGGTTCATAACCTCGTGGACCTTGCAAACCGGAGTTAGCACAAAATGTCAAAGCGCAGTTCATACGAGTATAGTACTAGTACCTCTTTCATCGTACGGCTGAAGTCCTCAGCACTCAGTGACTGGAGGCCAGAGGCCTTCCAACCTCGCAGCTTCTGGTCCTCCTCTGGAGCTGCATCTGATGCAGGGATTATAGACGCAGATATCTCCCGCACAACCAAGTTGCCATCACGTCGGAAGATAATGTGTGTCGCAAATCCTGTGCACAGGCCGCTATCTCGAGGGAAGTTTAACTTGGTCAGGCCCTCAAGGACCGAGCTCTTACCGCAGGACTGGTCACCAACGACAACCAGTTGGGGGAGACTGACATACTCCCCCACGTTGCAGGCGAAAAGTTTGTCAATCTTCTCAAGTAAAGCTGGATCAGCCAACTCGAGACTTCTGTGCTTTTCTGTGGTCGTCATGGCTTTGGATGTAGCTGACTAAACTGAAACTGTAGGGTACAAGATGAGAAAGATGTGAGCTAGAATTTCAGTGGAAGTTGGAAGATGAAGTGATAAAGAAGAGGAACTGAGGTGAGAGAAGAGAAGAGAAGAGAGAGAGAGAGAAGGAAAGGGGAGGACAAGGAAAAGGGAAAGGCGAAGATGGGAAGGAACCCTTGTCGCATATTCTAACAGTACCTACCTACCTAGGTACATATGTAGGCAGGCTTCTAGGTACATTGACTGCCATACCGCCAATTCACTATTACAAATTCTAGTGATTAATTCCTACATCAACTTCTATAGGGTCAATTTCTATAACAAGAATAGGTCGGTCGCTTATACGTAGCGTATCCGAAGTCTTTATAGTGGTCTTCTTAGGTGGTCTTTTTAGTCTTTTTATGTCTTTTTATACGGTAGCTAATGATTGATCTAACCTCAGTAACTTTCATATTCTTATAGGAAGAATGTTCGTAGCTATGAATTTCTTTGACATTAGTTGAAGCCCGGGTTCATCAATATGGGGCCATCGATCTATTTAACCTGGAAGGTCTCTTCGCCCCATCCATACAACGTTCTCAACCGCCGGGCCACCGTGAGAGCTCGATATCCCTCGATTTTAGACTGGTGCGGCCGGTGTACCGTGAATGACTTCTTCGCCGTCATGCTGTCCGGGGATAGAAAGTGTAAACCGAGCCGTATTTGGGGGAGATTGAGAATCCCAATTTAGCCATCGCTTCAGCGAAGGCCGCCCAGGCCACTGGACCACGCGATTGGGATCTGGAAAACAACCTCGAGAATATCTCCGCTGTCGACTCGTCTATCTTGAAGGTCCGCGGTAGCGAAGCAGGCTCCTGCGGACGAGACGGCTCGGTGGGTGTAACAATATCGTATATAGACGAATGTGGAGGACGTGTCTTTTCTTTTTGTTTCCGGTGTTCGATCCGGACGGTGATGGGCTCGGGACTCGTTGCTGGAGCAGCAGGCCATTCAGCCTTCAATCCCTGCGCCAATTTGACTTTGGCCTGATCGCATTGGCTTTGAACACCAGACAGGCAGTCCGCAATCATGTCTTGGTACAAGAATCCCATTTTCGTGCCGGACTTTTCGATGGTAAATTGGTCTAGCTTTTTCAAAGCTTCATGGGCCACTCCTGGCTCAAGGAGGTTGTCGATGGGAACGACAAAATCAAGTAAGTCAAGTTGATCCTTGATGTGATTCAACTCGGATCCCACCTCCTGTGATTTAGAGGCAAACATCTGCCCCTTGTTGCTGGAAAAGGAAGGAATCGGAATCATCGAAGACAATTCCTGAACAAATCCAATAATCATAGCCAGATCACCCAATGAGTCGGCCTCTCTGTCCTCTAGCCTTTCCCGCTCCTGAGGATGGGTCTGGTAAAGCACGGCGAGCTTTTTAATCCAGGGCGTGGCAGTGGAAACAGTGAGCTTTGGCTGGCAGAGACGCAACATGTAATGAAGCTGGGGATCAGATACTGTAAGGTCTTCCGGATTCCCTTTTACGGAAACGCGCGGGTTTCCGGTGCTGTCATACATGTTGGAAGTCCTCTTGAACCACTTGCATCCCGTCCCACTCTGAACATGACGCTTGAAAAGAGTTTGCGCACGACTGAATTCTAGATGGCATATGTTGGATATCTCCTGAAGAAGAATAGCTCGACAGGCCTTATCCTCGGCCGACTTCTCAAGCAGCTCGAGGACACTAGCGATGTATCTCCAGTTGGCAGCTCCCTGGATTGAACTGTGGATAGCCTCGAAAACAGCAGCACTGATGTATTTATCAGTGTGAACTGGCAATCGCCGTCCCTTTTTCGTCAGGAACGAGTTCTGGGCGGCTGAAGAACCAAATATTCACAGCGTGAGCAAGGACGACAGGCTCAGTGGAGAGCAAAACTAGGTACTCTTCAAGTGTGTCTTGGTGATCACGAGCACTGGCGACCAGGTCGGAAAGTGTACGCTTCTTCCGTGGGGTCTGGATACTTAGTTTTGACAGAGCCGACGCCGCTCCATCGTCAGTGGTCTTCTTCTTTGGTGGGGCCTTTCGGTCTCGACTTTGCGATCCTTGGTCCAGAATATCGTCGATGAGAATATTGAGGGTTTGCAAGGTGGCGATCTGCCTTTGGATAATAAATTCTCCGACTGACTGGGGAACACAGACGCGAGCGCGAATGGCGGGTTCAAAAACAGCCAGGGCCTCTTTAGCCATGAGTTGGAAAGACGTGGCATACATGTCACCTTGAAACATAGTGTAACAGTTTTTAAAGGAGTTGATGTGTTTGAGACCCCGTGTGCGCACTGACTCCTCAATCATAGCATGATCTCCGGGCGAGCCATTGAGGCCTCCACAGTACTGTTGAAATAGAGATGTGGTGGTACGATGTTTGAAAAGGTTTAAAAGGAAGGCAGGGTCGGATGTGAGGTCGCGTAAATTCAACTCTGGTACGATTTGTAGACAACCCCCAGAGATTGATCTAAGGGGTGCTGCAATACGGCACCATCCGCAGCTCCGGCCTTGAAACATTCCCCTCGTTCATTGGGGCTAAAAGACTGCCAGATGGTCTCAACCACGGCTGCATGCTTTCGATATTTTCGAACAAGGTCGCCATGGAGCTCTTTCAAGAGGATTGCATTCTCATTATCCATATTTTCAGTTGAAGGGGAATAACAAAGACTATGGGATATTGCAGACCTGCGAAGACAGAGAAATGGAAAAGAGAATCGTGAGGGGACAAACGCCGGACAAACGCCGATCCTGGACACCTGATGCCAATAGTAGATCACACTAACCTTGATTAGGACTAGCGCGATATGGCTTATGTTAACAACATAACCACCCGTAGACCTGGGCACCTGGGCACCTCAACCTTGGAAGTATTTTGTTCAGGTAGCCATCGAGTCGCTCACCTTGCCAATAATAATTATTGAAATTCTTAGGTTTGTATAACAAAAGTGGAAGTCCATTGTGGCAACTTGCTGATAGAGCAAGTATGGCTCTCCATGGTGGTACTACGTATTAGGACGGTAATCTGGGACTACGAATCTCTCTCTATGCACCTACGTACGTTCTACTTGACTACGTGAATAATACTTCTTAATGAAGAAAACCTTTTCTTACCAGACCTTATATTGTTTGAGTAGTCCTATGTTAGCTCTAAAGTAGTCGCTCGTCTGTATTGCCACACTAGACATCCATTCAGTCGTAAATATCTGAACGCCCAGTGCGGTCCTTCCCACTCAGGTCAGCCCACTGTCTAGAAATAGTGTCAGCATCCTCGTCTGAGTTACCCGGGTTAGAAGTGACTGGAAGGGGGAAAACCTCGGTGCTCATTAGCTCGGGTGAGTCTTCAGGCATAGGGGAGTCTACAGGCAAAGGTGGGGTAATCATGCCATAGGAGCTATCACAGCTCCATGTTTCTGGAGTCTCCGTCTCCTCGGGAATATTCTCCGTCTCCTTGGGGATCTTCTCAAAGGGCTTAGAACCTCCTGGCTGGAAGATATTAGTAACAGCACCAGAAAGCTTCTCAATTTCAGCGAGAGTAGGGGACCGATATTCCTCTTCCTTGGGCTTCGGAACAGACTGGGTGTTGGAGAGAGCTCTAGAGCTGCCTTTCCTCGAGATGACCTTGCTATCGGTTAGTGTTCGGACGGCCGGAAGCATAGGAGGTTCTCGTTGCGATACTCGCCCATCGTGGTAGTGGCGGATCGAACGACGCTCGCCGCCGACAGCGCGCTCAGTGGTAAAACCGTTGCTTGTTGGTACAATGGGGGCCTTTCCTGCTCGGTTAGATTTCTTGCGGCCAGCCATGATGGTGAATAAGATCTATGTATCTGTGGCGAAAATGGTTAGTTTTTATGTCTCCGATAGACTGGATGGATGGATTGGACAAATGGAATACTCCTAAAATCCCACGCAAATTGCGGACCTTATATAGTTTGGTTCACTGTGTCTTGGAATGGAGTGAAAACAAAGTCTTTGCGATTCGTTTGTTGCAGTGCCTTTCTTTCAAGTTTTTGAACTGGTTTTCTCGCTTTGTGACCTTGACAGATACAATGACAAAGCCGTTGTATTTATTCGTTACAACCCAAATTAAAACAAGACCATGGATGAAAGACATTGTTGCTGTTCAAGACAAAGAAAGCATCTATACTGCTTGGACGCCTATCTATATCCACCCTGGCGACCTTAGCCAAAACCGGCAAAATAATAACCCTCTCTAGTCGTTAGTCGCTTCAAATCTTGAGTTACTGCTAAGTGGCTACGATATGCCTTCCGCACGAACCGTATTTCTCCGTGAAGGCCTTCCTACTGTCGATGAGTATGGCTTGTTCCGAGGCACGCTGTGGTTCACAGTGAGATTTTCAAATAATGATCGCCACTGTTCTGACGATGAGTTGATGAATCTTGCAATTCAACGCCTTCAGAGCGGGGAGTTCACGGTGAACCCCGAGCCTATACACCAGGGGAGGGGGTTTTGCATATCGTACCCAGTCTCAATTTACGGCGCTAGTCGCAGCGAGTGTCTTGCCATCGTTATAAGACTGGCAGAATGCTATAGGGGGGATATTATCTCTGGGGACATTTATATTGACCGGGACTTTCTTTTCAGAAGTAGGGGTTTTATCCCATAAAGGCATACCTAGAAACAAAACATCTGATCAAGGAGCATTCTCGGATTGGTAGGCATATCTCCACTCAGTGTCCGTATATGCTCGCCGCAGGAGGGTAACAAGGCATTCTAATAAGGCTTCTATAATATGCTACACCCATGCTTTCAAGGTTGAATCTATGAATACGGGACGTAAGTAATCATATCCTACATGTACTAGTAGGTACGCACTTTTTTTACCCCAAAACTTCCGCCTCACGTATAATACTGTGTTCTTGCCCGAAAACCTTTATACATCCCTACCTCACTGCGCCGTTTGTGAAGTTTTACCATGTAGAAGATATGGGTCTAATCAAGAAAGCCTTGAGCTTCAGTTTGGAATAAACTATTTGGCGCATTCCTTTCTCTTCTATCTTTCAAAATTATGCCTTACTAGAAACCGTGCGCTTTACGCCATAGCTCCGTCCCGCGTAGTTGATTTTTGATCGGCGGGTTATCGCTATAGTCCCATCCCTCAAGACAATATCAAATCCGAAGGAAAATACAAGAGCTGGCTATCTTACAGATCTAGCACATTGGCTAATATCTACATGACCACCCAGCTTGGGCGCTTATACGGAGCACAAGGCCTTTATAACTAAACTGAGTGAACATCCTAGGGCCTTCGTGACTCCTAATCCGTATGAAATGGAAGGCATAATAAAGTATAATCTTACATCAGCATATTTGTCTACCTAGGTAGTCTTGAGCCGGCCACTGCAATATACATATACGATTCTGTTTCGACCAAGCTTCAAGGGAATGGGTACTGCTAGATTCTAAGTCTAGAGAAAGTGGCTTTTTATCTACGTGACGCTTAAAAACGTTGGAAGATGTCCGCAAAATACTGACGTTGGTCCTACAGTTCCGACGCCGAATTTAGAATCCGTGACGGAGTTTTACTCACTATCTTATATACTTTCCGTAGATGATACCATGGATAGATTCGTGGAACTGTCTAAATCAATGAGTATGAGGTAAAATGGAATTTGGCGAGCTTTGCCTCCCCCTTCCTCACTCTCCATCTCTCCATCTCTCCATCTCTCCATCTTTCCGTCTTTCCGTCTTTCCATCTCTCCATCTCTCCATCCACCTCGTTATCCATCCCTCTCTCCCCGATACATTATTTCAAAATCCTTATATATTTCTTGTCTACCACCATGGGTACCATGGATGAGCTTACTGCCAAAGACGTCGCCCTTCTCGTGCTAACAATGACCGTAACCGTCATGTGGGCTTTGATCGTGCTGTTCTTCGTTGAGTGGTGGCGGTTGACACGCACACTGAATCCCCCATGGTCAGACCCTCGGGTGCCCGTGACGTGGGAACTATCTATAACTCGGCGTCCAAAACAAGACTAATCTAGTCTGTACCCGTGCAGCGCCGAGAGCTACAATAAGGGACGCCGCCATAAAATGCCCCAACAGACGGGCCGTAACCCGCCAACGTTCTCTCTGGGACTTGAGAGGCTCTGTGTGACTGCGTTGCCTACACCAAGGGTACATGTCAGCATTGACTTCAATTTTTTCTTGCTTCGCCGAAGTCAGAGGGTTTAAATGGACCCTGATTTTTTTCAGTGCAATGTTCGAAGGGTAATTCTTTTGCTCCTTTTTGGTTCCCCTGTCAGAAGCGTCTTTAGTTGCAGTATATTCGGTCAGGACGGGTGATTCAACGTTGATTTGCACTAAAAGGAGGTCACTCTCACTATAATCGGGAATCGGGAATCGGTGATCATTGTGAAATGAAAGGACTCGAGTGTTCGATGTATATCTATCTTCTATGTATGGCGAAACGAGAGATATGTTTGGCTCTTAGCTTAAACCGCTGAAATTTGTGTCAATCTTCTTCTTTCTCCATTCTTCCTAGAATCATTTGAATCATTTCATTGATTCATTTACCTTTGCTGCAACAGCAATATCTCATTCTGATGTAACATCCACTTCGAGCCTTCCTTGATGGCTCAAGCAAAATCGTAGTTTCCACAGCAGCAGCTTCCTCAGTTTGTGAATTTCCCAGGTCAAATGCAGTCTGCCCCTCTCTTCTCCTTTTCTCTTCTCTTCTCTCCTCACGCGAATCTACAAAGGCAAAGATAAGTATTATTTTCTCTTGATCTAACCTTTTTGTTCCCCTTTTATCGTCGGTCATCATGGTGTCCGACACAATTATCGCAGCCTTCGTCCAGGGGGGTTGTGGGATTATTTCAGCAATACTGACGCCTATAGTCACACATATCATTCAACGCCTCTGGCAGGGACAGGCCGCAACCCAACCTGCCCAGAGTTTTGGCTGGATCTTTAATTTTTGGCAACGCTCGTCGCCGAGAGCCAACCCTCATAGAGATCCGGATCCCGAGCTGGGTCTTGGGGTGAACGATGTGCCAATGATTGACTGGACAGGGTGATACGCCCACCTTCTTCTCTTTTTGCCTCTCTACCTCTTGCTTCTCCACTCTTGCTCTTGTGGATCTTGGCTCATCACCTCAGGATTGCGGAGTCGTGGTACAGCTTCCACTGTGAACTTTGAGCGTCGTTAGACGTCGAGAGCCAAACTCTCGAATCATTAAGCTCCCCGAGAGCTTGATATTCACAGTGTGGCTCACATCATGATCCTGGCTATGACGGAAACAAAATGCGATTGCTATCAGACTTGATTTGGTCAGTCGTCGCAGCGTTGCTTGATACTTGCTATACTCCCATCTTTCGGCGCGGCTGACTCTGATGGATGTGGAGTGCAAGCCACCAGCACCGAGCTCGCACTTCTTCGCAGTGCTGGTGACTAGTAACCTTCGGGTGAAGCTAAGTCGAGCTCATTTGTACATAGACTTTTTATCGTGAATTGACATACGATCTTTTTGATTGACACCTTTTGCTTTTGAGTAGTCTCTGTAATCTCATAGTATCGTCAATGCAATTCAATGAACACTCCTCTCACTCTTCCCTGAAAAAGCAAGTTTAAACTCCTGGGTACGTTTCAGTGGATAAAATGACCTCTGGAAAGGCCGATGGCAACTGGAAATATCGCTTTACTCCGGTAGCTTTACGAAATACTCGAATGATCTGTAAAGCCCTGAGAACTCTGCTTCCCTTCATTGAGGTTTTGTAACCAGAACTGAGCTGTATAGGACTTTATACCTAGGTACATCTTAATCGTTATCTAATAACTTATACATTTCTTCTACTATTATAATCTTTCAGATATTGCCTTCATCTCCATGGCAAAATACACTCCTGATACTATTACGTACACTCCTCAATGGGTAGCTATACATATCGCTTATGCAGACCCTAGTGTCTACATGATCAACCAATTGGAGTTTTATTTGAGGTTTAAACAGTCTATTCCGAAGCTACGCTATTCAATTGACTAATAAGATTGCGCTGTATAGTTTTGTGAAATAGAATATATGGAAGCATTACGATCATCGTGAAAGGACGGAGTATTACTATTATCGTCTCGTCAATTCTCCAAACCCTAAGCCAGTCAGTCTTCCTACTTAAAATAGAAATGAGCAATCCCAGGAATGCACATCATGCTTTCCTTTTCCTTCAACAAGTCGATGCTGCAAAAAGCAGCGTCGGGATGGTAGCAGCTATCAGGGATCCGTCATCTGCAGTTCCTGGGGATTCGTATTGACGTTGAAGCAACCTTCTTTTCTGTGCCAGGCAGTAGTCTCTTTCCCACTGACCGTAAACACCTTGCGTCATCTTCCGCAAGTTCTGCGATTGATACCTATAGGCCAATTTCAGTAATAGTTCTTCTTTCTCCGCGATCCTTTGATAAGCTCACCAGTATATTTCATTATGCGAAAACAATGCTCCGGTAAGACGAGACTGGTCAAACCAAGGACGGTCTGCAGGCCATTTACAGCTTCCCAGATTTCGAGCCACCCAGAAAACAGCCAGGTTCTTGTCTTCAGACAAATCGCCTTTTGTAATCAAAGTCGGACACCTGGGACAGGCTTTTGAGACCAGCTTCCCGAGGACAAGAGGCACGAGATTCCGATGAGGCTTTGAAGAATTCAAAATCTGGTACAGGTAAGGATCTTGTACGGCTCGATCCCTGGGGACGAGAGATAGGAGTTCCTGATGAGGACAAGCAAATGTAGGCTCAGCTGTGAGATGAGCGTCGGAGAAAGAGAACAATATAGTATGCCGAGCCACTGCACATAACTGGACAGTTTCCTTGAGATATAGAACCAGAGAAACTCGCACAACGTAGCCGGACTTAGTGCTATATACACAGGCGTGGCCGAGACTGGGTTGTCCTCTAAGGTCAAGATGATACTCGAAAGGGCCATATATGGTTTTGGCTGGCTTTGCGGGTGGTTTGAGGATCTTGACAAGCTGGTCTCGATCTCGAATCGTAAGAGAAATACAGGGACATAGGTCAGCGATACCAGCGTAGTATGTGCAGGATCTCTCCAGAGCTGATTGTCTCAGTAAATGTCTCGTAAATTCTTTCCGTGGGTGGAGTTTCAAGCACTTTGCACAATAGGCCCAGCGGCGATTTTCGAGTCGAAGAAGGAATTGATTTCGCGGCACGTCCTGACCATTCACGCATAGTATTGGATTCCTGATACGCAAGAGTCGTGGAAATTCAAGATCCTTATGCTTCACTATCGTCCCGAATAGGCCGTAGAGCTCTTTGCAGCTGAGGGATAGACAAACTTGATCGACTAGTGAGAGATGTTGGTAGATCTTCCGTAAGATGCGCTCATCCAACGAAGAATGGCGGAGTATTTTGGCACGTTCTTCCAAAAGGTATGAAACAGCCGGAGGAGCATCTCTTGAGATTGCGACATCTTCGAGTCTCCAAGGCGGAAGATGATATTGAACGTGAGGCAGGAGACTAGGTTTTGTGTTTGGATACAAACACGATGTAAAGACGAGTAGACCACGAAGAGTCAATCTGGTCTATGGATAACTTGTCATATTGAGAACGAGAAGACAACTGTCTGTGTTTAAAAATCGTCACTTCGTGACGTACTGATTGCGTGTTAGGATTCCCAGTTATGAGATGAAGAATCAAAAAACGCTGTGTGCGGACTCCTCCTCCATCGGGGTTTGTATAAACTGAGCTGTACATCTCAATAGTTATCTGATAATATTCTCTTGTGCGTTTCTTTGCTCATTTCACACTGTTCCAAACTTGATACATAATGCGGTAGATATGATCTATGTGCAGCTATATATTTGGCTTGTGTAGACCCAGTGTCTACATGAAGAACCAATTGGAGTTTTACTTGAGCTTTAAACAGCCTACTCTAGAGCTACGCTATTCAATAGGCTACGTGAGAATATATAGTACTGCTTGTACGTCAAGACACGTAAATAATCCCTTACCAATGAATACACTTTTTTGAATCTGAAAATGACCATTTTTCGTATAATACCGTATTTTATACCTCCTATACACCCCTACCTTCAATGTTTCCACATATTTGTGGAGAGCTACCTTTGGAGGGTAAATTGAGACTATCTAGGTATCACATGATGAATTGCAATGAATTGCACGGTAGTTTGCGAGTACAGCCGTTTATGACTCTTATCTCGCTTTCTGAGTCATTGGAGCTTTAGCGCCGTGAGGGGGCTGTTTTGATGAAACAGCCTTAGGATGCAGATCACACACACGTGTGAGAAACTCAACTTCACTTCATCACATCTCATATCAGTATTCTATTCTAAAAATTTTATTTTCGAAACGAAGTTGAGTATGGCATCTTTCATGAATTTACCCACCGAACTGCGTCTGGTTATTATCCGGCACACTCTCCAACATCGACGAGAGTCACCACCAACCCCCTCAACATCAAACCGGGTCTATATCGAAGATTTCAAACCTATAGCCAAGAGGTGGCAGCTAGGTGGATGCGGAGTGGACTACGAAGAAAGCCACAACCATTGCCCAACCAACTGTTTACCACTTCTCTTGACAAATCGGCAAATCTCCGCGGAGACCAAATCGGTCCTCAGTCACATGGAAACAGACTACGTCCTCGACATATCTGTTCTTAACGATATCTATCTGTTCCCAACTTGGATCACCGTTCCCCGCCTCTCGCACCGTGTAAACCATTTGCGCGCGGAGGTGCGACTTTTCGGACATATCATCACCAACAAAGCCGCGCGAAGGCAAATGGGAGATGGCGGACGTAATGGAATCCATTTTGCCTTTCATCAAATCCTGCAAAGATTCCTAACGTATGGTCCCGTCGGCGAGAAGAAGGGCCGGGATAATAACGGATACGAAAACAAAAATATTTCAGTCCGGGTTCTCGAGCTGGATTTCACCTCTGCCGAGGAAGCATTTCCATTCCCACCGGAGGAATTTGACTGGAGGGACTATAACAGACAGCTTATCGGTCATGGCAAACTTGAAGGATACAAACCTCGGCCCGAATGGATGGCTCGATGGATTTGCAACTGGATTTGTAGGATTCTCGCCTTGGATTCCTATGGAATTATATATGGAAGCATGATATATGAGAATGTGGGGACATTAAGGGTCTTGGCTGATGGGATTCTAATAAAGGAACTTGACCTTTCACATTGTCCCGATGGCGCTGTGGCTAAGAGGGAAGAGTTGGGATTCCCAGTTATGAGACCCAAGCTAGGAGACCAAGAATCACAGAATGAGTGAAGACACTGGTTGGTCTCTCCATTGGGGTCTGTAACCTAAGCTGAGTTTGGGGGCCTTCATACACCGTCTTTATCTGATAATATACCTCTATGTGTTTCTTCCAACACTTGACACTGGAAGTTGATAATGCCATAGATGATGTCTACGCGTTTCTCTACATATGGCTTGTGCAGACCCAGTCTCTAATCACTAGAGTTTTTTTACACATCATATAGCCTACTCCAAACCTAGCTAGTTCTGGCATTTAAGGGCTACGTCGTATAGTTTGTAAAATAGAATATGACATATGGAACTAGATTCTCTGTAGGCTATGAAGCTGAGGACGGCAAAAATATGTATATCTGGTTAAAAACAAACAGACTCAAAACGAGTCCGACTCAACAGCAAAGATCATCCCTCATATATGCAAATGCTGAGCTCGTCTCAGTCTCACTGAGGGCCAACAAGTCTCGCAGTATCCCTGAGACAAACACGGAACTCTCTAATCTGATTCGCAGGAGTCTCAATGATGTATCGCCAGAGAGTCCAAATATCCTGACAATCAGCGCCACTACCCGGACCCTCCTGTTCAATCTCAAACTCTCTGTGTTCCTCGTCAACTCCGAATCCGAAGAATCGGACCAAAGCAAGATCAACTGGCGCAGGAGCGATCTCAGAAGAAAACTGAGTATATCCGAACCTCTTCACCTGCATCTGGATTTCGTTCCACTGGGGTCGCCATTGTTCGAATGTCGCTGTCCACTCCAGATCAGTGCCTGCATCCGCGAGTGTAGCACACATGGTCCAGAGAAAATGAGAGATGCTAATCCAGCCATCAGACTTACCCGGTGCGCCTAGTAAGTTAGACTCTTCGCGGTGGACGCTGAAATGGAATAAGGATTTCTCGAATGGGCCTTTGTCGTCATTTTTTAATCCTAGTGCCAGCGACAGCGGCACAGAGTCAAAGGAATCAAACGTGGTGTCAGAACCACAGTCCTCGTCATCTGCATCCCAGTTTTCGTCAGTGTTAACAGGGATATTCAGACCCTGGAGTCTAGATGGCTTTGGCATGGTTGAATCCTGTATTCGCTTGAATGGATCGGATAGAGGAATCGAAATAGACTAGTGTATTGGTCTGCAGTTACTGGCGGCATGGGAGTATCAATATATAGTTGAAGTTCCAGTCACGGTATTACATCTGAATTCAAAGGCACCCTTTGTTCTTCTTTGGCCTTTGGCCTTTGTCCTTTATTCAAAGACGGCTTCGAGAGACTAAAATACAATGGCCTTCATAAAGTGGGGGTTTCTTTGTTAATTGCCAGTCAGTCACTTTTGTCTCCAAAATGGAGTCAAAGTAACACAGCACAGACCTAAGAAAGCAAACGTATCTTTTTCTCAAGCCTGGATTGCCAGTGTTGATGATGGAAATTTGCGAGTCAAGCATTCATGAATCTTTCCACTGACAGCGACGGCAGCATGATGAAAGGCTGTAAGAACACGTAGTCCCTTGTCACTAGAGCCCTTCAACACCTTCATCAGTTGGCCTTCCAAGCTTTCCATTGACAAGGTCCCGCTCCTTCCGTCGATTCTCCAGATAAAAGCGGCCTCCTTCATAAAGACTGAGGTACAGACCCAATGCAATTGCCGTCCAACCAGCCCGTATTAATCCGCCCTTAAACAAGCCACGGATGCCCTCATATCGTATAATATCACGACCAACAGATATAAGAGATTTGGTCTTTGTTCGTGTCTCCGAAGATACTGCCCCACTGCCACGAGAACCAGCCCGAGTACTTTGATTTTGGGAACTAGCACCAGCATCACTTGCCGAAAGCATGACGCGGGTCTTGATCACGTCAATTGGGGTAGTCACTGTTGCCGCAACCGTCCCCGAAATTGCCGCAGCTATACCCGTCAAGCCGGCCCGTTCGACTAGTTGATCTGACTGTTCCGATGGCGGTCGGCCGGTGTGGCTGCGATTCGCTTTCCGTTGTCTCCGCCGGTTAATCAGGTGTGATCGCACATACTCAAAGAGCGGAAATTGCAAAGCTGTGGTTGGGAGGTTCCGACCAACCAGTGCCGTATATCCACTCCATAGACGCCAAGGATGACGTCGAAATCGCAAAAGTACTTGTCGCATGGCAGATGTGTTTGTTTGGAAACCTTGGATCATCTGCGCATTTTGCTTTAGTACCTCTGCCGGCGTGAGCATGAGACATGATACCATCTCCCCGGTTGAAGAGGCAATTCCATGCATAACTGGAGTCGGAAGGGAATGTGTGAAAGGCAAGCGAAGACTATTCAGAGAGCCATCCGGGAAGACCCTCTTGCCATCTTTAATGCTCGTGGGAGCTTCTGCTGAGGAATTGTACATAATGCTCTTCACGGCTTCGTATGTGGTGAAGAATGCGCCGGCTAGATCGACGTAGATAGAATCGTCAGCTGTGATGTTTCTTGTCCCCTATTTATTAATAAGAGTCAAAACATACAAGCTGGAATAGTCGAGAAAACCACACTCCAGACGCCTTGGTACAATCCTCGGAAGAGTAGATTGCGCCGCACCGCTCCTGTGCGCGCATCTTTGAAGACCTTCGCATAGTCTGGGGACTGGACACGGGTCTTGAGTGTGTCGAATGGGTAGACGATGAAATCGACTGCAACTGCAGCAAATGCGCCTGCCTATTAAGGAGTATATTCTAGTTAGCCATTGATGTATGCCGTCAAATTTGTCAAATTTAAGGATGCGCTCAGTCGGATTAGAGAGACCCACAACCCAAATATCGGAAGGAGTGTTGTACATGGAGAAGATAAAGAACTAAAGAGCCCAGATTTCTGGGAAAGAGCCATCGTAAATATTTAAATATCGACAGAGAATGTCATTGAACAATTCCACCTGATTCAGTAGACGCTTATCGATTATCGCTGATATGATGTGCCGATGACGTCACCCACACGGTAGTCACGTGTCTGTAGCAGAAGGTGCCTGAACCCCTGGACGTCCTCCTACATGACCTGGTGGAACTTTGTATGACTTAAGCACACTTGAACCTGTCTGTATGTTTTATTAGAGGATATTTGTATTTCTATTGCTAACCCCTAATCATTAAAGCACCTTGGGGTACTACCATCATATCGCAACACAGGGATAATATACATAGCCTCCACAGGTTCCTCTATTGCCAGCCCTTCGGTCCAGCCCAGTTACCCTTGATCATGTAGTTGAAGTACACCCAAGGGAAGAAGTCCTTCTTCAAGTGGTAGAACGAACGACGGGGCTCGGCCTGGTCAATACCAAACCAGTCACCAAATGTCTCCTTGGGTACTCCGGCGTACTTAAACTCAGCAAGAAGGACCTTGCCATACTCGGTCAGGAGCGGGCAAGAGGTGTATCCATCGTAAGAAGCATCCAGTGCCTTGCCCTCCATGCTCTGCAAGAGGTTGCGAACGAGAACTGGTGCCTCAGAGGTGACTGCCGCGGCGGTCTTGGATGTGGGCAAACTGGAAGCATCACCAGCAGACCAGACATTGGGGAATTTCTTGTGGCGGGTGGTGTTGTCGTCCACATCGACGTATCCGGCCTCGTTGGCCAGAGCACTGTTCTTGACGAAAGCATGAGCACCCATCTTAGGGGTGACGTGCAACAGGTCGAATTGTTTGGTGACCTCTCCTTCGGGAGAGGCAAAAAGGGCGGCCTTGCCATCAATGGCAAGGAGATCGTGCTGGAACAATCCCTCAACACCGCGGTCTTTCCGCATCTGCTCGAGGACGGCGCTGTACTTGGGGACACCGAACATCATTGGGAGACCGGTGGCAAAGCTGATCTTGACGGGTGACTCGGAGGGGCTGGTAGGGTTGTAAAGGCCAGCTCGTTTCCAATGATCCAACGCAAGCCACATGATCTTCTGCGGTGCGCCCGCACACTTGATCACACCGGCTGGCTGAGTGAAAATGGCATTGCCTCCGCGGAAATTTTCAATGTTGCGGAAAGCCTTGTCGCATGTGTCGTAGCTGTAGATTGTTGACACCGTTGAGTTCCGGTCTGCCAGAGCCTCAGAGAGACCCTTGATGGCGCCAAAGTTGAGGTTAATACCGGGCACAACAACCAGATGCTCGTAGTTGATCTTGTCGCCATTCTCGAGGGTAAGCGCATTTTCTGTGGGGGCAAAGGCGCCAACACCCTCGTTATAGAACTTGAATTTAGGATCAATCAAGCTGTTCAATGGCTTGCGCAGCTCCTGCTTGTCCTTGAGGCCACCGCCAACCAGTGTCCAGCCAGGTTGGTAGTTATGCCACGCGGCTGGATCAACCACAGCAATGTCATCTTGCGCAAATTTGCCAGAGTGCAGCAGCTGGTGGCTGATGGAGAGACCAGCAGTACCACCGCCGACCACTACAATCTTGTGGTTTCGTGCAGAGCTCACGGGAGATGCAGTTGCGAGGCTCCTCCATTGAGCAACTGAGCGCTTGGCAGCAACTACTGTGCGACGCTGAAACATGTTTGGGTATAATGCAAAAATATGACAAAAAAGGCCCCGAAGCAGCCAAAAAGAGCTGATCTTATGATGTCGTGATTTCGGATTAACTCGTTCCGATATCGGGGAGTCGGGCTTTCTTCGCCGAATACGTTCGGGGTTCAGGGAAAGGGACTGAAAGTACTTGGATGTTCCATGTTTACTTCGAATATTTTCCAATGCTTCGCTTCTAATTCAAAGGACCTCTCGCTTTAGGGATTGGTCAAAGCATCGTGGTTGTGCATGATGATGTTGATGTGTGGCCCTGATTCACCTTGTCTACGAAGGGGGATAACGGCCAAAAGGTCAATCTTCAGGCTTGATGTCTTAAATGCCTGGTTTATGCCCGATTTTAGACCGCTTTTAACACCGCTCTGTATGTTGTACATAGTATTATTATATAGTGGGACCTCCGACCTTATACCTAGATGTACCGCCTTATATACCGCCTCCCTTTTAAATATACTGCTATAAGAATAAATAGTCGGCCACTTATACGGCCGTAGTCTCTTCTTGGTGGACTTTTTAGGTAGCATACTCCGATAGTCTTTTCATGTCTTTTTAGTGGTCTTTTCTAGTAGTCTCTTTAGGTATATACCTTTAACTACTAACCTTTAGAGCTAGATCACGTGCCTATACACTAACTTTTTAGGGGTTTTAGTCTGGCAGAACCGGCAGAATTTAGAGGGCGGTATATCTACGTATATAGGTTTAGCTTAATATTTCGGCTCTACCTAGGGCTATATCTTGCTTATTAGTTAAGAGTCTGTTATAGTTATTTAGGTATCTTAATTTTTCTGCCAGTCTAAAATCAAGCAGAAATCAGGCATTTAGCTATTAAGCCTGAAAAATCAGGCATTTGACCTTTGGCCGTTTATGCCCCTTCGCACCTTGTCATTACTATGGGGTTAAGGCCTTAGCAACGGGACCCAAAACAATGTACCTCGCAACAACAGAGGTTCCTGGAGAATTTGACAGTGGCAAGAAATCGCGGGACATATCCATGGACGGTGTCGTAATGACTCCGGAGGCGTTTTCAATCGCCGACCTAGATGCTCGCCGAGTCGCCGACCGATGTCTTTGAAGTATGGCCAGAGCTCCTACCCTATATTCCTTACCAACTTTTGTCCCTCAAATTTTGTATATCATGATCAGTTTTCGGCAGCAACCATCAATCGTCAGCCGGCAATGGTCATCAGATCTTTTCAGATTGTCTAGCAAGCCAATTCGAACTCCACTGGCCGACCTCAGTCAATTGCGTCACATTCAACAAGCGACACGGACAGGTGTATCTTATACTTCAAATTCTTCAAGAAACGTCGCTTCAATCAAGAGGACGATTCGTCTATCACAAAAAGAACAACCAGGTCATAGCTGGAACCAACCATTCTCGCCACGTTCAAGCTCCATCCCTACGAGGCATATAATCCCACGTCGAGCTACATATAGCACTACATCCACTATGTCGTCAGAGCCTGTGATCCACGATGTCTTCGAACCTACATCTGGAACATGGCAGTATCTCATCGCCGATCCGTCGACATCAACGGCTGTCATCATCGACCCAGTCTTGAACTATGATCCCGCCACTCAGGTTGTGGCCACTCACGCAGCCGATTCCCTACTCTTCCTTATCAAGGAAAAGGGCTATAAGATTGACAAGATTCTCGAAACCCACGCTCATGCAGATCATTTGACTGCAGCATCTTACCTTCAGAAACGCCTTGCTCAGAATCAAGACCATAAGCCGCCCATCTGCATTGGCAAGCGCATTGAACAAGTGCAAAAATTGTTTGCTGAAAGATATGGTGTCCCAGAAGAGGAATATAAAGGCATTTTTGACAAGCTTTTTGACGATGATGAGACCTTCGCTATTGGGAACCTGAAAGGACAGGCTATCCATCTACCTGGGCACACCCCGGATCATCTGGGTTACAAGATTGGAGGTAATTATACACCAGTAATAATGACCTTATCACACAGTTACTTACAAGTCTCTTCCAGATAACCTATTCTGCGGTGATTCCCTCTTCCATGTGGACATTGGCACTGCACGCTGTGACTTCCCCGGTGGCAATGCCAATGACCTCTTTCGATCAGGCCGCAAGCTTCTGAGCCTCTCCGACCACGTCAAGATCTGGACGGGTCATGATTATCCGCCGCAGGACGGAGTGACCCCGTGCCTTGGGTGAGTGTCCAGGATCACAAGAAGCTGAATAAGCATTTCAAAGACGGTATTAGCGAAGAAGAGTTTGTGGCTTTACGAAAGGAACGTGATGCAGGATTGGCAGAGCCCAAGCTGCTCCACCAATCTTTGCAGATCAACATTCGAGCAGGCCGACTTCCTTCGCCTACGAAATTTGGTCAGCGGTTGCTTCACCTTCCACTGAAGCTCACAGAGGAAGAAGCATGGTAACCGAGATATACGATTAGGTAAAGGAACAGAGTACATACTCATCAACTAGTCTCTAGTCAAGGACGAAAAGTGGCACATTCAACAGGCCGAAACCCCTTTTCTTGTTCAACTACATGTACATACATTGTATAAGTATATATAGTCGGCCGCTTATCCGGCCGTAGTCGTGTCAATGGTTTCCTGGTGGTCTTTTCCGGTAGTCTTCTTAAATGTCTTTTTAGTGGTCTTTTTAGTACTCTCCTTAGGTATATACATTTAACTGCTAACCGTTAGTTGTTGAATCACGTACACGCTAACTATATTAGTACCACCTCAAGCGACATGAGACCAAGCAGCATCTTACTGTCTTTCTAAATTTCGATAGCCTTGCTCATCTATTTGATAGCGTCTTTGTTACATCTTATGCTAGTAGGATCCTCGATGAGATCCAATTCCTCAATACCTGTAACGTTCCTAGTTGCCAAAGTCAATATCTCTTTGCTTTGTCCGATCCCTTCTCTCCTTTGCAGACTACAATGCCTTTGTACTCGGATTGATCCGCAAACTAAGAAGACAAGATATAACAAAGGATCTTTGGTGCTTCTATTGTTCTCAACTTCCAAGCTGTGCTCCATCGAGTATTCGAGTCGGCTACTCGAACTACATAAATAGCCCCGATCCCACCTCGATATATTCTCACCAACCAACAGTGCCTCGAACAATACTCACAGCTCACACAGATTCCACAGATTCCACAGATCCCACAGATCCATACTAACCTTCTATTACCCCCATCTATCATCCATCCCACCTTCACTATGACTATCCCTGCTCGTGACAGCGTTTACGTTACGGACCGCACCCACTTCCTTCTCGTTCTAGAGACCCAGATCTTGAAGCTCCGAGCTAACCCGGCTAACCGTCTGTTTGTGGTTGAAGGGCTTCGAGAGCTTGCTCGGCTGACACCTGGCTGCCTTGAGGCTTCGCGTGTCGTCGGTGACCTTGTTTTCCACCAGATCTGCTGTACCCTTCAGCATCTTTGGCAGCCCGCGATTGCCACTCTGTTGGCAGACGCTGATGAGTTCGATGGCTATAGGGTCGCCGATAGACTTGAGGGTGCACTTCCCCTGGAGGCTCGCGATCCCTTCAGTCGTCCAGCCACATGGTAGTGATGATGCATGTAGATGCATCCATAGATACCTGATTTCATAGATCAATCTAACCTTACATTTGTAAGACCAATTTGTTCCATCCGTAGATTATCCTATTGTAAAAAAAAAGCCATACATGAGAATTTGACCTGTTCAATGTGATTGTTATATTCTAAACAAAATAAAGATTTCCTTCTATGATCGAATACAAGTCGATACAACGCAGGAGTCTAATGCCCCGAGACTCAGCTCCGCTCATAGAAGAAAAAAGAAACAGGAAGTCATATTAACATCCAAAATAGAGAACATTTTCCCTCCCTACGCCGTAAAAAGGTCATGCAATACCAGAAGCGTCGTGTCTCCCCTTCGCAATCATCAACGTTTAGTTCGAGGTCTCGTTGGGCAGCAGGTTGCCCTTGATGGCAAACATCTTGCCTGTGCTGGACGAGACGAAGCTGTCGACCTGGCGCGCGTACTGGTCCACCTGGCGAGTGTTGAGCATGCTCTCCAGACGGCTGGGCTCGGCGGGGAGCTTGAACAGACGCTGCCACTCGTCCTCGGGGAGGAGGGGCTGGTTGAGAGTGGCACGGGTGGCGTTCTCTTGTGCGCGCTTCGCCTTCCAGGCGTTGATCTTCTGCTGCTCGCGGCCGAGCACACGCTGGTAGTATTGGTAGTTGTTGACCTCGGTGTTGTGGGTCTCGATGCTGTCCAGAAGGAGATCGCAGTTCTTCTCCAGGAAGGGATCGATGCTGAGGGACAGGTTGTCGAGGTTGGGGGTGAGGGTGGAGGTTTTGGTGAAGGGGCTGGACTCGAGGGCAGCCAGGGAGGAGGGGAGCTCAGTGGAAGCTGAGGAAGTCGGGGTCTGCAGCTGGTGGATGAAAGAGGTGATCAGGTGGGAGTTGTGGAGCTTGACGGGCAGTTCCTCGAAGATGTCGGGGTGGCGCAGATTGGACTTTTGGAGGCTGATATTCTTGTTAGTTTTCACGATATGATTTTGCGAATTTCCCAGGTCATTGCACGTACTCCTCGGAAGTGAACTTGTTCTCCTTGAACGCAGTCATGAACTTGGAGGACAAGCGGAACGCCCGGAGGCTGAGGCTGCCCTGGGCGCTGCGGCTGACATCGTGAACGAGGGCGACTGTGCGCTCGTTCAACTGGCTCTGGTAGTAAAACTGGTTCTCGATCACGTTCATGTTGACGAAGTTGCCCATGTTGGCGCTGGTGTACCATCCGACGCTGTTGGCATCAGTGTTGACCTCGCGCAGCATGCGGATCATCTCTGCAGAGTACGCGGCATTTGCCTTGGCGCGAGGAGCGGCAGCGGCCGGGTTGGGAGCGGCGTTCTCAAAGTGCGACTCAGCGGGGACTTCGACGACGGGGAATGGGAAAGTGTTGGTGATCTCGAGGGTGCCATCGACATCCATACCGACGATGCCACCGGTGGCGGTGGTAGGGAAGGTCTGGGAGCAGTGCTTGATGATTTTCATGACCACCTGGAACATCCGACGTCAGTATTTCTGGCTGGCGAGGGCTGGGGGAGATTTTCGTCGGGGAGACCATACCAAGGCCTCGACCTGCACGGCCGCGAGGGGAGCTGGAGTTCTGCGAGTCGGTCAGCATCATGTCGTCACAGATCAAAAAAGGTCATCACTTACTCGGCCATTGTGAAAGATTGCAACAGTTGGGCGGTTGTTAAGGTCGAGACGGTGGACTTGGAGGGTTTGTGTGAAAGGGACAATTTATTCCCGATTGGGTTTAGCCTGTGACCAGAACGTAAGGTAATATATTACAGCCCTTCACTACGTATATGGAGGGGCAATACAGTAATATTACGTCCCCATGGACTTCATCGGAGAATTTTTATTCGACCAGAGATTCCTCGTGCTATATTTTGGTCTAAAACAAGACAGCAGACGGGAGGCACAGAGAAAATAACCAGAGGACATGGGGACACTGGAAGATCCAAAGCCAGAGTCTACCTACAATGTCAGACAGTCGAATGGGTGTATGTAACAGCTTCTGCACGATGCTCCTTCCAAGCCCGTAATCTATCGATATGTCCCACTTCCCCATAAATCAAGGTAGAACTCCGCCAGGCACCATGTCGGATCACTCAAATACCCAGACTGTAGTCTATGGCTCGGTCCATAATCTCCAAAGCATCGCCGTCACAACCTTAGATCCATGCAAAGATGGTTACTGGGTGATGTACGCGAGTCCCAGGCACGATCCTTACCCCGGAAGCAATAACTAACGTGTGATGCACTGATCTAGCTTCATCCACGGTGGTGCATGGCGGGATCCGGCGGTTACATCGACATCCTTCAAAGCCACGGAATCCATACTCCGCGAGAAAGGCCTACCTATTGCCGGATTCGCCTCGATCTCATACCGTCTTAGCGCACACCCAAATCACCCGCAAGACCAAATAAATACCGACCCGAAGGACTTCCAAGATGCGAAACACCCTGGCCACATCGACGACGTGGAGGCAGCGCTCGCATTCCTGCAGAATACATACGGGTTCGGTGGGCGATATATCCTAGTTGGCCACAGTTGCGGCGCAACGTTGGCCTTCCAAGCTGTAATGGGCGCGGTCTCAGGTCATCGTGAAGAGACTTCCACTGGATCTGGCTCTCCAGGTCCCCTGCCACCTACATTGACGGCGCAACCCATTGCCATTGTCGGTGTGGCGGGTATCTACGATCTGCGACGGCTGCGAGATACGCATGCTGACATCTCGGCTTACCAGGAGTTTATTGAGGGGGCTTTCGGGGCGGATGAGATGCTCTGGGATGGTGTATCGCCGGCCCAGGTGACTGGGTCTCGTGGAGTGGAAGGCGGCTGGAAGTCTGGAAGGTTGGCTGTTCTGGCGCATTCCAAGGACGATGAGTTGGTGGACGGGTCTCAGGTGGAGGCCATGAAGGAGGCTTTGAGCAATTGGGAGAAGACGGAGGCACATATACCTGTGCAAGAGGATATACACCGTGGTAGACGGCTCCGCGTCTTGTCAATCCGCGGTGCTCATGATGAGGCATGGGAGAATGGTGAGGAACTGGCTCGCGCGGTAACATTTGCATTCGAACAACTGCAGGAAATGGGACTGAACCCGTAGTTCCGACGCGGAGAAGGACACAGGAGACGGCTGTAAATAGGTACCCGGCATAATATACGCGTTCCTGGTTATGAGTTTACTGTCTTTTGGTATCCATACAAACCTGCAAAGAATTGGATCAAAGTTATGTGGTTCCAATTGAGTCCTGATTTTCCCTAGGAATGGACCAGACTGGTAATTTAGGTACAAACGAAGTCGGAGAAAAAGAAAACCCCATCGCAAATGGACCAACCATGCGAGCCAGACAACGCCGTCATTCGTGAAAACATCCTAAGTATCCCTCGTTGCGCCGAAATGTTGCCAATGAAAGACAGGAAATGGAATGCCTGTCAAGATTACTTGGCGACGTTCATGCGAGTGGAAGCTGCGTCACCGAGGAGCTTGTCGTGTTTGGCTGACTCTTCAGCATAATCGTCGTCGTATTCGAATGCGTCATCATCACTGTCACTGTCCTCGATGAACTTGTGATGGATGTCCGCCTCGGCAAGACGCCACTTGAGCTCCTCACGCTGATTATCTTGGTAACGAGCAAGTGCAGCTGCGGCGTGCACCTTGAAACCGTAGATCCGGGGTTCATAACGACGGCTGCTCTTCTCGGGATTAAGGGCAGGGTAGACCTGGAAAAGGATCGAGTGGAATGAGGTACCGAAGTATGCACCATCGATGGACGAGTGACGTGACGACTTGGGGTTGTAGATATCTTCGCACTTTGGACAGTAAAGCTTGACGGTGCTGACATTCGGGAGATCAGATTCACCCAGGGGAAGCAGCGCGTGTCCATCGCACATCACGCGTGGGCACTTTCCGAAGTCGCTCTTCTTGTATTTCTCGAGCTACATAAAGGTTAGTACGTTGACTATAGGGAACAATATTCACACAAGTTTAGGGTTCCAACATACCATTTTGGCAAGACCACGAGTGGTAACAATGTATCGAGCATGAACCAAGCCATAGAGGTGACGGGCGGACTTTTCGATTTGCTCGCGCAGATCGTCGTCGGCATCAAGATCGAAAACGTCAGTCACAAGGTCAAGGGCGTACTGGTAGTAGGAAACCTCGGTGTTCAACCCGGTGAGGTTAAAGCGATCGGTCAGGTAGTCCTCGTCGATTTCGCAGAAGTATTCATTACCGCGGGATGAGACGAACTGTAGATACATGATTGCGATTAGCACGATCATGAGGAACACTGCATGCCCTCTGTATCGACCAGAACTGGACCGAGGGGCGGAATCAGAGGAACGGAAGGCCGCCGAGGACCCTCCACGCGCAGGGCCACCCTGTGAAGGTCGAGATGCATTTCCGTCGGGCTGGGAACCGCGTCCACCGGGGTTAGAATCCGGACCGGGAGGCCCGTTGGGACCATCGTGACCATGCGGCCCCCAACGGGCAAGCTCCGACGGGTCCAGATCAAGACGGACGTAAACGTTGAGCAAACGGATAAAAGCGCCGATGATATTCATGCCCACGAATACGTAAAAGAAGGCAGTAGACATTTCGTTACCATGCGCGGCCCGAAGCGCGAGTTGAATCAACGCAACCGATCCCGCGAACAGGAAGACTAGGATGCTGTGGAGCGTCCGGCGAGAGAAAGGAGGAGGGTCCATGATGAGATTGAGCACAAGAAAACCAATGGAACTTGACGGACGATGGGTGTGCGGGAAGAAATTTGAAGGATCAAAACAAGTCTGGACTTATGTCGGGGCGAGGCAACCCAAAATCGTTGTCTATCCAAATCGTCGGGAACGCCGAGACCATCGTCGGACCAACGGGCTGAAATGTCGAGGGACCTGGTCCGGGCCATATTCACTCGGGTTGCGTGCGCGACAGCCCCTCGCTGTGATCCATCTCGACCCCCCACGGTGGCCCTGTCTTGCGCCACAGCGGCGCGCATCTCAAGAGAAATCAAATGATAAGTGAAATTGAACTCACCCAGTCTCGCCAATAGCTGGTATAGTCACTGTCAGTCTCACTATTGAAGTCCTCCATGATGCGGTACGTGGACTCTCTGGCTGTGTCAAGAGTATTGTTCACCAGGTGGGGTCAAGCGCGGCACTTGAAGCACCCAAATCTGGACAGTTGGTAATTCAGACGAGTTTATAATGACAGATGATGCCAGAAGTGAAAGAATCTGAGACTCTGTTAATGATTGTTGCAAGTTATAGTGGGAAGTGGGCAAGATATCCCGCAATCCGCTTATCGATGCCATTCGCCTACAGGGCGGTCAGTCTACTGCCAGCTTTCTATCAGACCGCCCTTTGGCAGGGGCACGTGCACGCATGACAACATACAGGCGGCGGGAGTACCTCTACGTTGTACGTGACATTGGGATGCACAATACGAATCTTCGATATATACTCATTGGATCGCGAGCGCTGCAAGGATACTTAGTAACCCAAATTTCAATACATTGTCTTCATTCTGTCTAGCCACGAGCCCTAGAACATATAATCCCACCGATTCAAAGCGAGGGATTCGCATTCTCCACAAGCTGGGCGAAGTACGCCTGCAAATTCGTCAGTATCATATAATTAATCACATTTCATCAGGGCACTCTTACCTGGAACCAAGTGCCAGCTTCAGGTGCAGGCTGAAGAGCATCGCTATATCCACAGTGGGCATCATAGCGGGCCGCGCTGGAATCCGAAGTACCATCACTCTCACCACCGGGCTTCACCCAGACAAAGGCATCGGCCAAAGCGTCACCAGTCTCGGTAGTGGGTCGTACACCGAAGCCAGTTCCCTTGACATTGCACCAATCACCCCAGGCGCTCTGCGAAGTGGGCTGGACTCCATTGCGGCCTGAACAGAAACAGTTAGCGTGAGACCTTTGGGAACTTGATATGGGGCTGTTTCGAAGGGTTCCCGAGTACATACCGGTATCGGTGATGAAGTGGGCGTCCCAGCCAGCAGTCTTGAGAAGGGGAGCAAGGGCGTTGATATATTTCTTCTCATCGCAGTTGGGATCTCCGGAGGTGTATGATGGGCAGGTAGAGAGAGACCAGCCGTTGTAGTTGGCAACGTTAGTGGCGAGTCCTCGCATAGAGGCGGGTTTGTTGGCAGTGTTGTAGACATTGGCGTAGAGCTCAGCTGCTGGGCCTAGGTTGGCAGGCCAGCCAAGCCATCCAGCATGTCCTGTGTCAATAGTTAGATATTTGGAAGATGGATGGTTGAACTGAGGAAAGATGCTTAATCTTACCGGCGTCGAGGTACATAGCAACATTGTCCAAGTTCAACTGGGTGACAGCGTAATTAGTGCACTCCAAGTATGCGTCATGTGCGTTGGCGCACTTGGACACAGCCATGTTGGTAACCAAGTTAGCCAGACTATCGGGTTCTAGAAACAATGTCAGCAACGACTATCCCCGAGCCTCGCACGGAAAGGTCATCCATCAGCAGGTCTACTGACCAACGACAAGGATAGTCTGAATATCAGAGTATTCGACCAGAATCTCGCGGATGGCGTCAATGTACGCCTTGTACTTCGCAACACCACCATCGGCAATGGAGTACTCTCCATTACTCGCCAATGCGGCGCAGTCACGATCAGGCAGGTCATAAACAACGAATTGACCAGCAATCGGCGGGCTAGCACCGGCCTTGTTCTGAGCCCTGATATCGGCCAGGAACTCGCCCATCGTTGGCACCTTGGCTGCAGTATCCCTGGAAAGAAATATTAGTGCTCTGCGTAATGTGTATAGGACACCAACGTAATGGAACTCACAGCCAATAAAAGGACGGAACCTTAGCGGCTGCACTGGCAGCGGCTTTAGCAGCCCCCGTCATGGATGGCAAGGCCGAGGCTGAGACTTCAGATGCATAATACGAATTCACGTAGAGCTGGTATCCTGAGAAGGGATTTCCAGCAGCTGCAGCGGTCACAGTTGGGCTAGCTGTACTCGAGATTGCAGCTGCCGCTGCGGAAGTGGCCAGCAGAGGCACAAATGGGATGAAAGATCGCATATTGGCCCTCTTGAAACGATAGGTTTGAATGTTGCTTGTTTCTCTTTGATGCTGGTAGCAATCGTGCCGGAATTAGATCTCTTTATATACCTCAGCGAGATGCATGTCCCGTCACCCTTGCGGAGATTGAAGCCGGCCACCCGAGGATAATGTCACACCATAGCGAGGAGTTTGAGTATGAGATGACATTGCCAAGACATATGTAGGGGAGAGGAGGCAGAGAGTAGCATGCTCTGCCCTACACGTGGTTATATTTGGCTAAATGCTGTCTTGTCCGGGTAGAGGGAGCAAAGTAATCTGCAACCTTGAAACCACTATAAATTGCCTAGATAGTCAAGGGGAGGGGACGTAATGTAATATCAAACCCCCGACATCAGCACGGAATAGATCCCCCGTCCCCAAACAGGACATTCATCGTCGATCGTCCCCAAACTCGGCGCGGGAGGACCATATTAGGCTCGCCCCACGTTGAGAGGTTAAGCTATTCGACTCCAGTTAACTGAAGAAGTGGACTAAAACAATTGATTTCGACTAATTCACGGAGGAATAGTTTCGAGAAACCGTTGCAATGGAGTGGATCCCGCACCAGACACGCTAGAGACATGTACCATACGCGATGGAACCTCCAAAAGGGAATTACTATCAAAACGCCATTTGCTTTCGACAAGGCATATTATTCACATTCCCCGGACCCCGCACCGTGGCGGCAGTGTTCTTCAGCCGGATCTGTCTTTACATGAAACAAGTCTATTCCATGCAAGGGAAATTAAGGGTGTGCCAACTGACGCTTTAGGCCATGGTGGTTCAAAAGGCTGAATCGGGTTGTCTAGGCTGAACTAACATGACATCCTGTTTCTAGGGCGATGAAAGGGTGAAAGATCATGATTGAGCCAAGTCAAGCGCTTCCATAAAGGATGGCTGGTAGGCCCTGGATGTACGATGCCGGCAGTGACATTGATTTCTTCTGAGTGGGCGAGCAACTTTCAATATGACTTAATTCAATTAAAGAAATGTAACACGATAAGAAGTGTTAAAGAGTGGAGTGGTATCTGTATCATCATCATGTAGTCCCAGTCTCAGCCTGGGATATGTGCCAAAGGAAATCAACGAAAGGAAAATAAGAAAGGAAATGGAAGAAAGAGAACGAGAGCAAAAGCAGGAGCCAATCTAAGCATATGTTCGTCAACGCTTGGCTTGATCACACTCAGCCAAGAATTTGTAAATTCCCTCGACACCTTCATATGCAGAGTTACTCTCGACTTGGCCAGAGCTAGAGATTTCCGGGAAGAAAGGCTGATCTCCAAGCTCACTGATGTTAATACTCGAGTAGCTCTTGGTTGAAGATTTCCACGGATTAGCACCAAATAGCTCACTGTCCTCGAAACTGATGGCATTGCCCGAATCCGGGCTGCCACCTGGCGATGATGGCGTCCCGCTTTCTGGTGTCATCATCCCTTGCCAATCAAGATCCGCTGGATACTGTGAGTGCAACTTCGGGGCTTTTTCGAAGTAATAGTCAGTGTCGGAGGAAGTGGGAATGCTCGGTGCGAAAGGGAACAAGAGAGCCAAATCAGCGCCAGTGCGAATATCGAAGTCTTCGTCCTGGGCGACTCGGCCCCGCTGAATTCCAGCCTCACAGCACAGCTGCTCTACAGTTTCTGCATCGCAGCCTGGGAAGCGTACTCGTATAGTCGACCGGTCGTGAAGGGAGATCGGAAGATCACCAAGTGATGAAAGACGCTTGAGGTCGTTCATGATAGCGGAGAAATCTTTCAAAGCTCGAGCGAAATCGGCAGAAAGCAGATCCATCAGACCCTCGGAGTTCAGAGAGTTGCCCAAGGCGGAGCAGTCCTGGTTGCCGAGACCACCAACAGCACTGAGTGCAGTGATGGTCGGGGAAACTTGGAAGTCAATGTACGAGCCAGCTGCTCTGTGCGGGTTGGCATTCATCTTTCGCTCCGCCTGGTCTTGCAGCGTGCTAACTGACTTATACCGCTTCTCCCCAGTGCGGGGATCGATGCCGTCGAATCGGACTTTCTGCCCAGACAGGAAGAAAGCACGGACGCCCTGCGACACATTCTGAATAACTTGTGCTGGGGCTGCAGGCCCATGGGAAAAGTATCTAGCCCCACCAAAACGGCCCGCTCCAACAGCGTACCCTCCTGCAGTCCGACCAAGGGTCCCACCGGTCAGATTGGGACGAAGAGTGGAAGCGAAAGGTGCGCGGCTACTGAGCCGACTGATGTTAGACGCAATGCGAGAGGTGTTACGGGCAGGGGCATCAGCTCCTAGCCCGGATCGAATCGCAGAGGCGAAGGCGCCGGCGGCACGGGTCGAGAAGTGGCGACTGCGGGCTTGACGGATGGCAGCGGCACGGCTAATTGGCTGGCGAGAGTTGATTCGGGCATAGGCAGGTTGGTATCGCACCGAATGATACTCTGTCGGCTCTGGTAATTTGGAACGTATAGCCTTGGAGGCCTTTGCGTAGGCAAACCTAGGAGGACGTCAGTCAATGGCTCCATTGTAGCCCGATATGGGGGCAGAAGAGGGGATACATACCTTGCTGCTCTCCATATTTTAGGAAGCAGCAGGTGCCCTGCTGAAGGCGCCATGGTGATATTTCAGAGATGAATAGTTCACTGGAGATGTTGGGGACGGATGCTAGGAAGAGAGGAAGGATGCCTGATGACGCTGGGGTATACACCCTTATCTCTCCGCCTCAGACCCAGGCTCCGCAGTGGCTGTGCGACGCCACCCGCGTGACTAAAATTTCTGTTTGTCCATTTTGTCTGATTTGTTACGTTTGATACAATAATGACATCCGAATGGATTCGAAATCTGGTCGCATTGTACCTTGCAGGTGTACAATATGACTCTCACAGTTACTGAAATTTACACACTTACAATAGTAGTTATCGGTATCATGGAAAAATCATTCTTTTGGTATCTAAAGCCTATGTACTCATAAAACGTTCATAATTTTTGACATATTTACTCGTCATCGCCGAAGAAAACCTTGATGGGGAGCCATGCGTCACCACAGACCTTGAAGCGGTCCTTGAGGTTGTCGAGCTGGTTGACCTCATCGTCAGTCAACTCCCAGCCGTTGATGTCAAAGTTGCCCTCAATGCGGGACTTGCTGACGGACTTGGGAATGACACTCCAGCCCTTCTGGATACCCCAAACCAGGAGGACCTGCTGAGGAGTCTTGCCCTTCTTCTCGGCGATCTGGAGGAGGGTGGGGTCCTTGTACAAGGGGGAGTTGGTGGAGCCCAGGCAGGAGTAACCGGTAGAGTGGATGCCCTTGGAGGTGTTGTAGGCGACCAGCTTGGGGGAGGGGTTGTTGGGGTGCAGCTCGATCTGGTTGACGGCAGGCACAATCTTGCAGCTGGGGTCATTGAGCAGGATCTCAAGGTTCTTAATGCCAAAGTTGGAGACACCGATGTTGCGGACCTTGCCAGTGGCAGGCAGCTTCTGCAATTCTTGCCTGTGGTGAACATAAGTCAGCAATGACTCCCCAGTGGACGGATGTGAAGTGTCACTTACCAGGTCTTGATGAAGTCCCAGTCGGGTAGATGCTTAGACAAGTCATTGGGGTCGGTGGAGCTGGGCCAGTGCATCAAGTAGAGGTCGACGTAATCGGTCTGGAGGTCCTTGAGGGAGGAATCAATTCCCTCAGTGACGCGCTTATGCCAGGGGTTGTCCAGCTTGGTGGTGAGCCAGATCTCTTCGCGGGGCACACCGGAGTCCTTGATACCGGCACCGACCTCGGCCTCGTTGCCGTAAGCCAGAGCAGTGTCAATGTGGCGGTAACCGGCGAGAAGGGCATCCCTCACGGCCACGCGGACCTCATTGGGCTTGGACTGCCATGTTCCCAGACCGATGGCGGGGATCTTGGCGCCGGTGTTGAGGGTGTAGGTCTTCCTATAGAGAGAGAAGGGTTAATGCGATGGTCTGGGGGAAATGAGGGGGAAGTGTATCGCATTGGGACATACTGAGTGTGCTGGTTCGACATTTTGATATATTTTAAGAGATGGAATAATGAATAAGAAAAAGGAAGAGCTTCAAGAGACAAGGGGCTTTATATAATGGCCAAATGTAAAGTGGGCAGGTCCAAGAGCAATCGATGATGTCGTGGGGGGGCAGAGGGGAGGGGGGAGGGGCGGTGGGGTGGTAAATTGGCCATATTGGACGTTATTTCTCTCTACTTTCTGTTGGATTTGCAAGATATTGAAGTTAACCGTGGATGAGGTGATCAAGAATTACCCGAATGGCCATATCCAACTCCGCGATAGACGCTTTCATCGTCATACTGGAGCCCCGGAGAGCGTTTTGAGGGTGTAACCAAGGGGGAACACCGAGTGCATTCTGGCTAAATGCGCGATTCGACCCAATATTGGCCCACATTGACCAATTGAGGTCGACCACCTAATTCATCCAATTCCCCCCGGGGCCGACTCTCTTGACTTACGTGAAATTTCCCTTTCCAGAAACTTCCCAATCTCTTTTCGTCCACAAATTATTATTCGCCCGCGTTTCGGTTCATTCCAAGCCCCACATCCCATCCCGAATCCCCCGTGGCCGGATAATTTCGCATCCCGACCATTATACCCGAGTGCTCCATCCCCGTGCCCCATAATCCATTTTACCCAGATCATCATGTCATCAGGTTTCGTTTCAGCCGGAACAAACGAGAAGCCGATCGAGCGGGACGATGAGTGGCTCAGAGCGCAGCAAGAGCTCGAGGAGGAGCGGAGACGTAAGGCCGAGATAGGGAAGCAGGATGACGGCAAAAGTCTCTTTGAGGTGTTGGAGCGGAATAAAAGTGAGCCCAACTCGGTTGCCTGGCCTTGTCTACCTTGTCTACACGAACGGGCAAATGAGCGGACAATTCATCCAGGGAATCTGGCTAACATGTTAGGGTGATTTTCCTCGGTTATTATGCAGTGGCCAAACAAGAAGCATTTGAAGAGAAATCACGTCTCAGAAACCAATTTCGCTCCCTCGATGAAGACGAAGTCGAATTCCTGGATTCTGTTCTCGAGTCAACACGCGCCAAGGAGGCGGCTGTGAAGAAGGAGACGGCGGAACAACTTGAAGCCTTCCACCGACGACGCGAAGAGGCGCAGAAAGCACTGCTGGAATCAACGTCGGATGCGGCACCAGCGCAAGGACAGGAATGGACTGCACTGGCTCGCAAGAGGCGGAGTGATAAACAGAAGAACTCATTGATTGCAGGGAAGAAGCGCAAGGCTTCAGTGACCGAGAAGACCGCAGGGAAGGACACACAGAATGGGGAAGACTCGGAGAAACAGTCTGAAGCTGGCGGTTCAAGTACCAAAAAGCTGGACCAAGGGACTTCTAAGTCCGATAAAGCCAGACCTTCTTCCACACAGTCCAAGGTAGTGACAGATACAGAGAAGGGGCAAGTAAAGCCAAAAAGCCCGACAAAGCCAACCCCAGTTTCGCTTGGCTTGGGAGGATACAGCTCAGATTCTGAATGATGCTCGCGAACGTCTGGATGACCGCGGCAGCTAGTTAGCACGAATATCTATCCTAGGACTGTATAATGTAGATCAAATTGATTGATGAAGGACATCTCTTTACAAGTATAGTAAGAAGGCGTGACTTTGCCCCTCACTAGTATATATAGGTTACTACTGGTAATAGTACCCTATGTGTTGCACTTCTCAAGTCACCTTTTAGTATGTTTTCTATTGAGGCTACAACTCACTGCTGGGGAAAGTCAGGAAGAACAATCTATAGTTCAATCTCGGAAAGGAAAGGCCTTTTATAAGGCCACAAAGAAGCAAACAGGCAAACAAAAGCTCAGTCTGTCTAGCAATAAGGCATCCATGTAGGATAGAACGATTTCAACATTTTCTTATATTACAAGGCCTGTCAATTTAGAAACATTCCACTCCATAGGAACAGCACATTATTGTATCTCAGTACCAAATCAACTAAACATTCCACACCTACAACACCAACAATACCCCCTGCAGGTCCCCTGTGACACTATTCTACTCAACATGCAGGGCGCTTTGCTTCACTTCCTGCTCCTCGACCTTCCGCTCCAGGTCATGAGACATGTAGTCTTCCTTGCGAGTTCCAGGCACAATCCACGGAGCATTTGTGAACATTTGGTTCATTTCCTCGAGGGGCACGCGCTTTGTCTCTGGAAGCAAGAGCCAAAAGAAGATCGCATTGGTGAAGTTGCAGATGACGAACAAATAGTAGAAGCGGTATCCAATATTCGTCATCGCAATGGGCGTGACCTGGCCGATCATGGTGTTGAAAGCGAACGACATCATAGTGGCAATCGAGACACCCTTGGCACGTGTGCGAGTATCGAACACTTCGGCTGGAATAATCCAGGATAGAGGACCACAGGTTGAGGAGAAAGAGAAGTTGTACAGCCAAGTCATAATAATGAAACCCCAGTGAGCACCGTTGTTGTTGGTTGATGGAGGGAACTTGGCAAGCAGGATGGTTGCAACGATGAAAGTTACCATGTTGCCAAGGTTACCACCGATCAGAGTCCATCGACGACCGAAGCGATCAATATATATCATGCACAGTACTTGCGCAACCAATGCAATGATGGAGTTGATTGCCTGGTACTTCAACGTATCTCCGTTGGAGATACCGATTTGACTATAAATCTGAGGTGAGTAGTATCTGCACGAAATCATGTCAGCTAATGGATTCGATGTTGATAATTCATGTTGAGCACTCACTGAATGGCGGATACACCGGTCATCTGGCCCGAGGCTTGCAATGCACAGCAAAGGAACAGGCGACGGAAGGAGGAGCGATTGGTGAACAGCTCGGAATATGACTTCGCCTCGTGCTCATGCTCGTATGTGATGGTCTCTTGAATCTGAGTGAATTCTGCCTGTACCCAAGCATCGTTTTCGTCGCCATGCGCATGCAGCTTGGCCAATGTGCGCAATCCGTCTTCGGCGCGGTTGTGATCGATGAGCCAGCGAGGCGACTGGATTGATATTAGTTATTGGACTTGACCCGATGGAAATAGTCCTACCTCAGGAAGAAAGAGATCAAAAGACCCAAGAGCACAGCAGGGGCAATCTGCAAACCGAGAGGCAGTTGCCATTGTGCATCGTTAGTCGGTGCCAAGTTGGTGTAGGTCCCGTAGCCAACCCATCCAGCAACAAGCGCTCCAATACCCAGCATGAATTGCTGCAAGGCCGTAACTCGACCACGGATCTTGGGGTGACAGATCTCGGCTTGGTACAGGGGGATCATCATGGTAAGGAAACCGACCCTGATAACCAACTGATTAGTGCTTGTTTAAATGCCTAGGTATCTCCAGGGCTGTTTCGATCACATACCCTAACCCGGCGATGAATCGTCCACTGTAGAGGTATTCAATCGTTTTCGCAGCGGTTTGAAGGCAACCTCCGAGAGTGAAGATGAGACATCCCAACGATATGGTCCCTCGTCTACCCAGATAATCACCACTGGGACCCGCAAAGCCGGCACCGACGCATGCGCCAGCGGTGAATAGAGACACAATTACTCCTCTGCAAAGTTGTTAGATACTTTCATATTTCATGCGGGATGTGAGACTGACGTTTCGGTATCATTTGCTTCAAACTTGGCTTTGAAAGATTGAGAGACCAGCACCGCGGCGATGACACCCAGATCATCTGCGACTATATCAGATTCTGCGAGTCAAGAAAGACGATTGGAGACATACATCCATAAAGGAATGAACCAAGGGAGGCAAAGATGCCGACCAGGAACTATATCGAAACATGAGCTCAGTCTTCTTGATGGGGGTTGTCCCTCATACCTGGTACCATGATGGCGAGAGACGCATGGTTTTGAGAAGTGGATATTGAATCGAAGAATATGGGGAATGAAGATCTACCTCCACATGTCACCCATTCTCCGGGGGATCATCTCTACATATACGAAGGAGCCCAGGAACTCGCACAAATGTGGCAATTAACCATGACTTCGGAGAATCGAATACATCAGGAAGTCAAGGCTTGAATTGCGCTAACGTCGCGTGCAAACGGAGGGAAATGCGGAACATGCTTGACCAAATCGAATCCCGCATTTTTACCTTTAGTAGGAATGGTCCGAGATGACGAGTCCAAATATGCGGGGAGGAGTTAGCTCAGAAATGTGGCGCTCGATCTCGTCCGTGATTGACGGAAGATCTCCGGCGGTTCTTCCATTTCGGGAATATCGTGAGGCTAGACTACCGGTTTATTGGTTTATTGGGCTGTCTTCCCTCCAAAAGGCCAACAAAGGCTTCGTTTCGTTTCTCCGGTAGCCACTACAAGCGCTACTAGTGCTAAATACAGGGGTCATCATCCGATAGTCACGACTCATTCCCCCGCAGGAGTTTTGCCGCTTCAAGGCCTGAGACATCGGTTATTTCGATAAATTCCTTGTGACTATAATGCATTTCGGTTCTTTAACTGCCTTCCTCGAATCTTAAACAAGGACACATTTCCCTTAAGGTGAACGGAGTCGAATCGCATATTTAGCCAGCGCGACGCCTCCAACATAAACAGTAGAAAACAAAACCTCCCATTCGTATAAACCTTGGAACAATGACGACCTTTACCAAATTGGAAGATCATGAGACGCCTCTCATCTCCGTGCACCCGTCGAGGCGCATCTCTAAGATTAACCCGAACATTTACGCCGGCTTTACCGAGTAAGCCATCTCGGTCTTCTTCCAGTTTTGCGACATGAACTAACTTCTCCCACAGGCACATGGGTCGCTGTATCTATGGTGGCATCTATGACCCCGGAAACCCGCTGTCAGACGAGAAGGGATTCCGCACTGACGTCCTGGAGGCGTTGAAGGGGCTCAACATCCCTGTCGTTCGGTATCCCGGCGGCAATTTCTGTGCCACCTATCACTGGCTTGATGGCGTTGGCCCTAAGGATCAGCGACCGGCCAGGTATGGTTACTCCCCATAGATCCGTTTTGCTAGAGCTTTGCTGATGCTGAACTTGCGACAGACCAGAGCTTGCTTGGCTCGGAACTGAGACAAACCAATTCGGCACTGACGAGTTCATGCAATGGTGTGAGGCTGTAGGCACAGAGCCGTACCTTTGCTTCAACTTTGGTACCGGTACCCTTGATGAAGGTATATTCTCATTTAAACCTACTTTGACGAGCAGGCATGCTGATGTTGGAACGTCTTAGCCTTGGGCTGGGTTGAGTACTGCAATGGAACTGGCAATACTTACTATGCCAACCTTCGCCGAAAGAATGGCCGTGAGGAGCCCTACAATGTATGTTCAGATCAGAAGCACAACCTGTTGAGGTACAACCCATCTAACAATCTGTGCAGGTCAAGTACTGGGCCCTCGGAAACGAGTGTTGGGGTCCCTGGCAGGTGGAGCAGATGACCAAAGAGGCATACGCTCACAAGGCGATTCAATGGGCCAAAGGTAATACCTCATCCCAATACCAGCAGAAATGTCGCGCTAATAGGCTTTCCTTACAGCTCTCAAGCTCCTTGATCCCACCCTTGTCTTGATCCTCTGCGGCCAAGACGGCACTGCTTCATGGGATTACTACACACTAAACAAGTGTCTTGTCCCCGCTCATTCGGCATTGTCAACCAGCTCAGTCCCTCTGATTGACATGCACAGCATCCACCTGTACACGTCCTCATCATCCCACCTGCACAACGTGACAGCCCCACTGGCCGCCGAGCGCGCAATTGAGATCACATCCTCTTTGATCGATCTCGCCAGAGTTGAGAACCAAGTTCCTCCTGAGCAACTCCGACCGACAATCTGCTTCGACGAGTGGAACGTCTGGGATCCCATCCGCGCAGAGGGAAGCAAGGGCGCCGAAGAGAACTACACGCTCTCTGATGCTCTCGCCGTCGCCTCCTGGTTGAACGTCTTTGTCCGAAAGAGCAAGGACGTCGGCATGGCTTGTATTGCGCAGACCGTGAACGTCATCTCGCCCTTGATGACCACCCCAGAGGGAATTACCAAGCAGACCACCTGGTGGCCTCTTTGGCTGTTCTCGCGCTACATGCGCGGTTGGACTGTTGCCAGTCATGTTTCCTGTGGAACGTACGATGGTGAGACCACTCCTAAGTGGATCCGAAGTGCCAAGGATACACCTTGGTTGGATGTCAGTGCCGCTCTGGGAGATGATGGGTTTGTCAATCTTGCTGTGGTGAACATTCATGACTCTCAGGACTTCGACAGTCGCGTTGAGGGAGCTCAGGGAGAGGTGACTGTGTTCACAGTCACAGCGGACGATTTGTCCGCGTCAAATATGAACGGCAAGGAAGAAGTGGCGATCAAGGAGTCGACCTGGGATGGAAGTGGGTCGTATGTGTTCCCCCGACACTCGCTTACTCTACTGAGATGGAAGGCTGAGTGAGTTGGCTCACGCGAAATGGTATCATGAGGACAGCAATAGACTTTCACGCAATAGATATTCAATAGGTTCAATTTATTCTTGTGATTTGCGCCGGGATAGGTCTAAAATATATCTCTTAGCTCTAACCGTAGTTCACATCATGAACAGCTCCCTCCTCATTAACATGGATATTGAGTCTATTTCAGTGCGGATACTATCAGCAACGCGGTCGTTGGGTTTATGGCACTTTGCAATGAGGCTTTACCTGTTCGGATTATGATCCATGGTCTTCATGTCACCTGGCTTCAATACCCGGTGAGATTCAGGCAGATCCTTCTTTGCAAAAGACTAGCGAACAGTTAGAATATCATGGTTGATTTCGGCGATTTCTCAAAGGTGACGTACTGTCTCATTACTAGTATCGCCAATGGTCTTTCCCATCAGCTTGTTGACCCACTCAGACTTGTCACCAAATGAGGAGTTGATTCCTGGAACGACGAGCGGCATAATGGCTGGTTTGAAGTAGTCAATTTATTCAAATGAAGATACGAGTAGGAGAAACGGATGAGAAGTCAGGCTTGTCGTGGATATAACCTGTCCCCCATCGATGACGTAGTATCCCGATTGGGACTAGCGTCTTATCATCCGTGCGCCAGCAAGTTATCACTTTCCTTACTGGTCTTAAGATAATGAGGAGGAATTTCAAGTTTCGATAAAATATGTCTCTATTCGATCTTACAAGGTTCCTCGTTGAGGATGGCACACTAAAACCCCGGAAGCCTAAACCCGCTAGTATGGCTAAACGCCGGAAGCAATAGTGCCGCCGACGCAGAGCCATCCAGCCACTCATGACCTTGAGACATTGATGTGAACTGATTTTTGGCTTTCTTTGATGCAGTCAACTGCTTAAGATATTTCTTCAAACTGGTCGCGGGGTAACTGGCGAATTGTAGCAAATAATTGAGCAATTTCCGGACGTTTACATTTTAGCTCTGCGAGATTGATCTTATGATTCTCCAACCCATGCCGTTGTTGGCAAAAAGATAAGTTATATATGGTTGTCGTTAAAATAAACAAGCCCTGTGACCCCTATTCAACATGTACGCTCTCGCCTTTCTGGGTCTCCCCAACAGGGCCTAGCTCATCAGCCAGGCCTAGCTCATTTCCCACTCGCTTGAAATGCCTGGGCGCCACGTGTAGTGCATATAGTTCATCAATTTTCTCGAGCGGGATTCCCTAGTATAGCGATTTAGCAAACGCACGCAATGATCACGTAGGAAAGTCATACCTTTGTTTCCGGGTATAAGAACCACCCCCCAATTGCAGCAACAAGTCCCGTCCCTAGAAAGATGAACCCGACTTTACCACCCAAGTTTCCTGCATCCGGATTGATCTGTTAATCGTTTAGCCAATATACCTAAATCAGTTCATGTCACTGCTAACCATGTAAGGGATGGTAAATTGCATGACTAGGCCCCAGACCGCGTTGGAAATAGTGACAAGTCCCTGGGTTGCGCCACGAAGACGCATGGTAGCAATTTCCGACGCTAGAACAAACCCTGTCGCCCCGATAGAAAGCTGAAAAATGATCGACCACAAGTAGATAAAAACTATAATTCCCCAACTGGCTTTCGTTTGGTCTGGGACGCATCCGAGAATCCCTATGACCAAGAGAATAAAGCACAGTGCAAATTGTGGCCAAACGATCAGGGTCCGTCGTCCCAGAATCTCCGTCAGGGGAAGGCCGCCATACAGGACAAAAGCATGACGACGTAGAGAACCACAGAGGCATCAAAATAAGCTTTTACGTGGATCAATTCAAGGAAATAGGTCGCGTAGCCGATGACGAAGGTAGCTCCAACCATTTGCTGACCGCTAGCAGCAAAGATAGCAGTGAAGGTTCGTTTGCGGTTTTTACTTTTGAAGCACTCGACCTCTGCTGACATGTCAACCCCCTAAAAACTTGTAGTTAGGCGTGTCTGCTGTTTCTTGAATTTCGGCTGCAAGGCGGATTTCTTCTTCCATTCTCCGGATTTCGATGTCGTAGAAATTGTCATCGTTGAAGCCGTAGACCTTTCTTAATTCCTTCTTTGCCTGAGCTGATTTTCCGTACCGGACTAGCCAGTATGGCGACTCAGGGAAGAAAAACCATCCTGTAGTGAGAATAACTACAAAAAATGTTAATAATAGTCGGGGTATGACCTGTTTTGTACGCACAGGGGAAGATGTACATGGCCACCACCGGGAGCCACCATTGCCTGTCATGCTGGGTTAATTGAATCTCAGGGCCCAATGTAAGTGCAAGCTTACCATTTTCCATCAATATGACTTGCTCCCTTTGAGACAACAACACTGTATAGAGATTCAGTAACTGTATCCACACACCCATGGTAAAGGTAATACTGACATCGCAAACTGACCAAACACAATGCTCGTATTGAAGAAGCAGAGGAAGAAACCCCGTAGCTCTGGTCGACATGTCTCCCCAATCCACAGAGGTGATATAGTAAACATGATACCAATAGCAATTCCTAGGGTAATGTCAGACTGCGAAAGACCCGTGAAGAGCTTCGCTCACCATTGACTCCTCTGCCGGCAAGGTGCGTTCGCCAATCTGTGGCCAACTGTTGCAGGAGGACACCGGCGACAGATATCATCGTCGCCACCATAATCCCCGGCTTGCGGCCAAACTTCTCCAGTGAAGGAACAACAATAAAGGTGGCTACGATTTCACATGCTGGGGCAATCGAGCTCCAAGCCGAGATGTAATACGCTGGAATGAGGTAGTTCCCCGTCGGCTCAAGGATACCAAATTGCTTTCGAAATGCAGGCAATGATACCAATTGACTCCCCGCGACAATGTCGAACCCCTGCATCATAACACCGCTGGATATCCACAGTGCTAAAATGGTAAGTGCATGTATGGTTCCTGGGGGACTCGGACTTACCCCATAGAGCGAACCGCCACTGCGAGCGAAGCATTCGCCATCTCTTATCAGGGTTGATAACAGTATAATCAATTCTGGCGAGAAGTCAGTAGCTGTAACCTGCTGGGGATGTGGACTGTGTACTCGTCGGTCATCGTGATAGATCTTCGCCAATGGAGTGGTATACAATACCCACATTTCCGGTGGGTGGAGTGTCCAGTTATATATGCAGCCCCAACGCATTGTCTATTACCCCGTGGGGAAACGGTGGAGTCTGGGGAATTAAAGTTCAGGACTCTCGCGGAGTCCCAAGGCTACTCCGCGATACTCAGTACACGCCAAGATCGGCATCTGCGGGACTTGGCATTGACAATCCAGTATAAATTGTGTTGAAGTTTAACAGTGATGTCGTTCTGTGATGAAGCCAAAAACATGGATTCCCATCGCATCCGGCCCTCTCTGCACTTCACTGCAAACTGCTGGATCAACGATCCTTGTGCTCCTGGCTACGATCCGGCGACAGGCTTATATCATGTTTTCTATCAGTGTAAGCGTTTTTGGTGCTGCGACCTTGCCCAGGTGGGAGAAGATTTCGCTTACATAACTTACACCAAACAGGCAATCCACATGGTACTGAATGGGGCTCGATGTCTTGGGGTCATCTCATCAGCGAAGATCTCATACACTGGACAGCCTCTACCAAACCTGCTCTGACTCCCGATCAATCTTATGATCGTGATGGAGTCTTTACAGGCTGCATGGCACCACCCGAAAACTCCGAGCCAGGTTCTCTGAAGGTTGTCTACTCATCAGTGCGCCATCTACCATTTCACTGGAGCACACCTCCGTATCCCCGCGACGCTGCTGGCTTAGCAATCGCCGAATCCAGGGATAATGGGAAGACATGGACAAAATGCTCAGAAAATCCCATCTTAGCTGGCGAGCCCCAGGGGATTCAGGTGACTGGGTTTCGGGACCCCTTCTTAGCAGAGTGGCATGCTTTGAATGATTTCCTTGGGCTGAATTCCATGTACGGGCTTGTTTCAGGTGGAATTGAAGGCCACGGACCGACAGCGTTTCTATATTCCGTGCCGCATAGGAACGTATCCGAATGGCACTATCTGTCTGCCTTGGTCAATATGCCTGCTCGGTTCCAGCCCTCGCAGAAATGGTCTGGGAATTTCGGCGTCAACTGGGAATGCGTGAATTTCCTGACCATCGAAGCCGGCAGCAAAAGCCGCGTGTGTCTCATCTTAGGGGCGGAGGGAGACATAGAACGTGAACATATCCGAAATTCTAAATGTGGTGCGCATATTCCTCCAAGGACTGTCCGTTCTCTACTGTGGATGTTTGGTGACTTGAGGGTTGAAAACAACGTGCCTCGTGTTGAGTACACCCATGGCGGGTATTTGGACTGCGGATCATTATATGCAGCCAATTCATTTCTCGATCCGGTGTCTAAGAGACATATAATGCACGCATGGATTCCCGAAGAGGACATACCAGCGAGTTATGCCAGAGACAAAGGATGGAATGGCGCATTGGCTATTCCGCGCGAGCTCTTTCTCCTTTCTATCTCAAATGTTACTCGAGCTCTTTACACTCCTCTGTCAGAGATATCGTCTGTTGAACAAGTTCCAAACCGAGATGGTTCAGCCACTATCTACACTCTCGGGATACGACCTATCGAAGAGATAGTTCGACTCCGCAAACGCCATCGCCATTCTTGCCAACGAAAATATATCTCACTCCCACCAACAGCGGGAGCATCACACGCACTGTGCTCAACATCCTCTACTACGTGGGAGCTCGAGGCAGAAATCACTATCAACCCGAGTTGCTGCTCTGAAGTCGGTTTCCATATCCGCCACAATACCGATATGTCTATATGCACTACGATCAAGTTCTCTCCTCAGGAAGAGACCATCAGCGTCCACAAGGGAAGATCGACGTCTGGTCCAAACATACGCAATTGCCCCGAACAAGGCCCGTTTACCCTCTTCTACAGGACCGATTACCTGGGGGTCGAACCCAAGGACAAATTGGAGAGCTTGCGGATTCACATAATCTCCGACGCAGATACCTTGGAGGTCTTTGCAAATAATTGGTTTGCCTTGGCTACGATGGTCTACTCTCCGGATATTGGTGCTGCTGGCATATCAGCATTTGCCAAGGGGGAACAGGGGAGTGCTGTTATTGAGGAGGTAAATATTTGGGAGGGGTTGTCGTCTGCTCGGAGATCATGAGTGTATATATGCACGTAAGTTCGGAGGTCTTGCAGAATGTTAAAAGAGTTATAAGTACTTCCACTCAAGATTGCTTTTTCTTCTTCATTCTTCTTCTTCTTTCATACAAGGCCAGACTCTAAAAGGCGCCCTTCTAGTACGCCCTGTAGCAGCATCAAGGATGGACTTCTCTGTAGTATTGTCTGTTCCGCGCGTCCAGATGCTTGGATACATTGATAGAACAGAGGCGAACAGAGCCCACTTAAACAGGGGGTATTTGCTGCGGTCATGGCGGCCACGGAAGTAATAAAAAGACTATCTCTCAATATTAGTAAAGATATATCGACCGATTTCACAATAGAGATTATGAACCCACCTAACAAATAATGTCCACCTGTTCACCCAGCAGTCGCGGAATGCGGCAACAATACTTGGTATGAGCATCGCGTAAGAATCAAAGAATCTCTGGCAATGATCCACAAGGATGTTTGTAGTGGCTCCATCTTGCATCGCCTGGTAAACAGCCGGCCAATATATAGAAAGCTTGCAGCAGTAGTATTGGACCCGCAGGAAGTTCGACAGAGGACAGGATGGTATATTGACCAGTGCTAACGGCTGTGACACATCGCCCTTGACGAAAGAGTTTGTTTCGGGCAGATAACGATACCACTCCTCAAGCTGGTGTTCTAGCTCCAGTGCGATACCCGGTGCATAGACGTATTTTCCGCCGGACGTCACCTGGACAGCAGTGTTGCATCTATGTAGCATACGTCTCATAGCAATCTCAGCAAGGAAATATGATTGCATAATTTGCACGCTTGTGTGGGTGGAGTGTGCACTACCCGGGGAGGGAGGCGAGGGAACTGCTCTTAGTGTACTCTCCGGCATAAAGTGCCATGTCTGGTGGCATAGCGGCAGTGGAACATGTTCATCCAGACACCAGATACCGCTCTTGGCAACATCCAATTGGCCGCCGATCTCACTGCAACGAAAGTTAGTGATAAAGCCCACTTGGAAATGTTGCACTGCCTACTCCTCGAGTAATAGCACACCCCAGTACGCTAGCCGAGTTTGCTCCACGGTATTTGGATCATCGCCTTCTAGCCCACTAGAATATTCATATTAGCCTTGCGTCAAATTTCTCGGAGAAGGAATGAATCACCTCTTGATGATGTTCTGGATCTTGGACGATGCAATTAAGCAATAGTCATGGGCTTGACAAGGCTTCAACAAACAGCAATAATACAAACCAATCAACATTAAGCATTGGACGCTGCGGATACTGCACTCGGCGATGATGGTTGGCAGCGAGGCGAGCGCTGTTTCAAAGTATGGGGTATCTAAGATTGCCTCATCTTGCTCTACTATATGGCCGATTGCGGCCACAAGAAGGGAAAGACAAGATTCCGAAGAAGGACGTAGGGGTCCACAGAGTACCCGGAAGTACTCCTGCGAAAATCCCGAGGGAAGAATGGGATACCAGGTGTGGACGCGAGCAGAGAATGCAGCCAATGCGCTAATGTGGTAATTAGTTGATGTTGGTGCACACATTGGGTCAACGCACCCCCACTATATGCTGATGATGAACAACAAGCACCCGTGCACTTGCGTTCGCCAGGCCCTCGGGCCCGGCAATTCGTTCCTTTCGGGTTAGGACCTGGGCAAAATCTGCATCCAGTCCGAGCGTAAGCATAACAGACGGATTACCAAGTAGCTTAGAAGGTAAATCAAACGGTGAATATTCTTCATTGGTGAACGCATCGTATTCAGTTCGCGGACCTGCAGCACCAACATCCGGGGAAACGGGTTGCGCTGGAAGCATTAGGCTGATTAGTTGATCAAGTCGTTTATTCACGCCATTCAATTCTTCTTCTACCCTGTCCAACATGTCACATGTTAGTACTATCTCTTTGGGCGCGGAGAAACCTGTGAGATACCGACTGGGGGGTTCCACTGGCGCTTCTTGGTAGAGACAATCAAGTCCGTGGGTTTGACAATAACGACAGGACGGCTTCTGCGAGTCGCACTTGGTTCTCCGCGCTCGACAGGCATCGCATGCCAGGGTCGTGCGTTTTCGCTTATGCGGGCGCTGGTCCTCCATCGTATGATTCTGGAAGTTGAAGTTGGGAAGATATTATATCGCGGACGAAGACGGGGCCTCCGCCCTAGCAATCCATCGACCCCGCACTTGTTATCGCGGAGAGTCGGTGCACCTCCGCGAGACCTAAATACCCATGGATTCAGTTTATTTCTCGCGAGAGAACAGTTAACTCCGCATAACTCGACTGCGGTCATCGTCATGTGGGGAGGAAGAGACGCAAGATGTGGCTATTAAAGGGCCATGAAGACTCGCCTTCGATAACTCCAATTGCAAACAAATTCACCCAACTAGCTTCTCCGATCATACCTTGAAGATGCCCATTGGAAACGACCTGTTGGCCAGCATGGCAAAGAGAAAGGTGGCTCGCAGTGCTCGCGTGGCCAGTTGGGACCAGAAGGGTCTCAACGAGGATGCTTTTGTTGTCCTGCCGGGCCAGTCAATTGTGCTGGCCGACCTGGAAGGCCCTGGTGCCATCACACATTTGTGGTTTGTTCAAACCTGCCGCAAGATCATAGGTCCAGGCCTGATTCCCTACTCCAAGTCCGGGGTTGCGATGATGGAAATCCACAATGCGCTCGGACTCAACTACGAAGTCAACGACCCAGACTACTATCGCAAGGTACTCATCAAGATGTACTGGGACGACTCGGAGACCCCAAACGTTATTGCACCGATCGGAGACTTCTTCTGCCTTGGCCATTCCATGGCTGCCAACTTCCAGTCCCTCCCATTCACGGTCTCCGTTAAGCCATCCGAGGAGAAGAAATTCGGCGGAGCTGCCGCGTTCAACTGCTACCTCACCATGCCTTTCAACAAACGGGCACGCATCGAAATTGAGAATCAGAACGATGAGGCCTATTTCCAGTACTTCTATGTCGACTACGAACTCTATCCGGAGCCCCTGCCCGCGGATACGCTGTACTTCCACGCGCACTGGCGCCGCATGAACCCAACCAACGGCTGGGCCCCATCTCGTATTCAGACAAACAGCCTCGAAACGCAAGTGCCCAACCTAGACGGAAAGGACAATTACGTCATTTTGGAGACCGAAGGCGCTGGCCAATTCATCGGCTGCAACCAATCCGTGGCCCATTTCCAAGGCACCTGGTGGGGTGAGGGTGACGATATGATCTTCATCGACGACGACACCTGGCCACCTAGCATGCACGGCACAGGTGGTGAAGACTACTTCACTCAGGGATGGGGTATGCAGAAGAACGCGTACCCATTCTGCGGCACCATCATCCACGAGGAAGATGTCCCGAATTACCAGGTCAGCTACCGCTGGCACCTCGCTGACCCAGTGCGCTTCAACAAGAAGATCAAGGTAACCATGGAGTCTGGCCATGCCAACCACCTCCGCGACGACTGGAGCACTACCGCCTATTGGTACCAGACACTTCCTGGTCCCAAGCTCGATATTCTGCCGGTCGAGAAGCGCATTCCGCGCAAGCCTCAGTTCCCGCCTGGCGATGATGTGCCTGAGCCGGATGTGAGCAGCATGAGTTCCAACAAACAGGCCATGGTCAAGCAGCGCGACGAGCGGATGGAGGCGTTTGTCAAGGACCGGGACGAGTGGCTGGCGCGTCGCGCACAAGATTCTCAGGATAGGGCGCGAAGCAACGTGGAGATCTGCAAGGATATCCGACAGCGTTTTCTGCAGACTTTGGGCCAGCAACTGTACTGAAAACCGTGTCTGCACTGCAATTTCATATCTGGTTCCAATCACTGTTTTGCTGTTATATATTAGATGGCATCCCAAATAGCTGGCCACGGCGAGGCATACCACGCCAAAGATTATGCCAGTGATAGTGGCATCAATGGGATTCGTTTTGCGAAATCTCTATCTAGGGAGGTGAGGTCTTGATAAGTTAGGCTTGAAATTGAACTGCGATCTCGGCCAGTTTTCTATGCTGGTCCTAGTCAACATCATATTGCGATACTCAAGGTCCATCTTGCGCAATACTGGCGCAATGCCTTGTAGTCCTCGTACTATTGCTCACTTGATGCGACCGTAGAAATAGCGCTTGCTCAAATTAGAAGGGAAATCTAAGTAAAACATACGATCCGGGCCAGAAGGCTATGGGTATCGACTTGCGTGCTAAGACGCAATCTCTTAGCATCTTGCGTCATACGTTGATGCCAAATCATCCCGGAGAAACTCCAATCCTGAAGTATTAAAAGAGGATGGATCTACCGCGAGGTGGAAAGTAGAATAGTATCTGACAATACAATTCAGAACGTCAAACGGTGAAAAAGAAGCCACTATGCCGGAATTCATCAGCGTCACCTTCCCGAACGCATCTACCGAGATCAATCCAATCCCCAACGCCTCGATTGATCCAGAGTACCTCGTTCGCTACGCTCGCAACCTCGATGATTATGGTTACAACTACACGCTGGTGCCATATGACTCCTCATCATATGATCCATTCACCATTGGAGCCACCATTCTCTCTGTGACTAAGAACATCAAGGTCATCATTGCCCTGCGACCCAACACGTTGTACCCCACAGTTGCAGCAAAGGCACTAGCTACATTGGACCAACTGAGCTCCGGTCGCGTCGTTGTTCACTTTATCGCAGGCGGAAGCGATGCAGAACAGGCCAAAGAAGGAGACTTCCTGAGCAAGGATGAACGTTACGCGCGCCTTGAGGATTATATCAAGATTCTCCGCCGTGCATGGAAATCCGACGAGTTATTTGACTGGGACAGCAAATACTACCAGTTCAAACAGTTCAGCAACCGCGTTCGGCCAACCAACGGCACAATCCCGGTCTCAGTCGGCGGGTCATCAGATGAAGCATACCGCATTGGAGGTTCCCTGGCTGATATCTTTGGACTCTGGGGTGAACCTTTGAAAGAAACCAAGGATCAAATTGATCGCATTTATGCTGAGGCAGCAAAGGCCGGTCGCCCGGACTCGGACAGACCTCGCATCTGGGTGACCTTCCGTCCTATCATTGCAGAGACCGAAGATCTCGCCTGGGCCAAAGCACATAAGACTCTCGATGCACTGACCACCAACCGAGCGAAGGGGCAAGGCAAGGTCCCCGCTGATGCGCCACCTCCACAGAACGCAGGTTCCCAGCGCCTTCTTGATATTGCCGCCCGTGGGGAGGTCCAGGACCGAGCTCTTTGGTATCCGACTGTTACGGCAACTAATGCTCGTGGCGCATCCACTGCCCTGGTTGGATCGCCCAAGACTATTGTCGAGTCCCTCCTTGACTACATTGATCTTGGCGCGGACCTCATCTCTATCCGGGGTTATGATAATCTCAACGACGCCATTGATTATGGACGGTTCGTGCTCCCCAAAGTTCGTCAATCGTTACAAGAACGGGAGAATGGCACGCGGAATTAAATAACAACATGAGAACTGGTCTTAGTTTGTATCATGCATGTCCTACATATATATTTGTTTTTATGATGTCGAGTGGCTACTCAATGAATCGATTCCAGTGGCGAGGTTTCATTTCAGTTCGAGCACCGACCCACATCTAGGCCAACCTGCAAAACGATAAATTCCTATAGCAAAGGGTGCCATTGCAAACTAAGTACCACTTGCTGTTTCTAGACGGGACAACAGGGTCATCTGATGGTTTCAAGTAGCTGCGTTCTCCACAGCTCGCCACGTATCAGGGGCCACACCCATTGCACTCGGCGTTTTGTAGGATATCCCATTGGTGGCTGGTACCCTATCTGCTCAAAGGTGGGAGATAGCGCGTTGGGCGCTCCCAGACGCAATGACCTTCCTCATTTCCCACTCGGCGATCGAGGACCCAGCCCCTGGCTATGCCGTTACTGATCGTGTATGTACAATCACTGGCTCCCACGGGTATAGGCATTTTGGTGTTTTTGATCCCAATTCTCATCCTAGAATGAATCGGTAGTAAAAGGTGAGAATCTTCCAGGTGCAGTCTGCTTGAATGCACACTCAGGGATACATAGGGGGAAAAGAATAAGCAATATGTGTAGTATTACGAAGCCGAAGCTTTAGAAATGGAAAAAGAATGGCAGGATTACAAGTCTTCGGACAAATAGTAAAAATCGGCTAGCTCAGGTGAGGCATTCATGCCAATTATGCTTTCATACAGTTTGTGACGGACCTTTGCTACATATGTATTTGCTAGATTTTTCCAACTTTTATCCCTTTCGTTTCTTTTATTCCGAAGCTATATAAACGAGAGTTTCATGGCAGTTAGATAGACATTCAGTATAATAACCATATATTAGATTGATTCTTTTAACCACCACACTCTCCTGGGTTTATAGTGGATACGGACCCCATCAGCATGGCATGAGAGAATCATCGGGCTCTTCTCAGGAGCTCGGTCGATCTATAGAAACTGCAGATCATGGTTTCATCGATGAAGAAAGCCACCAGACGGCCAGGGTGAAGCTGGATAGTATGTAGTTACCACCTGGGCGCATGAAGCAAACAAGATCAGGTATAAAAGCCTTCACCATCAGCCTTCATCTCTCTCTTTCTCTCTCTCTTTCTTTCTTCTCCCGTACCTCTTGTCTCACATTACTTTGACTCTTTGATCAAAAGTGAGATCTTACATTGGACCAGTAACACCTATTCCTTTATCTCCTCTCATCTTGTCCTTTCTTACCTGCACCGATGCAAGGCAAGACTCGGCCCGAACCGAGCCGACTTGCCGGCCCTGCGCCCTCGGCCCCACCTGCCGCTCCGATCGCCTGGCTGAGCAAGATCCGATCTACAACGGATCCGAATCATACGATTATGACGAACAATACTATCATATCTCAGTCGCCTGTTGGCGCCAACTGCCAGGAACACAAACCTGGCCCCGCTCCATCTGGTCTCAGAGACCTTGCAGGTGACGAAGACTTCTACAACCCCGCTCACCGTGGTTCTCAATCCGGAATTAGTGAACTGGAGCAGGGTGTCACAGACTACGAGAAGTTCATGCGCTCGTTTGACCTTGATCCCCATCCTCCGTACGATACTATCATTTCAGCCCAGGCGGAATACGAGAAACTCCTCCGACTTGAACATCACCGAACTCGTGCTGTCACCGAACGCCTTAGGGCCGCTGAAGTCGCGCACTCCGACGAGTTAATGCAAATGAAGTACAGCGAGCTTGAGAGGTACAATGAGCTAAAGGAGCGACATGACCGCGCCGTTGAAGAGGCAAAGGATTACGCCTACGCACTGCGCCGTCTGCGACTTGACGAACCGACTCCCGCGGGACCCGAGGTACTTACTTCCGATGAAACCGCAAATCGAACAAAATTCTATCAATCTGCCTTCACTGCTGAGAGCGTTGAAGGGGACACCAAGCCCCGAATCAGCAAGTCCACCTACCTCCCCGACCCGGAAAGACTCGACGATGGAGTCAACCCCACCTTTGAGAGCTGGCTCGTTGATATGCGCGGCAAGCTTATGCTCAACGCAGACCATTACCCCACTGAACTGCACAAAATTACCTACGTGGCTTGTCGAACCACTGGAAAGGCCCACATGCACTTGAACGCCCGTCTGAGCCAGGATGCCGTTCTTCCGTACACTGGAGCCGAGGACATGTTCGAGGACCTCAAGGAGATGTTCAACGACGAATCTACGGAGTACAGGCTAGAGGCCATGAAAACTACAGATGACTTCTACCCCTACCTATGCAAGTTTTTGCAGAGCGCCGGTGCCCAGGGAAGACCTTATGAGTCCTTGAAGTTCGAGCTGGGTATCCACCTGACTGAAAGACTCATGACAGCGGTCGAGCCTGAATTTCATGACGAGTTCGTCACGCTTGGAGAGTTTGCTATGTTCTGTGCGGAGGAAGCTAATCGTCTGGATCTGGAGCGTGAACAAGGATTTAGCTGGTGATAGCTACGTGCCGATACTTCAATACATTGATATGGCCCCTTGCTCTACGCTCTGTGGTCTCTTCGGTTGGTAAACAGTAATAATATTTAAACTCGACTGCGGATAGATATCCTGCTGGTAATTTCATCTTGCTCAGAAGGGGCGGGATAGAATAAGAAATATGATACAGCGCTAAAGTGGAAGTGAATAAAAACTAGTCTCTCCCATTCGTATGGTTCTATAGAGAAGAACATTAGCAATCTTCTATACAATCTTCATATCCCGGTCAAATCCCTCAAAAAGAAAAGTCCACTTCAAACATCCTCGATATCGAAGCGAATATCCAGTTTGTGAAAGTCTAAACCACTCTGAAAAGTAACAATTCGTGCAATGCGTTTAACACCCTGGCCAAACGCACCTAGAATGAGGGATCCGACAACCTTACCAATAGGCGTACCCATAATAGCGCGGAACTCCGGTGAAGGATAGTCCCAAGTCTGGAGCTCTGCAGATTGATACTTAGCCCCCTCACGGGATGGGTAGATCTGTTCCTCAATGAATGGTTCAGTCGAGGGTTCCAGTATATTGTTCATAAAAATATACTTCAGACCATTCAACGGATAGTGCATTTCATAGGCCATCTTGGCAAGCTCAGACACGTAGGGATCATTCGTGACGTGTGATCTTCTAATAGAATAGAAGAAAAGCACACCTGGTCCAATCGTCCCAACAAACGCTGTGACTCCATTGTGTGTCTTGATGATTGAATGCCGTACACACGGGGACTCTGTGGGATCCAGATCATTTGGAATTAGCTCTCCGACTGGCAGGCCGAGACCAACGATAGAGGAAATCAGTTCCGGTTTTAACCATTGTCTTTCATGCTCGATATTCCAGTCCATAGGCTGTGGCAGAGACCATGAGTTGAGTGTAGTAATCCGAACTGGGCAATCGGCTTCGTTGGCGTTTTCCATCCATCGGATTAGCTTATTCCCATAGGGCTCAAACTGGGGATACTTGAAAGCCATTGCGGGCAGAGTTGGTACGACACTCTCAATAGACAACAGCGTACCTCTGGCAGAGCTATATACTCAAGGCTCGCACATATAACGAAAGCAACAAAGGGGACTTAATAATGGCATTGTACAGCACACATTGGGTGGGACGAATTGACAAAGACTCAACGACTCAAAGACTTATCAAATCAAAGAACACGGGAGTGTCATGCGTGGCCCCGGGGATTGCCTTGGCTTTGTCATGGACAAAGCAGAGACAGCACTATGTACCCATAAGCTTCTGCCTCTCTCCCTTTGATCCAATGAATGGTAACTTGACGGCCTCGTTTCCATTTCTCAAGGATTTCCGACTGGGCCACGCGTGCGTAGTGTTTCCTCTGGCATTTACCATAGTGATCTGATAAACTAACTGGTACCGAAAAGGGATCCCAGCCCCAGTCATCGTGTAGATAGTCTGCCATAAAGCCTTCCATCGCAGACTCGATAGATAGCTCATCTGAATAGAAAGTATGCAGATGATCACAAGCGGTCGAAGAGAAACCAATATTGCCATCAAAAGACGCCTGGGCACTGTTCAAAGGTTGAATGACATGATCCCTTCCTCGGACTATCTGAAGGATCTCGGTAGTCGGAGTATCGTTCTCTTCTGAGTTAGACGACTCGATTCTTCTCTTTTTCACGGTTGGAGGCAAGGCTAGTGGTGGGGCAGCTTCTTGGACATGACGCAGGTTCTTCTTCCCGGGAAGATGCTTCGCAAGGTGGGAAACCTCAAAAAGACAAAAGTGTCTGGATAAATTCCATGTTGACCTGCGTCACTTGCAAGATATCGAAGACGGGTTGAAGTGAGAGGAACTGCTGCTCTAGCCATTTAATACGCGCCCCGCATTTTACTATGAAGTCTCATGGTATGGACAAATGCTTGTTACCACCGTGGACATCGACACATCACACCTCTGCTCGGGCGCAATTACCATAGGCAGGTATGCCCCCATCGCATTTGACGCGCTTCAGCCGACATCGTCGACATGCCGATCGCACATTCCTGGGCGGGGGAGTGGCTTCTTCTACCATTGTGCCTTAGAAAAAAGTAACATGAAGAGGACTGTCCGGAGCCACCCCTTATTTGATTAATCAGCGCTGAATGAACTTTATGATACTCGCTCAAAGTGTTACGAAAGGCGCAAATTGAGGTGTGGCCTGGGGAAAATCAAAGGCTTAGCGTAACCGGGGTACAGCAACCGGCCCCCGGGGCCCCGGGGCGAATGCCGGATGACTAAATTCGACATTTTCTACACCTGGGAAAGCCTGGAGGTCACGAGGTCTGTTGATGGGATTCATTGTAAGCTATCCTGCTGTTATGCCGATTCAGGTTTGGCAATCATGCGCTCTCGGCATTACGAATCATCTGGAGCGAGAAGAGATGCGCGGGCTTTTGTACAGCTTTATGAATTTGATAGACACTAAAATCCCCCGAAAGAGCGTGGATTGCCTCTTATCCAGAAACTCCTTCATTTCCGAAGCTTCTTGATCGTAGGACCCATCTCTTCACCGGCCTCAAGACACTCCAATGTCTTTTGATCGATCTCATACCGCTCTTGACAGAGACGCACACAATCCTCGATGTGGGTAACAGGAATAGAGACAACGCCATCCTGATCACCGAGGATATAATCACCAGGCTCAATAGTAACCTTCTCATCAACCTCAACGTTCTCATATTGGACAGGGACATTGAGCTCCGACGAGCGTGTAAAAGTGTTCGACCCCAGGATGCTGATTCCCCGAGCAAAAAGACCCATATTCAGTTCCTGGTGCTCAGAAATATCACGGAAGCGACCGTCAATCACAACACCAGCAGCTCCGAGTTTCTTTGCCCGTGTGCTCATCAAGCCTCCCCAGCATGCGCTGATCAGACCCTTCGGCTGAGAGACAAACACCACACTGCCCTTTGGGATGGCATCGGCAAAATGACAAGGTGGTGTTGGTGAGGTCTTGTCTGCAGCAGGTACCATGCGAACTGTGTATGCCGGACCAAAGATCTTGGCTACTGCGCCGTTTGACCCTGGGCTGTACATTTTGAGGCCGGAAAGGTATCCCCCATGACGGAGCCCTAGACCGACCAGGGCATCTCCGATCTGCAGTTTTCGTTTGTTAGTAAAGAAACTCCGTGAAGATACGCGTTATATATAAGATGAACTGACATCGCACGACGCGAACTTGCCCAAGGCTTGGATAGCTTTTGCACTTGCGGCCATGTTGTATTATGACACAATAAAATGAAAACAAAGTCGCAATACTTGAAAGTTCGAAGTAAAGGACTTCCCGTATGTTACAGCCCCAATCGAAAGTGCCGTAAATCGCAACGGGTTAATCCAAAGTGCCGATGAGGTTGATGCGCGGAGTAACCCGGACCCACCCGGAGCGCTCCAGCGAATTCTCCGCCTATGGCGGTTCGAAATGAAGTCGGAGGCCAAAAATGTATCTTATAAGCAGATATCTTTCGAGTGTTATGGCTTCGCTGTCAGGTCTCCTTAATCATTCACGCGATCGTGTTGAGCGAAGGCAATATGATGCGAAACTCCCGGGTCGCGCAAGCATCTAGATCGCGAATTCTCAATTCGACCTCGAGGCGATTCAACCATGGCCATGAAATCCTTGGTGTCAATTACCACAAGCAAATCGCAAATCTTGAGGTTTTGAAACAGCAGTCTCAGCGACCGTTGACTTTGACCGAGAAACTCCTCTATAGTCATATCGTCACCGGTGACAAGGAGTGGAACCTACAGAAGATTGAGCGCGGGAAAACAATTTTGGGTCTACAACCTGACAGAGTTGCCTGCCATGATGCTACCGCGACAATGGCTCTCTTGCAATTTATCAGTGCAGGTCTCCCTCGAGTCATGATCCCGACGACAGTGCACAGTGACCATTTGATCATTTCGGAAAAGGGTGCCGCTGAAGACCTGCAGCGTGCCACATCTGAGCATGCGGAGGTGTATGACTTCTTGAGTAGTGCTTGTAAGAAATATGGTATCGGGTTTTGGAAACCTGGGTCCGGAATCATTCACACTGTGATCTTTGAAAACTATGCAGTGTAAGTTTCTGGCGTAGATAAATAACTTAGGAGTATACTGACTTGGCCCTTTTCATAGCCCTGGCGGTCTGATCATTGGAACTGATTCTCATACCCCAAACGCGGGTGGCCTAGGCATGCTTGGTATTGGAGTTGGCGGCTCCGACGCCGTGGACGCCATGTCTGGGATGCCATGGGAGTTGGTTGCTCCAAAGGTGATTGGTGTTCGCCTGACGGGCCAGCTCAGTGGTTGGGCATCAGGGAAAGACATCATTTGCAAACTGGCTGGTATTCTCTCTGTATCTGGTGGCAAGGGCTCGGTGATAGAGTTCTTTGGCCCTGGTACCGAGACCTTGGGTGCAACTGCCATGGCTACTATTTGCAATATGTCTGCCGAAGTTGGCTCAACATCGTGTGTTTTCCCATATTCGGAAGCCATGCGACGTTATCTTGATGCAACGAACCGCGAGTATGTGTCGGAGGCAGCTCTCAAGGTGAAGAAGACCATATTGACAGCCGACGAGGGCTCGGATAACTATTATAACCAAGTTATTGAGATAGATCTCGATACACTTGAACCGCACATCAACGGACCGTTCACGCCAGACCTGGCGCACCCCATCTCACGACTGAAGGCTGCCGTCACCGAGAAAGACTGGCCAACAGCCCTGAGCCATGCCATGGTGGGAAGCTGCACCAACAGCTCCTATGAAGATCTTGACAAGACCAGGCAGGTAGTTGCTCAGGCGAAAAGTGCAGGAATGGAAAGGTTCAAGGTCCCCTTCCTCTTGACACCTGGAAGTGAACAGATTCGCGCGACTGCTGAGGCAGACGGGATCCTATATGAACTGCGGGAGGCCGGAGCTGTGGTGTTAAGCAGTTCATGTGGTCCCTGTGTTGGATCGTGGGACCGCAAAGATGTAGATGTAAAAGGGAAAGAGAAGAACTCAGTTGTCTCAAGCTTCAACCGCAACTTCATTGGCCGCCATGATAGCAATCCTGCCACTCATTCCTTTGTCACTTCCCCAGAGATGGTGACCGCCTTCGCTTATTCTGGACGCCTGGACTTCAACCCTTTAATTGACAGCATCGCTGTTGGTGATTCATCTTTCCAGTTCACACCCCCCACAGATTGCGAACTCCCTCCGCATTTCGAGACCGGGGAGGATACCTTCCAAGCGCCACCTTCCGACGCGTCCGGTTTATCTATTGCATTGGACCCCAAATCAGATCGCTTGCAGCTCCTGACACCCTTCCAAGCATGGCAGCCACAGTGCGCCAATGGGATGGAGCTATTGATCAAGGTAGCTGGCAAATGTACCACCGACCACATCTCCCCTGCCGGTCCATGGTACAAGTATCGAGGCCACCTCGAGAACATCAGCAACAACATGCTCACTACCGCAACGAATGCATTCCTACCCGACACACCTCAAACCTTGGGCCACACGAGGAATCCACTGACTGGTCAAGTTCAAGTAGTCCCGGAGGTGGCACGAGAACTGCAGCGTCTTGGTATTCGCTGGTGCATTATCGGTGACCATAACTATGGGGAAGGTAGCTCGCGCGAACATGCCGCTCTAGAACCACGATTCTTGGGTGGTGTCGCGATTATTGCCCGGTCTTTTGCTCGCATTCATGAGACAAATCTGAAGAAGCAGGGCATGTTGCCTTTGACTTTTGATAACCCTACTGATTACAATCTGGTTGCGGAAGGTGATCGCATCACACTGCTTGGAGTTGAGGAGGGAGAGTTCCAGCCTGGAAAACAGGTTGTTATGAGAGTTCAACCTCGCCATGGTCAGGCTTGGGAGGCTCAGTTGAACCACAGTTATCACCCAGGGCAGATTTCTTGGCTCCGTGCTGGAAGTGCGTTGAATCACATCAGGGCCACTATGCTCCAGAAATGAGTGATCTCCCTGGTATTTATGGAAGGGGCTGATTCGTTTGTCCGTTTCTTTGGTATATTTGTATATCGTAACCCAGCAATTTGTGATAGAGCATTACAGACTGTACATGGCACATTACACCCAACTTCTAATGTTCCTTTTTGCAATTGTAAAAATGATTCACCATACCTCTCCTAACCAAGCCCGAACTTTGGCAGACAACGGGGAACCGTGTGTTAGATCCTACTTGAAGGATTCCACAGAGGCCTCCAACATCATCTTTTGATTTCGAACCAAGCTCTGTGGCTAGCCCTACTTAAATCACTCGGTACCAAACGGAGCCACCCACCAGCTCAACAACCCCTTTCAGCTGGCCAGAATCCAACAAAATGGCATGCCACACCTAGGCGGCAACCATTTTATACAAGAGAATGTAATGCGCAGACTATGTCTATCCTTCATCTCTGACGGTTGAGTTGTCTGCAAGCACAACGATCTCCCTGGCTGTCTGGGCCACTTGCGAAGTCTCTACTCTTATTATCTTAAACTGAGAAGTTGATAGGGTTTGACGAGAAGGTATGAAACGTATGGGCCTCCCAAAATCCGGTCTTAATTCAGTAGTGACGGCATAACATATTGTCAATAACATCATGAATGCTTGAGATTGATCGCGGCTATACAACGACTCAGTGACCGGGTCATGGGGGAGATAATGGATAGTAAAGAATAACTACAGGCTATTTTCCGAACCTTCCTTTCAGTACCTAGGGCGAGACGTCGGGGTTCATGTGTACTGGTATGGGGAGATACTCAACAGTTTGATGCGTGTCCTCTCTCTAGTATGTGCCACTGTGGAATCATTGAGTATCTGTTGAAATCATCCCATCCAACCTGGATGCCTTGTTATGGTGGCAGACTGAGCCCTTGTTTAGCCTTAAGAGGTTATGAATCCTTACTCGAATCCCCAGGCAGCTTGTCATCATCAGCTTTAGGGGCAGCAGCGGTAGCGAGGCCAAAGGCCTCCTACCCCTAGCACCTCACCGGAATCCTACATGGAGCCAGAATCCATCATCTTCATTGAGGTGAATAGTGTTACCCTTTGTGGATGCCTGAGGCATCACCATGTGATAGAACCCACTAGGTTTGATAGCTCTCTCGTTATGGTGGCAGATTTGCCAATGCAGGTCTATGAAAGGCACTTCTTAGGTAGTTTGGATAGCAGGAGTTTCTTCCTCCATCTCCCTGGTAGCATGTAGCCTGAAGACTATCTGAACGTGCGCAATAAGTCCAATCTGGAATATAACCAGTACAGGACCGCAGATGCTGATTTGCCGTAGGTGCAATTGCTATGTCATATCTGTCTTTGTGACCATTAATTCACCGCCTTAGGTCTTCTTGAGGCTACATGCTTGCATGGGAGATGGAGGAGGAAAAAACTCTTGGCATAGAAACCGAGAAAGGAAAGGCCCTTTCTAGACGCCTGCATTGTGAAATAAGGGCTCAGTCTGCCACCCTAACAAGGCTAGATGCATCAGCATGAATGTGGAATGGCACGATCCCAACAGATGTCTCAGTGAATTCGTAGAGTGCAGAACCGGGAGGAGAATTGCGCCTAGGTACACGCATGTTTGTGTATACATCTGAGGAATCATTGTTATCGGTGCCGCCTGAATCGATAAGCCTCCCCGCACCAGGCAGGAAGTAAAAAAGTAAACAACTGAGAATCACATTTCTCCGTTCTCACTTTCATTCCCATCGCGCGTGTTCGAACCCGATGGAGGCTTCATTTCCTCTCTCACAAGGCTTCATCATGGACACTCTTGAGATATTGTGGCAGCTCGACACCATGGGCCGAGCCATGCAGTTTCTCAGTATTTCCAAGACTGAGCCCTTCAGACTCCACAATTTCATCGGAGGCCAATTCCTGGATAGTGCGCACACACCGGAATGGATCGACTCGCCGGCTCCCCGCTCGGGTAATCTCTTGCTGAAGGTACCTCGCAGCCCTGACAACGTCGTCGACTACGCCATCAATGTCGCTGGTCGAGCTTTCACTGAATGGTCGCAGACCCCCTTTCAGCTGCGGGGTCTGATTCTGCTTCGCATTGCGTCAATCATGGAAGAGAAGAAAGACATGTTTGCAGTCTGGGAAAGCATTGACCAAGGCAAAGCTATCGGTCGGGCGCAGCTTGAAGTTGACTATGCCATTGAGCATTTCCGGTTCGTTTCGTCTCCTTCTGCATGTGATTTCATCTGACCTTCCTTCTTATTAGATACTTCGCGACATACATTATGCAGGACGAAAGTGCAGTACGTCTGCAGAAAGGTGCAGCAGAACGGACTTTCATGCACAAGCAGCGAGTGCCGGTGGGCGTCTGTGCCATTGTCGTTTCATCGAACATGCCGCTTTACCTTTTGACGTTGAAGATCGCTCCCTGTCTCGCGTTCGGATGTACAGGTATCGCTAAGCCAAGCGAGTGGACCAGCATGACGGCCTTTTGTAAGTGATTCTCTCAAGTGACGGGATTACAGGAATTCACTAACAATGGATGATAATAGTGCTCGCTGAGGTGCTCCGGCAAGCAGCACTACCACCTGGTGTCATGAATATTATTTTCGGAGATGGACCCGGCACTGGTTCGACCCTTGTCCGCTCGCCGCATATTCAAGGAGTGTCGTTCATTGGAGATACCGAAACAAGCATTCAGATTCGGAAGGACACTGCCGCCGACATTGGCAAGCATCTGTGTCTCGGTCTCAGAGGCATTAGCCCAACCCTGGTGTTTGGGGATGTCGAAATCGAGCAGGCAGTTTCTGCTGCAGCGTACGCGGCGTTCGAAAACAGTGGACAACTCTGTCTGAGCGGTTCTGTGATCTACGTCCACCGATCGATTCACAATACGTTTTTGCACAAGCTCAAGACGCACATCCAAGATCGTTACCGCCTGCGCTTGGGACTCGGTCCAGTTGTTTCTGAGGAGCGTTATGCCAAGATCAGATCTCTCCTGATACAGGCTCGTGGAGAGCGTGCCCTGTTTCTGACTGGTGAGATCCCTCAGGAGGTTCCTGAGAATGGTTTCTGGGTCAGTCCCACGATCTTGAGCAACGTACGCACCGATAGTCGTCTGGCACGGGAGGGGATGTTTGGTCCTGTGGTCGTTGTTTGCCCATTTGATAATGAGGAAGCAGTCAGACTGTGCAATGACAACCCCAACGCAGTGGGCGCTGTTGTGCTGACCGATGACCTGCGTCGGATGAGGCGAGTCACAGAGCACCTTCATGCAGAGCTGACGTGGGCGAACTGCTGCCTTGGACGTGAGTTTGGGGCGGGGTTCAACGACATTAGGGCGACTGGCTTGGGGCGTGAAGGCGGCCAGCACAGCCGCAATGAGTTCACAAGACTGCGAACTATGCATCTTCCTGCTTACTAGCAAATGGAACGTGGATAGTGCCGAAAGATCCCACGAAGATGTAGTAATAGGGGACGATGGAAGCGGGGTCTCGGATGTTGCCGAGGATTGTCCTAAGGACATCAGTGCTTTTTGTGCATAGCAACCTCGAAGTAGTTCAGTCTTTATCAGAAACCAACATAAATCGTGAGATATTTTTCCAAATACGTAGATATTAGTGCGCCTCTTGAACCGAAAACATTTGAAGACATTGGGTATGTTGACGTTTCGTCGATTTTACCTCGTGCGTGTGGTGGGACCCGCTGATAAACGATTGGCTCAACCACAGAAGCGGGTCTCGACGGCGTCGTCGATGGCCTCGGCGCTGAGGTCACCTGATAATACCGGTAGTATGAACGTCGGAACACGGTATTGAGGGGTTAATACGTATTTCTATATGTTCTACCGTTGTTTTCGCGAATACGTATTGACTAAAACTACGTATTCTTTTTATAATACTGTAGCAATACTCGGGTGCCCTTTGTAATACTCCATGAATACTCGACAGCATTTTGAATACTAAAAAGATACTCTTACTTATCCGTAGGTATGCTCCCGAGGTCAGTATGCTCGGATGCTCGGATGCTCGGATGCTCAGGATTCTCGGATGCTCAGGTGCTCAGATGCTCAGATGCTCAGATGCTCAGATGCTCAGATGCTCAGTATGCTCAGTATGCTCAGTATGCTCAGGATGCTCATGCTTAGTATGCTTATGCTTACCTAGACAGTATGCTTAGAAGGTTACTTAGGTAGCTTATGCAATAATTTATCATAGATCCTAATCCATACTTAAGTCCGAGTTTACTTAAGATTTCAGCTATGTGGATTCTAGGAGATTAACTATAGCCCGATCACGGGTCAGTATAGGCGCGTTGTGAAATATAGTCGGACTGTTAATCTCACACCCGGTGCCAGAGCCCTATTAGAGGAGTGCGGTGATAGCCTGGAAGAAGTAGGACCCCTGAAACAGAAGGAAAAGATTTGTGATTTCAACCCAATTACCCATGTTTTGACTCTCTGTTTTTGTTTCCAAGTTTTGTCGAGACATATCACTCCGCGCCTATGGATGAGCTATTGGTTTCGGGCGGATACTCTTGCCTTGGTTTGGGGTTTGGTGCTCTCTCCTCTCCTATACTTGTCAGATGGCTGCCAATGCGTCCGTTAAAAGTGCTTCTAGCGGCAATTCGTGAGCAGCTAGCGGATTTGCAGGTTGTGTCCGCCAGATCTCGAGTCAGCCCGTTGGTCTGCAATAATCATTTCGCCGGAAAGGGAGCTGTAGATATATGGATTTTGTGGTTCCTGGTTGAAACTGATATAATGTACGTGGTAGAGAGGTATTTGTATGAAGTTTAGTACCTATATATCGGGGTTCCTTGGAGAGAAGCTCCCCTTCAGTTTATCTTGGCCCATCTCCATCCAAATGGCCTCATTTCCATGTCAGTCGTTGCACTTCATAATTTCTTGTTCTGTGCATCTATATCTTCCAAGGGCGTGAACTTTGCTATACGTAACCCGTCCCTCCTTCATATCTTAGAATAGCATTGTTCAAACAAAGGAATTTTCGTTTCGCTTTGTTCGCCGAGAGCTCTTTGTGAAATTATTTTTGTACTCTTTGTCGCGGGTCTCTGTTTTCTTTGTACTAACCCATATCTAAACAATGGATATCTTCATGCCTTGTATGGGCTCTTGGGTGTTCTATTTCCGTCGAGGACTCGTTTCATCCTTCTTTTGATGGCCCCCATCCAACTAACCACAAAGGCCAATTCGCCAGTACTATATAATCGCAGAACCTCTCTCTTGATTACAAGTATTCATTCCAGATCAAATTGTTACAAAACACAATCAACAAGACCCAAAGTCCTCTCTTTTCCGCACAACACAACACAAGACAAAGCAAGACTCAGATTATAAAATGGCATATCGACCAGCAGGTCTACGCAAGCCAGTAGCGCAACGTGAGCAAGGGCTAGGCAAACGTCGGCGCAGCCAGGACGATACAAGTGAGACGTCTAGCTCCGCGACTCGGCGGCGTCTGAACACGGAACCCAAGGAAACCTCAGACCCTACCCCGTATCCAGTTCCAGACGGCGTCAGTCTGTCCGACGGAGAAATTGTCCTTTCGCCCACTAATTCTGTGTCAGATGATAGACCCCCGGTGTCGGACGACCAAGTCAGTGAATATCACCTAAAAGGACATGCATACCAAGCATGGATTGCCGACCCAACTCTAGCCGGATGCCGATGTGGACGTGCAAGAAAGACATTGTTCGAATTACTCAACGCCAACAACGAGAAAGAGAGATTCACTTGTCCAGAGAACCATTTCGGTGACCCGCCTCTATACATTCAAGTGGACTTGCAACAATTAGGGCTCCCAACAAGCCAAGAAAAGTACCGCTTCGCAAGACTGTTACACTACGGTTATGACAGGAACAGCGACAAGAGGGAAAGCCAGTATCAACATTCCATTGCGGAAGGCGTTCTAATTGCTGAATGTATTTATAGATACGCGGGACCTCATTGGTCCAATATCGCCATTGCTCAATACAGCTTTGACCATCCCATCGATACTCTCAAATATCTTTATTTTACTAATGTCCAGAACGACGAGACCTTGCCCTACCTGCAGGAAATCCTTTACCCGAGATATGATGTGGACTGGCCCAAGCTCCATCGAATCGAGAGTCAAACATGGGAGTATGATACCGACGAGTATAAAGAGATCCTAGGTACAAAGCTAGGGAAGGCAGCGGCGTGCCTTGTGATAGGGGCTTGGGAGAGAGGTACGCATCGCATCGCTAGAATTCACACTCTCGGCCGTAACTACGAGATACACCTACGATTTGATATAGAGGCATTGCCTACGTCGCTAACCGATTGACCACACTGGTCAAATATGTTTAGGTTTAATTCGCATGTTTTGTGTCTATGAATAGTTCTTCTTTCGGGTGAGTCGTGATGATTTTTAAACTGATTATTTGATATAGAGGTGTCCAGAGAATGCAAGCTACATTATACGGTGACTTGATGTGTGCTTTAGCAGTGGTACTCTATGATTTTCTTAAAGACTTTCTAAATTCTCCAATTTTCAATGTAAGAATGGGCATAAACTATATTTACAAGACCGACCTCGTTTGCAATGCCTTCAAGGAGCAGCTCTAGAGATTCTCACATAGTCTTTCATCAACAGAAATATTCAGTCAGGTCGACAATCGTAGATCTAGTCAATCAAAGCTTAGGATTCCTTATTTCGGCCATAAACCCATAGCCCTTTGGTCTGAACATCGTGTTCTTTTGGCCTCTATCTCAAGGCGCTGCCTAAGTTTGAAGCGGACCGCCCCTTCCTAGCTATTTATCTGCTCGTTTGCCGGCCACATGATCTCGATGTAGGCCTTTCTTGAGAAGCCAGTTATGACTCACATAGTGGTGTATCCGCCATCGACAGGAAGTCCAACCCCACTTATCCACGAGTTCTCCTCGGAAACTAGGAATAAAGCGGCATTTGCAATGTCTTCGGCCCGCCCCAATCCACGAAATGGGTGTAATCTTTCCGCCACTGACCGTTCGTCGGCGGATAATGACGAGATAAATGCAGTATCAGTATCTGTTTGATTCAGCAATTGTAGCAAGTGTGGCCTTCATATGTGGCCTTTATGAAGGCATACTAACATCCAGGACATAGAGCATTCACATGTATGCGATGAGGGGCACAGTCTCAGGGCTGCAGCCTTTGTGATACCCATTACGGCGTGTTTGGAGGCCACATAACCAGCCAATAGGACTGACCCTTGCAAGCCAAAAACGCTGGATAAGTTGAGAATCCAACCTCTGTCTCCACAAGCCAAAGGGGATTGTTTAATCATTTGTGCAGTCGCATACTTGCATCCCAAAAAGACGCCGGTGGAGTTAATAGCGATATCCTTGTCCCAGGTATCCTGAGGGAAGTCCCATATCGGTTTTGGATCTTTTCCCTCCCATGCCACTCCTGCGTTGTTGACCATTCTGAAGTTTGTACTCTGTCAGTTACTATAAATAAAGGAAAAGAAAACGATCCAAAGCAAAACAGGTGACTGACATGTCCAATCTGCCAAACCTTTCAACCGCATATTTAACTGCATTTTCCACATGCTCGGCATTGGTAACGTCTAACGTCAAAAACTCTGCAATACCTCCTTGCTGAATGATAGACTCATGAGTTGACGATGTATCGTCCTTTGTTGTCTCCTGGATGTCACCGCAGATAACCACACAACCCGCATTGGAGAGCTTCATTGAAATGGCGCGACCAATACCGCCTGACGCACCAGTAACAATAGCAATTTTCCCTTGAAGGCCCATTTCGGCGTATTTGTAAGTTGGAACGATGTGAAACAGCTGTGCTGTAATATGATAAAAATGGTAGGGATAACAGTGCTCGATGTAGGATATATATATCTAGTAGTCATTCCAAGTCACAACCGGTCTTTCCTTTCGTTAGGTGGCTGAGGCATAGCCGAGGACCCGAGGATCTAGGATGACTATGTTATTACCCCACATAAGAGGCCCAGGCCGAAAGGGTAGACAGGCCTGTCCATCAGGTCATGTACAAGAGTGGTATGGTAGCAAAGTAGCTCGCATTAGACAGAAATTGGGTCTGCGAGAATGCCCATTCGATCAGATCTACTGGATGCCCCGCCGACGGACTCGGTTACTCCGGTTCCTTGGCGTTTCGGTGGGTGATATTCCGACATCCATGGATATATCCCATCCCCGCAATGGGTCGACATCGTGTAGGATATGCCAAGCTGCCGAGGAAATGATGTCTGGCAGTTACCTATTTACATAGCTTAACAGGATGGATTAGATAAAGGTAAGTTTCGTTATATTGAAGAGTTACCGCGTATTTTGTTGATTTCAAACCCTCTTTGGAGGCATATGTGGATGCGAGGTGGTCGTGGATCGCACCGGATACAATGCCAACCAGGTCCCGAAAAACAACAAGCTACATATTAAAATGGCTAAATTATGCTAGAATTAAGATTGGAGATCTTAGTTGTTTATCAATACGTTTGTTTACATTCCCATTATATGCATATGCATAGAAACATTTGAATGCGCTAAAGGACAACGCGCTATCCCTAATTCAGCTATGAAATTGACTGGTCTCCAGTATAATCCGAAATATACCTTATGAGCACTACGTAATGGGATAGCGCTGTCGCTGAAGCCAATTTCGTAATTTCTAATTGAATAATATGTATTGTCTTAGCAGAGGTGGCTGTCGCGAATTATAGGGTCTCGATTGGATATAGAGGCATTCAGGGAATGGAGTTACATTATGTGGTTCGGTTGACGTAGGCTTTTGGGCTCTTCTTTCATATAACCCCCTGCCGTTTAAACTTCTGTTCGTAGGAAAGCAACTGGACGATTATGAAGTTATTATCTGACTGTTTTTCCTACCAACGAAACTCCAATTAATTATCTATTTTGCTAATCCGCTGAATACAAATGTTCATCTGATACATCACCATCTTGCCGGCTTGCACGGGGCGAAAGAGGCGATGTTGGGGAAAGAGACGTCCAAGATGGTGACCTAATCGGGAGGTTCAAGCCGAGACCTTGGACACCTGCAGGACCAAATCGGGGTGCCGAGCCAGGAAACGCGCCTTTCATGGCAGGTTGAGAGTCGGATCGCAGACCAACTCGGGAAATTGCGCGACGGAGCATCTCACCTGAAGCATCCAGGGCAATCAAGAAACGAGCCAGCTCAGCACACAGCTCCCAGTCTCCCTTCTGAGAGGCGAGGGCAATCAAACGAACGACGTATTCTTCGATGCGGCCATCATGCCCCTGCTCCTCGTCCTCGAAGGCTTGCAGCACAAGAAGGTATCCGACTGCAGTTTTGAGGGAGTCAAGTTTCAAGGCCTGTTCAAATAGGTCCTTGGGCGGAGGCAGGTAGGTGAATAGTGTTCGCCATGATCGGAGCTCTGTTTTCCGTGTGCATTGTACAACAATCTCAAGGTAATCCTTGGGGGGAAGTGAGGCTTGGAGGAAAGCAATGACGGTTGGGAGTAATGGTTCTGCTCGTGCTTGTGGGTCCTCACTTTTACTTGCTCGGCTCTCATTATCCACTTCGTCGTCTAGCACGTGGTGAAGTAGGATTTCCAATCCATGAGCGAAGTAAGACAGATGTGAAAAATGTCGACACAGAGCGAGAGCCGCAGGTATTCCGACACTGGAAAGGCCATATTGGAGGAAATACGGTAAGAAAAGGTGAGTCTGAGGTGCACACGTCAGTACAAAATATCATCTATAGAGAAAAAAGCTTACCCGGATGGCGAATTTCAGAACAGTGAAGGTCACATCGCGTCGTTGCATCATTTCCGATTCAACGCCAAGCACAATGCCTTTGTTCAGTAACACAGACAATGGGTAAAAGTCCAGGGGGATGCTGAGTGGTGCCGGCACCATCTCTTCTCGCAAAACATCTTGGATATCATTCCAGGCTAGCAAGTCTTGACCACGGAACATCCAGAGAGAGTCCCGGAGCGACAGACTACTGTGAGGTGGTGCCAGTGCCATATCAACCGAAGGACTAGCAGGTAGGGATTCATCAACCTGTGAGGAAAAATTGAAAGAAATTTGGTCGCGCATCAAGATATAATACTCGACATCATGTGATATGATGCGCATGTCGTATTTGAGGTCGCCGGCATCTGAGACCGTGGGCTGCAACAGTACCAAATTGCCGTCCACAAGAAGAAGGACGGATGCCACCTTCACGTCCTGAGATGGATCCCCGTTTCCTGCTGTATTGTCAGCAATGTATTCAGATAACGGCAAAGAAAACAAGCTAACTCACGTGTCTGCTCCTCAGGCAATACCCAGCTGATCGATCGGACGCGAGAGGGTGCCCGGACGATCCCATTGAAAGCGATCTGTCCAACGGGGACAAGAGTAATCTGGGGCTGGGTAGAATTAATGATATAATGGTACAGGATGTTATCGTATGTATAAACCAAGAGAGAATCTTCCCCAGAGGGTCCAATAAACACGACTGGTGATGGGAGATATTCAATGAACATAATCGAATTGTTACCGAGAGAAGCCTCGCGCGAATAAAGACGAATCTTTCAATCGAAGTCAGTCATACATAGAACTAACGCAAGTGGGGGAATTAACGTACCTCATATGAGCCGTCACTCTCCGCCGCTGCGATCAGGATGTGGCCATACCAACACATACCCCCTCGCACAGCAAATGAGTTTTCGGCTTTTGAATCCTCGAATACTTTCCATCGGCCGCTGTTGACACTGTAATGTGCAAGACCACGCCGACCTGCAATTGCAACATACCGTCCATCCTGAGACACGACACAAGATCGGATCGGCCACTGGGAATGAAGATATGCCGGAGGATACTGGCCATGATGCCACAATGAATCCTTCCCTGAGATTGTCATGAGATCTGGAAGATCGTGACCGCGATAGAGAATGAACTCAGTACCGGTCTGCAACAGGCCTCTAGCCAAGTTTGCAGCCGAAAAACAGCCAGTCAAAGCACTGCGAGCTGTCTCCAGAACCCATAGGCGACGGTCGTTTTGCCCAGACAGAATAATGTCCGACCCGCCGCCAATCCAACACCCGTCTGAGACCCCGGTTAACCAATCCTCCGAATTGGTGGTCGCCAACGCTGCGTCCACTGAAAAGCTATTTCCTCCAGGCTTCCCGAAGACACTCCATGTTGTCCAGCCATTTTCGTAACCGGCAAAGAGACAATACCCATCCGGGGAATAGGCCATGAAAGTCAAAGCCCCGGTGGTTGTGGACGATGCTGGTAGATAGAGCTTTTGTGAAAGTGGAATGTTTCCCACGTAATCTTTTGCAGTGTAGACCAAGACGTCGCCATTTGCGCAGCTCACAGTCAATAGAGAGAAACGTGCATTTACGGCCACCTTCACAGCCTTTTCACTGTCATCCTTCGGATTATGGAAGCAATGTCCGTGGAAGAGTTTCTTGGCTGCTTCAGGATCCTGCTGTGAGCCCGCATCTCGTTGCACAGCATATGCCTGGCCGCTGCTGGTAATCCAAATGAGGAGATTCATCGCACGATCGTATACCATGTCCACGATCGATACCTTCTTCGAGATCCCTAGGATGCGACTCAATAGCTCGGATGTGGTTTGTGCTCCTCCCGCCTCGGGCGTCCATCGAATGCACTGTATAGCTGGTGGTTTCACAGTGGCGACAACAAGTTCTTGATCTAGCGCCAGCGCCTTGACGATTCCCGACTCGACCTTGATCGCCATTCGGAAGCGGATGCTTATGTCCCCAACCACATTGGCCTCCTCAACTGCCGAAAACCGGGCCAATTGTTGACGACGATGGTGTGTAGAGTTATCGAATCGCTGCTGGTAGACTTGGGTTGTTGAATCCGACGCCACCGAGTACGTAAGTAGGTACCCATTAAGTGTCTGTACAACCAGGATCGTCGAATCTGGGTGCATAAGGAGTGAAACGTTCGGACCATAGGTTTTCAGCGAGAATTGAGATCGAGTGATTGCTGTAACTACTGCTGTAGGCTGCCAGAATTGTCAGTCACCAGCTCAGACTTCCCCATGGACCATAACATCACTGCCGACATACCCGAGTCTGCCAAAGCGCAATTGATGATCCTGACATTGTGGCAAACATCTGACCAGATCGAGAAACACAAATACCCCTGATAACTTCATTTCCCCATTCTGATTTGCCTGTGTCCGGGGACGAGTCGGTTTGCGACTCATGGGGCTGGGTGTCTGCGGGCTCATGTTGACCGTCATACCCTCCTGTTTCCACATTGTCGTCAATAGTATTTCGATCGGTAGTTTCAATGGCATCCTGGATTTTGCGATCCTCGTCGGAGGGGGCATAGGCAATATCGGGTCCATTGACCGCGTAGACCCTGGGAACCCCATGAGGCCAGTACATGGCTCAGGTCAGGTTCAGGGGCTAAGATGGATAATGAAGCTCACATGGAGTCATCTCCAGGGAACCAATTCTCCGTCAGCAACGCAGACAAGAATCTCCAAAGCACAGATTCAAATGCAATGAAATAAAGTCCAAGCAACTTGCATGGAAACAGATCGGGGAAACGATAAGCTACGATCACGTGCAAAAGCACTTCCCCCGCATTGCCTCACCTGTTTTTTCTTCCATCTCGGTCACTCCTGAACGGCGTTTATCTTTCATTAACAATTTTTATTGAAAGATTGCTATAATGGTAAGCTTCTTGGGTGTTATGATCGATTCATGGTACTGATTCGTTGCAGGCTCCAACAGAAAGCAACAAGCGCTTGGCCTTGGCCATCATTGATTTCC